CTGCACTCCGCAGCAAGAGAGGCTGCGATAGTGAGAGGCCCGCGCACCACGATGAAGTGTGGCCCCCGTTTGCCACAACTAGAGAAGGCCCTCGCACAGAAACGAAGACTCAACACAGCCATAAATAAATAAATTTAAATCATACGGGCTTCTAAGAAGACCTCTGCTTAAAAAAAAAAAAAGTATCTGAGGGCTTATACACACAGAAAACGCTTTCATTCACATGTAGACCAGCAAAGCATCAATGAATGGGGGAAAGAGTGGAGAGTCTGTGAAAAGAGGGCAGAGAGAACAGATCCTTGGATCCCAGGGGACTGTCAACCCCTCCAGGAGCCGTGAGAGCTGATGGGAAGCTCCATGGGAGGTGACAGCAGGGAGCCCCGGACTGGACAGACTGACCTTTTCCTGGAGCCGGCCTTTCCCCGAGGGCCCTGATACACGGCTGTTTCCAGCGGGCACCGTCTCGGCCTGTTGACAATGCAGTTCGGCACCTCCCCCATCAACCTGCTGTTCTTCTGCTACTCTCTCATCTCCCCTGTCTCCCCGGAGTCCTCCTCAGCTCCCCGCTTACCGTCACCCACACCCACTTTGTGTCTCTCGGGGTCCCCGTCTTAGGCTCGCTGGCAGCTCCCCACGCCCCTTGCAGGCAGGCCCCGTGGTCCCCCTCCTGGCTGGAGAGGCAGCAATTGAACGGGGCATCCAGCTTCAGGACGGCCCCGCCCCTCTACCAGACATGGCTTCTGAAAAGCAGATCTTTTGAGGTCCTCCCCACTCAGCACCCATCCATCCAGTGCTCTCCATTGTCACAGAATAGAAGCCAAGTCCTTGGCCCACGAGACCTGTACAGGGAAACACTGCTGGGGGATGGGGCGCGGAGGGTGGACAGTGACCGTCTCCGAGCCTTCGGCCCCAGGGGTCTTGTTCTTCCCCCTGCCCCAGAAAGCTCCGGGGCCGTGGGGGGTTCCTGAGCCCACTTGCAAGGACCCCCGCCCACCGTGCCCTGTTCTCCGGCCTCCCGCGTCCTGCTGGCACCTGCATGGCCCCAAACCGCAGTTGCCCTGACAGCGGGGACCGGGAGGCTGGGTCCGGGAAGTGCGGTTTTGCTGGCCAGCGGACTTGGAAACAGTGTTTATTCTGCAGTAAGTATAGCTTCACAGGAAGCTGTAACGTGGATGTTCGTGGGATCCCCAGTGCCCCACACTGGCTCCTGGCGCACACGGCATCAGCAGCGTGAGATGCGCGGGCGCAACCCGGGCTCGTCCAGGTGCCACCAGTATGTGCAGAGTTCCACGCGACTGTCTCCCATCCATGGCCCCTGTGGCCGCCAGCATGATCCCAGTGTAGAGCTGCTCCATCCCCACAGCCTCCTGCACCCCTGATGGCGGCTCCTCTCCTCCCCTTCCCCCTCTAATCCCGGCTTCCATCTCAGTAGCAGCATCATTTCTGGAATGCTCTATGAAGGGGTCGCACGTGCACAGCCCTGCGAGCTTGCCTTTGCACTCACCTGGCTTCCCTGGGGGTCCATCCGAGTTCTTAGTGTCTAGCCGACTTTGGGTGATGTGTCTTGCCCGTTCCTGCATGGGACTGGCCGCCAGCTACAGTATCACATGGGTGACGATAGCTTTTCTCCAGTTGTTCTCTATTTGTTCAATAAACATCGAGTTCCTGCTTGATGCCAGGAACACACCAAGAAGAAAGAGATGAATCAGGTGTATTTCTGACTCTGACAAGCTTAAAGCCTGTGGAAGAATTCACAACCCATTAGACCCACAGGATGATTTATAGACAAAATGGAAAACAGTGATATTCCAGATTTTCTGTGGAAAGCCCAGAATAGTGTGAGGGGCTCAGGGCCATGATCCAGGTGAGGGATGAGGAAGGTAACCAGTGGACTGTCCAGGCGTGTTGTTTACGTTTGTACTGTGTATACGGCTCTTTACCAACGCCTGAGAAAATGGTGATGTTGATAATGTGACGATGCTGTAATGGTGTGAAGTTGAGGAGTGAGAGCCGCATCCAAGCTGAGCGGAACTGCACCGGAAATGATCCGCAGGCCCCACGCGGCCAAGGCCTGGCGGCTGGAGGTTCCCCTGCCCTCTGCCAGCCTGGAGACAACGGGCAGCTGCTCCTCCTGTCCTGTGGGGATGAACTTCCCTGTTTGTGAGGACAGGAGGGCGTCACCTAGAAATCCCCCCTGGGCTTTGGACCACGGAGCTGGGTGACAAGACACCAGCCAGGAGACAGTGGAAGGACCAGAGGACATGGGGCATCACCTTGCTCACAGACAGTGAGGTTGGACACACCTGAGGCGGAGATGACCTTGGCTCCCGGGGACCCTGCCCTGGTCCCCTCTTCCCCTGCTCACCCACTACTTGCCACAGGTCACTAAGCATCTAGGATTAGGTTTCCAGCTGCAAAGTCTTGTCCACTGGGTCTCCCACTCTACCCTGGCCTCAGTGGCCCCCTCCTCTCTCCTCCCAGGGGGAGGTAGTATTGGGGAGTGACGTGGGGATGCACACTTTGTCATGGCCCTGTGGCAGCCGACCCTGTCCCCCTGACATAGACAGCATTCACTCACACGGCGTCTGGCTGATCTTGATTCCCAGGAATGACAGGCCTTTCCAGTGCCAAAGAGGCGACAAACTTTGGGTGAGAAGAATATATATGGACATGTTCAGACAAAGCAGAGGATGGACCACAGGATCTTTACTGTGGAACGGATGAAGCCGAGACTTCTGGGATCCTGGGAGAAACCTCAGTGACTTGTTCTTGTGCTTATGTGTTTCTGTAACGTTGGCAAAGGGAGATGCAATCCTGCCGTTTACCTGGAAGAGGCAGACGGGAAACAGCTGGTAATCAGCACTAACTGACTACCACGAGTCATGATTTAAATATTTTAAAGTCTGTCAGGAGATGTGCAAGTTGAGCGAGACACTTAACCTCCCTGCAGTTCACTGTGCTCGTCTGTGGGATGAGAGTGCTTACTGCACTCTATTCTGAGCCCTTTCTGTGGATTCTCTCACTTGATTCACCAGTTATCCTATGAGAGAGGAACTTTTATTCTCTCCAGTTTACGGGAGGAAACAGGCAGAATTTAAGCGATTTTGCTTTAAGCCGCAGTTGGTGGCAAAGCTGGCAATCAAAGGTCGGGGGAGTCTGACTCCAGAGCCCAGGCTCAAGGGGACGGCAGCACGTTTTCAGCAGGGCTGTCCTGCAATTCAATTCCAATAAATTAACACAACAAACATCTCCTGGGTGTAACCTCCTGGGTGTCTGTTCGTGCAAGGACCCCCCTGTGAAAACTAGGAGATAGTTTACAGGGAAGTGTTTTGGAGAAGTCCTACTGTTTTTAAAATAACTGAGCAGAGACAGGACTTCTAATTTCTCAAATCTATAAGGGATACAGACGTTTTTAACAGGTGACCGAAATCCTCCTCTGTTCAAACATCCATATACTGGAGTGGTTAATTTCCCCTCCCCCGTGACAGGGTCAGAGTAGAGGCAGCCCGAGGAGACCTGGAAGAGTTCAGACCCCTTGGAGGTGCAGTTGTAACTGAGGCACTGCGTCCCTGGCTCAAGCCCCCCACCACCCCCGAGCCCCAACCCCCGGCCGGGCACTCTGCAGGCCTGGTCCTCGATGCCACACCCCGAGCAGGCTTCCAGCCCGTCAAATCCAGCCATTTTGGGCTGCATCTGGTCACCTGTGCGCGTCCTGCGCCCACCAGGGCCCCTGGCAGTGGATTTCCTCAGGACCTGTCTGCTCTGCTTCTGCTGGTTTCACTTATGGACCAGCTGAATGGTCGATGACAGAGATGAGCTCCAAGTTCACTGTGTTCTTGCCACAGGGCCCGAATTCAGGCTGCTGGGAAGCTGAGCTCTAATAAGTAACCAAAGGCGAAGCACGTGTGTGCAGAATCCCAGCGGCTCACAGAGCTCTCAAGGGTACAAACAGCATACCTGCTCTGGCCTTGGGTCAGAACTGGGTGCTGGAAGCATCCTGAGGACCGGGAGGCCATCCAGGCCCCAAGGCAGCACCACACCCACTCTCCTGCTACCTGGCAAGTTCAGGCTCAAACAGTCTCATCTTGCCGGCTTCAAGAACCTACTGACTGGCCGGCCTCACGCTCTGTCTTTCCCCACTCAAATTCCTCCCCCACAGGCATCCCAGAATGTTCCTCTCAGTGGATTAATCTCATCACATCTTCCTCATTAAAAGCCTTCCATGGCTCTCCAGTGCTCGGCCTTCGTAAGGCTGCATCCAGATTGAACTTAAATCTTTCCATCCCGGGACCGCCCCGCAGAAGCAAAGTGTCAACAGCTCCCACTCACAGCCTGCACTTTTCCTGCTCCTGGTTCTTTCCTGTCTGAAGCTGACCTTCTTGGTTATCTTTAAATACCACACATCATCATAAAGGCTTAATTTGAATTCCTACTTTCTCCATGAATTCCTTCCTACAACACTTGTGCGGCATCATTCTCTCTTCCGTAGACCCATCATTATCTTGCACTGCAGCTGTGGAGTTAGGCTTCTGAAGGTGGAAATTTAACTTCAGCTTCGCGGTAGACCCACAGCCTGTCCCCCCGCACTACCCAGTACAGTGCCTTAGACTTCGAGGTCAAAACAGAAAACACCTGTCGTAGCTAAGGGCACATATGTTGGTCTCTCTAAACACTGACTTATAGTTAAAAAAATACCTTGGATATTTCTTTTATAGAGATGAGATGAAATAATGCAGTGATCATTTATAACAGGGTTCTCTAAAAAGTCTACATCTTTGGGTATTACTTTAAATCTACTTTCATAAATCATAAACACTACTTGCTTTACAAGGCTATTAATAATTTAAGGAACCTATTTTTAAAAAGTCAACTTGGTCAAGGAGAGATTTTTGTTTATTATCCCAAAGTCTAGTTAAATGTTTAATTAAATGTAATAAAAATTTAAAAAATAGTCGTGAAGGCTTATTTAGAAAGATAAAATAAAAACCAGTAGACCTGAAAATGGTACAGAGAGGGGTAGATTTATTAATGTAGTGATTAAAAACATTTAAAAAGAGGAGCAAAAAAGCAAAAACTCAGAAAAAAAGTATACTCAAAGCACTTATAAGGAAATGTCACAGGAACTTTGAATACCATTCCCAGACCACATGCTTCTAAAACAACAAGTATTCACAGTTCCAAATAATCTCAGCCCTTGATATTCAGATAGTCCAGAAGTGCAGATACGCCCTAAATCTCAGCTTAGGAGAAGGATTTCCAAACACTCATTTCATCATGATTTACATTCAGAGGAGGAGTTGCTGCAAAGGAAGAGCAGCCCACAGAAACCTTCTGCATCTTCAGCCGAGGCACAAAGAACAGAAAAAGACAGGAAGACGCTTTCTCTCCATTTCTCCTTTCCCACACCTTTGCTTTACAGTCAGGAAAAACCCTCAACAGAAGTACCCAGATTCCCAGAAGAGGAATCTGGTGAACCAGCAAAATGCAGACTGTGGATCCAGGAAAGGACAGTGGTTTCGTGGTCAGTGTTCACTGGTCACCCTCTGCGTCAGGAAAACAAGGCGGCACGTCTTCTTGTAACGTTCCAGCCAGGGCAGCTCCTGCCGTCCTCCAGGTGCCGCCCTCCAGCTGACGCTGTGATGGTGCCCTGGACAAGCACAGCCCTTCCAGCGCATCCTGGACTCACTGTGACAGTGCCGTCCACATGGAACCACTCGACACTGATCCTCCCATCGGAGCCTCAGTCCAGGGGCTACTCCTGCAGCAGGCTTCTTGAGATCAGTATCCGCATCACTTCGTTGCTGCCTGCAAGAGCGAGAGAGGATGGAGGGGCTTAGGAGCTGCCGGGCCTGAGAGTCAGCAAAGCTCTGGCTAGGGATGTAAAGGGCAACGTCGCTTTTTTTTTTTTTTTTTGCGGTACACGGGCCTCTCACTGTTGTGGCCTCTCCCGTTGCAGAGCACAGGCTCCGGACGCGCAGGCTCAGCGGCCATGGCTCACGGGCCCAGCCGCTCCGCGGCACGTGGGATCTTCCCAGACCGGGGCACGAACCCACGTCCCCTGCATTGGCAGGTGGACTCTCAACCACTGCGCCACCAGGGAAGCCCGGCAACATCGCTTTTTATCTTGAAAGATGTCAGGAAGTGAGGAAAAAATTTACTTTTAAAAAAACCTCTATATATGGACATATATACACTACCAAACGTAAAATAGCTAGTGGGAAGCAGCCGCATAGCACAGGGAGATCAGCTCAGTGCTCTGTGACCACCTAGAGGGGTGGGACGGGGGGGTGGGAGGGAGACACAAGAGGGAGGAGATATGGGGATACATGTATACGTATAGCTGATTCACTTTGTTATAAAGCAGAAACTAACATACCACTGTAAAGCAATTATACTCCAATAAAGATGTTAAAAAAAAAAAGTAACCTCTCCTGATAGTCAAAGCAAACAAAATAAAACAGCAGAACATACAATAGTATACGTAGTATGACTCTACTTCAAAAAAATGTATCTATGGGGGGGTGGGATGAATTGGGAGATTGGGATTGACATATACACACTATGCATAAAACAGATAACTAATGAGAACCTATTGTATAGCACAGGGAACTCTACTCATTGCTCTGTGGTGACCTAAATGGGAAGGAAATCCAAAAAAGAGAGGATACATGCATATGTATAGCTGATTCACTTTGCTGTACAGCAGAAACTAATACAACATTGTAAAGCAACTATCCTCCAATAAAAATTAACTTTAAAAAATGTATCTATACAAGTGCAGAAAAAGGTCCAAAAGAAGATATTTTTGGTCTTAAATATAAAAGGAGCCCAAAGTATTAGTTCTGATGTCAAAACATGAATGATCTTTTTTAACTTTTCTTATATTTTGTAAGTCTTCAACAATAAATATACCAACATCACTGGTAATCAGAAAACTGAATTTTAAAAAAACAAAAACATTTTCCCTGAAAGAAGGGGTGGGTCAGTTGCTTGCTTCATTTTTCCACTCTTTTTTTTTAGTTTATTTTTTTATTTCCACTCTTTTTAATGCAAAAAGAAATATTCACCACCATGAGGAATGACTAATCACACATCTCGAATAAAATCAAAGCTGAAATTTCCTATCTATCCAATAACAAAGTCTGGGGTGAAACAAGTCACGAAGACCAGTGCGCACATTTTCCTACAAGTGGATGATGGTGTGGCCTGAAATAAGCATATCTGGCTTTTCTCAGTTATTCTAACAGGGTTGAAAGAGTCAGAATGAAGGGAAGTCTCCCGCACTCACCAAGGCTGGAAAGCAACAGCCACGTACGACTGGAGTCACAGAAGGAATGAGGCGACGGGTTTGGCCTGCGCACTAGCAACCCTGCTCATAAACACGCTTTAGGGACAAGGTTTGCAGCAGAAAGCAGATACTAAAGCCTGTGACTTGGACGTGACACCCCGTGGTGGCTCTCAATGTGGCTTCCAGACAGGCAGGAGCAACCTCCCTGAACCCTCGTTAGAAATGCAGATCCCCAGGCCCACCAAGACCCATGGAGTCAGAAGCTCTGTGCTCACAAATCCTCCCAGTGGTCCTGACGCTGGTCGGGTCTGAGAAGGATGCTTCAGAAGCCACAGGGAGGCTGGTGCTTCCTTCAGGTTCCTTCACTCAAAGTCACTTCCATAAGCCTTTGCCTCATCTGCTGCCTTTGCTACAGTGTAACAACCTCAGCTGCCTACTGGCTAAACAACAGTCATGTAATTTGAAGACTTCCAAATCAGCATAGAGTGGAGAAGGCCCTGCAGAGCCCGACGCCAGCAGCTTACCCATCTCCTGCCCGTGGGCCTGTGATCGGCAAGAAGATGCCCATGTGTGACAATTAATTTACTGAAAGCTCCATTAGCAACACTGATGGTCATGATCAGTGTGTAGAGGCTGGAGATCAAACTAGCTCACATCTACCCTGGAAGTTACTGTGGAGAAGTCCTGGGATCCCTGAGGACCAAGTATTTTACAACAGTGAAGAACAGCCGCTGCTGCAGTTTTCAAAATGCTTTCTCGGATGTTATCTTCGTTTGTGCTGTCTCTATAAATGACAAAGGCAAAGAGCAGAGAGGGGTGACTCGGTGACTTCCGTGGGGACAGAGCAGGGCCTCCCGGCCCCCAGGCCAGGTCAGGACGGCACAGCAGGCCCCTCCAGAGGGGGCCAGGAGCAAGGAGGGAGGAGGAAGACAGGAAGCACGGCGACAGACGGCAGGGGTGACGGCTCCGAAAGGGAGAGAACCACCTTGGCCACTTTTACCTTCGAGGATCTGATGGACCCTGGAGTCCCGCATGTACTGCTGGACCGCGCAGTCCTTCAGGTAGCCGTAGCCCCCGTGCATCTGCAGGGCCTGGTTGCAGATCTGCAGGGACACAGGGATTAGATACCTCGGATTCTGAGAAGGCTCCGGAACAGGGGCTCCTCTCTCCGCCCCAGCCCTGATCTGGCTGCCTGCCCTGAGCCAACGTGAGGAAGGTGAAGGTGCCAGCCAGGCCAGAGGGTCTCCGGTTCTGTGTGCACAGGGACAACGAGGGAAGTCTGCTTCCTGAGTGAGCCAGTCCCCACCCACGAGGGACTCAGAGGCCTCTGCCCTTCTCGCCTGCTGTCTGCAGGGAGAGGCTGCCCGCCCCACACCAGCTGGAGTTCTGGTGAGCGGCAGATGCAGCCTCGCTGTGGAAATGGCTCTGTCCCTGACATTTAAACAGTGCTGTGGTCTGACCCTTCTTCCAAAGGCAGCATCTCACCCAGCGCACAGCCAAAGGGCAGAGACAAAACCTGATGTGCGGCGGCGTGGAGCAGGTGAAGTGCCGGCCGAGCGCCCACGTGGGCCTCTCCTGAATAACTGACGCCTTACGCAGCATTCCAGGAGCAGCCGGGCGGCCCGCCACAGGCCGGTCACCCAAGAGAGGCAGACAGCAGCACCACTCACCGCAAAGCATTCGTCTGTAGCGAAGAGCTTGGCCATGGAGCACAGGGCCACCGCATCCTCACGTTCCTCCTGCAGAGCCACGGCTGCGTTGCGGATCATCAGCCGTGAGGCCACCAGCCTGGCCACCATATCTGCCAGTTTGAACTGCAGGTACTGCAGTGAGAGGAGAGAAGAGAACCAGACACACAGACAGGCTCAGAGAGCCACCTCTAACCGGGCCGCTTCTAAGGGGCCCCAGGCTCCACAAAGAATGTGCCTCGTTAAGTTCTAAGTCCACTGCACTCCCTGCACTTCAGCATCTCGCCTCCTTAGGAAGATGCTCCCTCCGTCTGTCCCTTCCACCTACAACCAGTAAAACGCCCACAGCTCTGCCCGGCACGCCCTGGGACCCCGAGCCCCTGCACACCTCACGGGGGGTGGGCTGGGACCCAGCACGGGCAGGGCCAGGAAGCAGTGGACGTGGTGCCCGAGACCCCTGCCCCGGCAGCAGCAGCACAGGCCATAGCAGCGCCCCGAACCCAACAAGCTAGACACAGCAGGGCGCCTGCGACCCCAGCTCCGGCCCCGCCCCCCCCGCCTGCTGTGGTGGCAGTGCTCGTGACCCAGGCAACCCCGAATGTGGCAGAGGTGCCCGCCGTCCGGTGCCCCTTGAGGCGACATCAGCCACAGGCACAGCCCCAGGCACAGCAAGCACCAGCACGCCCAGCGCAGCACCTCTGGCAGCAGCGGCAGAGGCAAGAGAAACCAAAGCCCACACTACAGCGCCACCTGCCGAAAACCAAAGGAAAGTTAGAACCAAGTAAAAAAGCTCTACCCAAGAAGGTACTGGCTACTTCAAATGGGCCAGCAGAGGAACAACTCACCAAGCACCATGCAGAAGCACGGTAACACGTGGGACAACAGAAAGACGACAATTCTCCAGAAACCAGACTTAAAGTCATGGAATACTGGGACCTAACTGATGGAGAATTCAAAATAGCTGCATCAGGAAACTCGATGAGTTACGAGAAAAGTCAGATGGGCAGTACTTTACCAAAGAGACTGAGACTCTTAAGAAAGAATCCAACCAAAATTCTGGAGCTGAAGAACTCAATAAATGAGACGGAAAATGCATTAGAGGGCAATGGGGATCGAGCCGACCACAAGGAAGAGGGAACTAGTGAGCTCCAAGACGGAAATCTAGAAATGATTCAGGCAGGAGAGGAGAGAGAGCTAAGATTAAAAACACGGGATCCTACGAGAGCTATCCCACTCCATCAGGAAGAGCAACAGAAGGACAGTGGGCATCCCAGAAGGAGAAGACAGGGGAAGGGAGCACAGAGCTTGTTTAGAAGTAAGAGCTGAGGGCTTCCTTGGTGGCACAGTGGTTAAGAATCCGCCTGCGAATGCAGGGGACACGGGTTCGAGCCCTGGTCTGGGAAGATCCCACATGCTGCAGAGCAACTAAGCCCATGCACCACAACTACTGAGCCTGCGCTCTAGAGCCTGTGAGCCACAAGTACTGAAGCCCGCGCACCTAGAGCCCGTGCTCTGCAACAAGAGAAGCCACCGCAATGAGAAGCCCGCACACCGCAAGGAAGAGTAGCCCCCGCTCACTGCAACTAGAGAAAAGCCCGTGGGCAGCAACAAAGACCCAACGCGGCCAAAAATAAAATAAATAAATTAAAAAAAAAAAAGAAGTAATAGCTGAGAGTGTCCCAAACCTGGGGAAGGAACTGGATACACAAGTCTGTGAAACTAAGAGAAAACCTAATTATCTCAACGCAAAAAGATCTTCTCCAAGACACATAATATTAAAACTGTCCACAGTCAATGACAAAGAAAGAATTTTAAAGGCAGTCAGAAAAAAAGGGCAATAACCTACAAAGGAACCCCATTAGGCTAAGGGCGGAACAGAACTATCTTACAATCCAGCCGTCCCACTTACGGTATTTTTCCAAAGAATATGAAAACACTAATTCAAAAAGATACATGCACCTCTATGTTCACTGCAGCACTATTTACAACAGCCAAGATATGGAAGCAACCTAAGTGCCCATCAATAGATAAATGCACAAAGAAGACAGGGTGTACGTATACAATGGAATATTACTCAGCCATAAAAAAGAATGGAATCTTGCCTTTTGTGACAACATGGATGGACCTAGAGAATATTATGTTAAGTGAAATAAGTCAGACATAGAAAGACAAATACCATATGATTTCACTCATACGAAGAGTCTAGAACACACACAATAAATGAATGCACAAAACAAAACACCACCACGTAGATACAGAGAACAGACTGGTGGTTACCAGAGAAGAAGGGGGTGAGGGGAGGGTGAAATGGGTAAAGGAGATCAACTGTTATGCTGATTGATGGAAATCAGACTTTCAGTGGTGAGCTCACTGTAGTGTATACAGAAATCCAATTATAATGTATAAGTGAGGGACTTCCCTGGTGGTCCAGCGGATAAGACTCCACGCTCCCAATGCAGGGGACACGGGTTTGATTCCTGGTCAGGGAACTAAGATCCCACATGCCACATGCTACACGGTGCAGGCAAAAAAAAAAAAAAAATGTATACATGAAACATATAATGTTATAAACCAGCATTACCTCAATAAAGAAAAAAGAAAGAAAAACTGGAACACAAGCAAAAGAAAAAAGAGATAAATCATCTAATCCCATCCCCCTGAAATAATTACTTCTTGCATTTTTCAGATGTATCCCTGAAAGTGTTTCATTAATATTTATACAGGGACTTCCCTGGTGGTCCAGTGGTTAAGACTTCACCTTTCAATTCAGGGGGTGTGGGTTCAATCCACAGTCAGGGAGCTAACATCCCACCTGCCTTGCTGCCAAAAAATCAAAACATAAAACAGAGCAATATTGTAACAATTCAATAAAGACTTAAGAAAAAAAATGGTCCACATCAAAAAAAAAAAAATCTTTTAAAAGAAATTTAGGGCTTCCCTGGTGGCGCAGTGGTTAAGAATCCGCCTACCAACGCAGGGGACACGGGTTCGAGCCCTGGTCTGGGAAGATCCCGCATGCTGCGGAGCAACTAACCCCATGTGCCACAACTACTGAGCCTGTGCTCTAGAGCCTTCAAGCCACATCTACCAAAGCCTGCGCACCTAGAGCCCGTGCTCCACAACAAGAGAAGCCTCCGCGATGAGAAGCCCCTGCTCGCCGCAACTAGAGAAAGCTGTGCACAGCAGTGAAGAACAAAAGCAGCCAAAGACAGACAAGTAAATTAATTAAAAAAAATTTATACATATTCATGTATTCTGTAAACAAAGCAGAAGCATACTCCTCTAAAATGTCGTGCTTTTTCTTGCCAGTCAATGTATCACGAATCTTTTCACGACTATAAGCAAAAATTATTAAACAATTATTGACAGAAATAGAGCACAAGTTCTGGCTGAAATGGGGGCAGAACCCACAAGAGACATCAGGGCCCCACAGTTGTAGAGAATGTTCTAGAGACAAAAGCAAAAGCTAGGACACCGGGGAAGTTACCTGGTTACTGGCCAGGGGCTCTCCAAACTGCTTCCGGACCTTGAGGTGGTCTCGGGTGAGGATGACCGAAGCATAAGCAGCGCCCAGAGAGCAGGACGCTAGGAAGGACGGTACCAACACGTCAAGTGAGCCAGGGGACCGTGCTGCCCGCCCGCCGCTCCTGCCCCCTGGGGTCCTCACCGACATTGATCCTCCCCCCGTTCAGTCCTCTCATGGCAATGAGGAAGCCCTGGCCCTCGTCCCCGATCCTGTTGGCCACAGGGACAGCACAGTCTTCAAAGATCACTGCTCGGGTCGGCTGTGAGTTCCACCCCACCTGGCAAAAATCAGGGGCTGTGTGGCTGCCCAGAAGTTGACCGCTCAGGGCAGCGTCCTGTCCACCAGGCTCTCCTATCCCTGGACTTAGTCCCTCGGGAACTTCAATGAGGAAAAATAGAAAGGTCACACAAATATCTGTCGACTCAGGTTTTTCTCTTTCAGCTCAACATTTTCAACACATTACGAGCATCTACTTCCTAGCGCCCACTCCACCAGACCAACCTGTCCCCAAACATTTCCCACCGCTTCCTTCAGGATCGGGCAGAGCCCTCCTCCTTTGTGGCACCTCCATGAGTATATTCTTCTATAAAAAACATTGACGGTATAAGGATTACTCGGAGTATGTGTCCTTTTATAAGGACAGCGCAAGGATCATAATGACCAAGAGCCACCCTTGTCCTTTGAAGAGCTCAGCGTTGTTGCACGTGGTGCCGTAACATCCACCACGCTGGCCATCGGCTGCACGGACCCGGCGAGATGCAGGCACTGGCGCGTGGGAGCCAATCACACACACCTTCTCTCAGCTTGGCTGCCGGTGACGTCATCCTGGTGACATCATCCCGGTGACATCACCCCGGAAGCCAGAAATCGGTCCGGGGAGAGTATTTCCACCACAGAAACTGGCAAACACTGCACATGAGGGGCTTCTTGGTGTCTGCTTTTCCCAGGGAGCTGAGGCTCAGTGAGGCAGATCCTGAAGAGCACAAGACCAGACAAAGCCCCCGGCTCCCCGACAGCTGAGAGCCCCACTGCCCTCGTTCAGGGCTCCCTGCCGTGGGAAGAGGCGCTCCACCCACAGCCTTTTATTTAAGGTTTTTCTTCCAAGAGAAGGGCTCAGTCCTTCTCTTCTGTCCGTCACCCTGTACCCTCGATTCCACTCAAACTGTTCTGCGACCTGTGCGGCTGGCCTGTTGACCATACTTCTGCTTCTCCTCTCCCTCCCCGGAAGCACTCCCATCTCCAACCTCCATCAAAGTCGAGCTTCGCTGGAACCTCCTGAGGCCCTTCCGGTCGCCTGAGCCAGCACTGACCTCACTGTCTTTCAGGCCCCCAAGTCTGAAACCTTCCCACACTGGCCTGTGTGGTCTCCCTGGAACTTACCTCCCATCCAGAACATACACACGTGGAACGGGGCAGACGGGCAGACCTTAACGACAGCCAATCATAAGAGAACCACATACAAACAGCTGCTACCTCCTAGCCCCTTCCTGTGAAAGCAGCTCCCTTCTCCCCGGGGCAGAGAACCCCGCTCCTCAACCCCCAGAGCCCCTGGGAGGCTGCAGCCAGAAAGAAGACCCTCCTCCCCACCCCTCCGGCAGCCCCGGCCGCCCAGGACCAGGGGAGCCCTGTCCCGTCCATCTGTCTTTCCTTCCACAGACTGCCTTCCCACTGCCACCCCTCCTACGGGAAAACGCATTCTTCTGTACGAAACCTTTTAACAATTAAATCCAACATAAAACAATTCCTCACACCACTTTCCCATAAAGCCAATGCAGAACTGGTTGTTTAAAGCTCTCAGCTACAAAATGTGCTCAGTAGGCCAAGTCAAAGCACGTGCCTGCAGGAAAGACGGCCATGCAGCTGGAGAGAAAGACCCGCTGCTCAGGCCATCACGGCAGCCAAATCAGCCATGGCGATCAGTGGGTGACCCTGCACCCGGCCTGCGCAGCCCTGCCTGCCTCTCCAACTTCATCCCACACCGTTCCCTTTGCTCACGACCCCCCGGCCACACGGAGAGGCTCTGGCTTCTTCAAACAGGCTCATCCTGCCCCCACCTCGGGCCCTCTGTCCCACTGCCGTCTCTGCCCAGAACTGTCCTCACGGCCGGCTCCCATGACGCTGCAGACCTCATCTCAAAGGACACCTCATCTTCAGAGAGTCGTCTGTCCCCACCCTGAGAAGCTCTCCTCCGTCCATGACGTAGCCTCCAGCCTGCCTTCCTCCCTTGCCCTGAGCGCTGATGGAAGGCACCGTGTTGGTTCCTGCGCCCACCCTCCACCCTGCTGCTAACAGGCCAATTCTACAGGGCAGGGCGCGTCCGTGCGGGCCCCTGCTCTGTCCCACCACTCGGTACAGTGGACCCCTGCTAGCTGCTCAACGAATGAGACACCCTTCCAAATTCCCCACACATTATAGGACACGTAAAGCAAGACGCATAATTAAGAAGAAAACAAGCAAAAAGAAATACGATATATATGCTTAAAAGCGAGAGGAGACAGAAAGTAAAGGTAAAGAGACGCTTTTTGTTGATGGAATTTACTTAGTTTTTCTCCAGGCCCTAACCTTGTCAGCTTTGGTATGCTATCAACCGATACCAGAAATACTGATGTGCTGAAATAATCATCACTGTCTTTATAAGCACAAACACCAGAATCAGTATGACTTGGTCCTGGAAAATTATGTCAGGCTCCATGTCAGTCTGTCTTATAATCCCAAACAGACATTCCTAGGATTAAGAAGTCTTAGAGCTACCTATCTCATATACCACGTGTACACAGCTTACATAGCTTATAAAGGTAAGCCGATGTCTTAGAATCCCAGACAAGCTGTGGTGATTCTTGTACCCCCAGGAGCGAGTGTAAGCCTTTGCAGAGTCTGTGTCTAGCAGGTCCTGCTTTCCTGTACAAGAGAAGGGGCACTGAACCTCTGAACTCCTAGCAGCTACAAAGGTTCAGGAAGGTCATGAAGGGACGAATGGGGAACCGGGGAGCCAGGAGAGGAGAGGTAGATTAGGGGCCATTTCATTACTGACTTCTCTCCAAAAGCTCCAACTCTAACAGTACCTGCTGGAGGTGGAGGCCAGTCACCTGGCCTGGCCCACCGGACTAGATCCCACCCTCATCACCAGTGACAGTTACATAACCACAGGTCTACTGTTCATGGCCTGGCTACTTCTTAATCCTAAAAACGTCTTCTCGAAGCCTATGGAAACACTCTTCCTCTTACATTACTGAAAGACCCACAATCACTTCCAGTGAGTTTTACTGTATTTTTATTTAGAGAAGAAAAGTGGCCCATATGCTTTTCATTGCTGAGACCTCTAGTCTTCTGCAAGCATTTCCTCCTGGGGGAACAAGAGGGCATCAAGATAAGAAGGTAGATAAGAGATACAGGCCAAAAGTGGCTGCAGGAGAGATGACAGAGAAACCCCTCCTATTGATGAACTTCCTGGCAAATGCTGCCACTTCACCAGCGGTCCAGCGCACTCTGACGCCCTATCCCGCTGATACACTGTGGAAACCCTAATTGAAGGCCAGTGAGCCAGTGTGGAACCCATTTCCCGAAACAGAGCAGAGGCTGGTCTGGCAGAAGCAAGAGGCTCACGACCTGACTCTCCCTGTCCAACCGCACTCACCTTTCTCTCCTTCTTGCCGAAGCTGAGGCCAGGGGTCCCCTTCTCAACAACTATGCACGAGATGCCTTTGGGGCCTGGTCCTCCTGTTCGGCACATGACCACATAGATGTCTGCTTCGCCTCCACCACTGATGAAGGCCTGCGGGTTTGGAGAGGGGAAAACACTGCGGTCCTCTGACGATGGGACAGTGAGAGATATGGTGGCACAGAGAAACTAAGGAGGGTTACAAAGAGCCGGCACTGAGGCTGTAGAAAGGACAGACACTAGTGAACGGAACTAAGTGGACTGAGACCCGAAGAGAAACAGAGACAGTGAACACGGGAAGTCGGCCTGAGGTTCCCTCCCACACGTACCACCCCCGGGAACGTTCACTCGCGGACCTGGGGTCCAGGCTGCGGAGGCAGGAGGGGGACAGTCTGCCCGGGGAGGACCGAGGACGGCATGCTTGTACCTTGGAGCCACTGAGCACGTAATGATCTCCTCGTCGCTTGGCGGAGGTCAAGAGGGAGGCGGCATCACTCCCACTGCCTATGGCAGGGACAGGAGGGAAGCGTAGAGGTGGGAGAGGGCCTGGGAAGGTAAGGAAGCCCCGGCAAGGCTCTACCTGAGAAATCTTCCCTTACAAAAAACACCTCAGAGTTTGATACTTTAAAATGCATATGGCTGAGAAGCTCTCTATACTTGTGAAAACTGCATACGGCAATCAGACCCTTTTCCATCTCCCATCACACTAGCTTGCAAGGAGCCTCCTACAAGGAGGTTCTGGTCTGCAGCCTGGAAAGACTCTGCCCTAGAGAGCTCTTAGCCTGTGACATCAGGCCACGGCCATCAGGCACTCCTGGTCAACAACGGCTACACGTGCGGGGCTGAGAAGGCACGCCCCGTGATTTCCCATGAGCCACACCTCCTGCTGCATGGCAAACCCACCTGGTTCAGTGAGGCAGTAGGAAGCAAACTTCTCCATGGTACAGAGTGGAGGGCAAAACCTGTGCCTCTGTTCCTCACTTCCAAAGGTATCAATCATCCAGGCACACATGCTGACAGGTACACCAAGAAGAGACATTGACAGAGATAGAGAGGGAAAAGAAAAGGAAATTTGAGGGGGGAGGGGAACGGGGAAAGAGAACAAAGGCAGCAAAGTAGAGTGAAGCAGAACAGAGTGGGAAGGGAAAAGTCACAATTGAGAAGATTCATCTTTAAAGCAAAGGCCTGGATTAACACATATTCCTGGAACACATACTACCCAGACGTACCCAGGGCCAAGGTATTTCCCACCTGGATGCTGTTCATGCTATTTCTAGTTAGGTTAACTGAGCTCCCTAAAAATCAAGGAGTCACATGTCCTTTCCCAAATTAGTGGAGGCTTCATCTCTGGGCTAAGGAAAAGGGAACAGGCCCCAACCACTCTACTGGAGAAGTCTGTTTGGTACCAGGTCAATCTGGAATTTGGGAGAAGGCCAGCATTCTCTAAGCAACATACAAGATGACAGATTCAAGTCCAACAGGGAGCAGCAGACCTAACTGCGAACTTTTAACTGTCTAGTCCTTCAAGGACAGCCAACCTGAAAAGAGCAACCTTTTCCCTGTTTATATAAAATTTCCCAGCCAGCCCGCACGAGCACGTCACCGTGCTTCCCGATCTTGGCCACTCACTTGTGGATGCTTATGTAGGCTGTGGTGCTGGTGCAGCCTGTGGCCAAGGCTTCAAAGATGACAGAGGTGTCGAGTCGTGACAGTCCAGACCCTCCTACATCTGTTCGTACGTAAATCCCCCCAAAGCCCAGCTGGGCTGCCTTCCGCATCACATCCACTGGGAACAGCTCCTGCGTACGAAGAGCGCAGGGTCATCAGCAAGTTATTCACAAACGGCCTTTTCTTTACAGGGCACAAGGAAGGATCGAGACGTTTGCACTCGGGAGAGAGTAGGGAGTCTCTTAACATGCCTTTTGTCATCTATATAGTGGAACCAGTTAAAATGCATTCTATAAGGACTGGTTTCTGGCATCAAAGTTTCTTTTTATCATCAATAGAATTGCCTTGGTTTAAGAGTGCCCAAATCTCTGTGCAATTAAAAGAAATGATATCTACAGGATGCAGAAGATGCTTTCCAGGAAAGGAATCACACCACTCCTGGAACTTGCATTCGCTGTGAGAGTTTTAAGTGGAGAATAAATACCAAACAATCTGGATCATAAGGAGGAGATAAGGGTCACTGCACGAGGTGTCTGTGGGGATATCCAGCATAGGAAAACCCGCACCTTCTGGTCCCACTCTGCCATGTTTGGCGCCATCTCCCGGGCAGCAAAGTTGAACGCCACTTTCTGGAACTCTTTCTGCTCTTCGTTTAGTCCCGTAGAAGCTGTGGGCAAGGCGGCATTTACTCAGAACCAGGACAGGGGTCAGGGAAGTGTACTGCAAGCAAGAAGCACCACGAAGCCCGGGCCGGCGGTGGACCTACGAGAGCATTCCCACAGGGCACACCACCTCCAGCACCCACCGTTAATCAGCGTCTTGATGTAGCATCACCTGCCTCCTTCCTTCTTTACTCCCAAACAGACTGGCTGACTTCATTTACCTTGTTACTTATTCTTTCAATACTCATCTTCATCTCTTCCTCCTCACGAATCCACATTAAAGGAGTAATAAACACACTGACCCTCAAATTATGATGAACATATTTTTCCTTCAGGATGTCCTGCATTTTCTGTATTGGAACCTGTGCGTATTTGTCTACCAGCTACAACAGTTTCATTTTAAAACATCAGTCAGGAAAGGAAGATACGTGTACTTTGGCTTACCTTCCAAATTAAGGAAAAGATCCTGTAACAAAGCTGTGCATTTGACAGTCACTGATAACAATGATAACGAGTCTTCCAGTGTTGAAAACATGGCTAAGGCCTTCCTAAATCCGTCTTCACCTAATGGATTCACAATTTTTAGAATATTTTCTTTCCTAACTGTTAATGCTGTGACTTTGGGTAACTCCTTCACTTCCAGGTCTAAGCTACTTAAAAGCTAAGGAAATGAACTGACTGAGCAATACCAAGAGACAGGTAGTGGACAAGTTTCTCTGGAACCTTAAACATTTTGTAAAAGACTATACTATTCCAGTATTTCATCAAGGGTGATACTCTTTAGGAGAAAGATATCTGCACGAGCCTACGTGAAATAGTGACCACTCAATTCACAGTGTCATTACTTTACAACTTTTCTTTAAAGAGCCAGTTCCCCGAATGACACGAACACTATTTATTTTCTATGTTTTTTTTCAAACACTGTGCAGAATGAGGTAGGACTCAATTGGAAAGCAGAGCGACAGGCCATCTAGCTGGTCATGTGGGCCTGAAATATCTTTCCCGTTTTGCAAGGTGATAAGACTTTCAGCTAGAGACAGGCCAGAAGCTAAAAGGGAAGAACCTAAGCAAAGCTCCTGTGAAAAACCACAACCTTTTGGGAACCGTGTAGAGAATCTAGAAATGAAAGGACCATGAATCCTGGGAGCCACCATGCAGAAGGGTCAGCAACCTGCACAGGGTGACAGACTTACGCTGCTCACGTTATCTTTCTTTTGTTTTCTTAGGACTGCCGTTTTGAAAGGACCGCCTGCCTCACATGTGCCAGGAAGAGAGAACGGAGTGTCTGCTGCAGCTGGAGGCACAGTGGTGGCTGAGGAAACATCAGGGGAAGAGGAAGTGTTGGGCTCTCCACTGCTTTCTAAGGTTTCAGCCTTTTGGTCCTGGGGTGATGCTAAAGAGCACACCCGACCACGACTTCCTTCAGTGCCTGACTGTCCTGCGCGGCCCTTCCCACTGAGAACAAGGGCAGGTGGCAGCATGTGTCTCTGGGTAGACCTGGGCCTCAGGAGTGGCTGCTGTGTGAAGCAGGACAAAGCTGTCTGTCTGTAGCAGGACCCTCACCAAAATGGGAAACTGAGAAGTGATGAGTTGTGAGGATTAAAGATGACGCTACCTTGAGAAGTCCAAAGCAGAAAACTACGTTGGGTGTTGCTCTCGGAAATGTGGTTAGGGATAAACAATTCATGGTTCCTTGCCTGGGAGTCGGGTCATTTTCCATTCACAAAAGAATACTGACTGTCTACCATGGAGCAGTGCTGGGGTGTCAAAGATGAAAATGGTCCATTCACCCAAAGGATGACATAAGTGGTGAGAAAGCAAACATCTGACTGTACACGGGCTACAATACTTCCGTCCCAGCAAGAGCTCAATATGTGTCTACAGATATTATTATTAGTATTTGACAGAGTAAAACAAGTAATTCAGGGTATAAAAGGTCTAAGAAGTAGATCTGAATTGCATACAAAGTAAATAAGAGGGAATGGGTGTACACAAATCAGATGTACAGGCACACCTTGTTTCATTGCCCTTCATTTCTCTCTGCAGAATCTGTGTTTTTCACAAACTGAAGGTCTGTAGCAACTCTGTGTTGTCAAATGATGGTTAGGCTTTTTTAGCAATGAAGTATTTTTAAATTAAGGTATGGACATTGTTTTCTTAGACACAATGCTACTGCACACTTAATAGACTACAGTGCAGTGTAAACATAACTTTTACAAGTACCCGGAAAACAACAAAGTCGTTATTGCAGTATCTGCTTCATTACAGTGGTATGGAACCAAACCTGCAGTATCTCTGAGGTGCACCTGTATAAATACAACATAATTACATATTTATTTAAGATAGATAATAATCAATTCTAGATAATGGAATGCTAACAAAAGGAGAACACTGCTTGGAGAAAAAAAGTGGAAATGGCAAGCTAAAAAGTAAATTATACACAAGAAAGCATGGTTACTGAGTAAAAATACCTAAGTTCTCAGAAAACATGCACTGGAAAACAAAACAAGACGAAAACCAGGAACTTCCCTGGTGGTGCAGTGGTTAAGAATCCACCTGCCAATGCAGGGGACACGGGTTCAAGCCTTGGTCCGGGAAGATCCCACATGCCACGGAGCAACTAAGCCTGTGCGCTACAACTACTGAGCCTGGGCTCTAGAGCCCGCGAGCCACAACTACTGAGCCCGTGAGCCACAACTACTGAGACCGCTGTGCCACAACTACTGAAGCCCACGTGCCTAGAGCCCCGTGCTCCGCAATGAGAACCCTGCGCACCACAACAAAGAGTAGTCCTGCTCGCTGCAACTAAAGAAAGCCCGCGTGCAACAACGAAGACCCAATGCAGCCAAAAATAAATAAATAAATAAATTTATTAAGAAAAGAATCTTTGAATGCATCCAAAGGCCAAATCTAGCCAGAGACTCAACAGTTCTGAGAATCCTGGAGCTCAAGGAACGCTTGGGAAGCTGCAGCAAATCACAATGAGGGAGCACTGGACAAGGAACCAGGTGTTCAAGATCTGGGTCTGCAACTATTAATTATACAATTTTCAGGAAGTCAGGCCTCCAGACTCCTCCCTCAGCCTCAGGTGCCCTGCTGTAAAACCAGGGGGCTGCACTAGACACTGAGCAAGTTTCCTCATCTGTAAAATGATATATCAGATATAATGAAAATCATAACGCTCTTAAAAATTACTTTTCACATTAAAATATGCCATGAATCAATGAGAAACCTTTGTTGATCACTTCCATTAACTTGATATTCTAATATGTAGAATGATACACCTAAAGGACAGTTTTCTTTCATTTTACTAATTAAAAGAGCATTAAAAAGCACCTTCAACTGGTTGAAGTTACACCACTAGCCACCGGATATACTTATATTTAACCAATTTGTTGCCAATCAACAAAGGTGACCTTGCTTACCGAATTCTAAGGGCTAGGATAGGGTGGCACCCTGTGAAGGTCTTTTAGAACATTGAGAAGAAAACTGTCCTATACCTTGGCGTCCTTTACAGCTCTGGATGTCGAGCTAAGGCCCTCACAAGCTACTCTGCTGTTTTCAAAACTGTCATTTATTAAAAATTTTAAAAAAGAAAGACTTCAAAAGAAAAAAGTGGTTAGGCGCCCGACAACGTCACAAAGTGTCTGGTTACACCCTAGGCGGCCTAGGTCCCCCCCACTCCGTTACTGGCATCGAAATTATTTGCCTGGTGCCAGGAGACATTCAGATCTGTAAGCTCTGGTAGTTTCCCATTTGCAACAGGTTATTTTTCTGCAGAAATTTCAACAGTTAAAGTGTTTTGTAGTTACAGGTGTTGTTCTATAATTTATATATGGGAGCAAACCTTGTATCACCGGAGATTTTGTTCACCAATCACAACCAGCCCCGGGCTTTTCACATTCTTACTGCCTTTAGAACCGATGGTTGTGATTTAAAAAAACAAAGTCACGAGCTTCCGCGGCGGAGCCCGTCGTTATCCGAAAGCAGATGGGTAACGACGTAGCTCCGAATTGTGAGAGGAAAGGTCGCAGGGGCGGCCTCGCGAAACGTACCGCCAGGTTCATAACGCAAAGCACGGTAAGGGCGGTCTGTACAAGGACGGACCAGCATCGGCCACCGGGCTGAGCCGCCGAGGGTCGCCCGCCCCCGGGGCCGCGCCACGTCTAAGCCGGGGAGACCACTAGGCCCGGGGCGCCCGGACAGGCCGACGCGGTGAATGAGGGCGGCCAGGCCGGCTAGGAGGGCGGCCGGGCCGGCCAGGTGGACGGACCCCTACCCCCGGGCGAGCCTTACGATCGATGCAGGAGACCACGCCCCGCCGACCGCTTTCGGCGGGGGCCTGGAGCCCGCCGCGCAAGCCGCGCAGCCGCGCCCCGACACGCCACCACGGGACCCACAACATAGCCGCCGCCTGCTCCACTCCTTTCAGCTCGGGCCGAGGTCTGAGCGCCGGTGACCCCGACCGGCCGGCCACAAGGGCCGCGCCGCACCGCACGCTGGGAGCTGTAGTGCGCGCCGTGGCCCCGCGTGCAGGCTCGGGGCGCCTGCGCGAGGAGCCGGGACTACAACTCCCAGGGGTTCCCCGGGGCGCGCGCCAAGACAAGAAAGCGCCGCGGGGACGCTGTGCAGCGCCCTGCGGCGCGCGCGGGGAGGTGGGTTGGAGTAGTGCTTCGAAGGCTTGCGGACTCGCGGGGGTAGCTGTGATTGAGAAAGAAGACCACCGGGGGCGCTCAGCGGCGGTCTGTGCTAGGCGGACATACTGGTGTGGGTAACGCGGAAGGATTCCCCGGGCGCCCTGGGCGACGGCGGGACCCTCTATCCTCGGCGCGCGGGGACGCCATGCCGCGAGCCCGGAAGAGGCCGGCGGGGGCCGCGAGGCCAGGTGAGCCGCGCCCGGCTGCTCAGTGCCCCTCACCTTCCGCCCCTGCGCGTGGGGAAAGGCCCGAGTGGGTCGTTTTGAGGTCCGATGTCCCGAGCCGCTCACCAGGCTTATGCTCAGGGCCCCTCTGCTGTTTGCTCGTCCGAGCGGTAGCTGTTTGGAAAGCACGAAAAGTAGCTGGGACACGGGCTGGCAGGCCGGTCGTTTACAGTTCCCGCTCCCCGGAGAGCCAGACGAGGAAGGAAGGGGTCACTGGGGCTGTGAGAGCAGGGAGGGGTTGGGGGGACGCCTTGAGAGGGAGGGGATTTGAGTCTAGCCGTAAAGAATGCGTAGGAACCCGTTGTGTTCACAAGGATGAGTGGCATTATAGGAGCAGCAGCAAAGCAATGCACGACAGAGAAAGTGCTTTTTCGAGACTGGGGAGGGTTCCGAGTTGCCCACAACACATTGCTAACAGCACACACGGTGTTTACAGTGTGCCGATCAAGTCCAGGGGGACCACCAGGACCCTAGGAAGGTTCCACGTGTTAGACGTCCATCATGATGGCATACGTAGAAGCTTGGACTTGGTTCAGAGGCTGCGTAGGATGGTCGTTTAGTGGATTCAGATAGACCAGCGTGGCAGGCCCTGATGTGTGATCTGGGACACATCTTACAGATGGACAGAACACCTCATAGATTGTGTAGGCGTAGGGTAAGAATTTAACAGCTATTAGTTACAGGGCACCCACTCTGCTCCAGGCACATTTCCCTCACTCTGTACGATAAAGTCCAGTCTTGACCATGTCTGCAGAGTCCAAAGTGGCTGTTTTATCCAGCTTTTCTTGGCACCTTCAAGGAGTAGAAAGGAGGCAGGCCACAGAGCATACTGAGCAAGAAGGAAGAAGTCAAGGTGACCTAATAGCTAATATTATTGAGCATTTATGGTAACGCCAGACACTGCTTCAGCCCATTGTTTGTATTATCTTATTTAATCATATAAGCAAGTCCGTGGAGTAGGTGCCTTGTTGGAGAGAACAGCCCCAGCAAAGGCAGAGGAGAGGGTGAGGAAAAGAAAACATTGACTGCTTAATAGATGCCACGGGAGTTATCCTTATCCCACTGAATGGGTAACCCAGAAGATGTCCTGTAAGGTAGGCGTTCTGGTCCCATTTTTATAGATGAGGAACAAGTTCAGCAATGAAGCTGCCACTGTTAGTAACTGACAGCTCCAAAATTTGAGTCCAGCTCTGACTCCAAAGCATGTGCTTTTCCTGCAACAGAACTTTCTCTCTCAACAAGCAAGAAAGTTCTCTTCTTTTTTCTTCTCCTATTGCAGACAAGAAGGGGCCAGGCAGAAAACGTACCAAAACTGAGGACCCAGGGGAGGCATCAGCTAAGGTGGAGAACTCCAGCCTCCAGGAGACTTCAGCCTCTAGAGACTGTGGGAAGAACCTAAGCAGCTACTGGCTGATGAAGTCAGAGCCAGAAAGCCGACTGGAGAAAGGGGTAGATGTGAAGGTGAGGTCCCGCACCTGTCTCCAGAGTGCACGGGGGACACCACAGGGTCCCATCACCCACTTCTTACCTTCGAAGGGTAGGAAAAGGTGATAAAGAATAGAATCAGCAGGATTTATTGCCATCCACTCTCTGTTTTGTGAATCTTCTACTTAGGGCAGGGGTTGGCAAACATTTTCTCTAAAGGGCCAGGTGGTGCTGTTGCAACTCTGCTGGCATCACAAGAAAGACATAGACAGATAGTGTGGCTGAGTTCCGATAAAACTGTCAGCAAAATCAGGCATGGGCTAGATTTGGCCTGAAGGCTATAGTTTTCCAACCCCTGATCTAGGCAACATTGAGTCTTAGGTTGCCTTTCTCTTGCCACCTGCCACGCTCCTAGGTATCTCCCTGCCAACAGCTGGTACACAGGAGGCGAATGTAAATCAAATTTCATAGTAGCCTGGAGAAAATAAAATTAGAGATACTATAGAAGGCATATATAATATTTTAATAAATGAAATACAGATAGTCAGCAATTACCAGATTATCCACTCATCTAATCCTCTCAATGAGCAAGGCTAACAAGGTAACACAAAGCTAACTTCTACTTGCGCAGTATGAGTGGCTCTGTGAAGAGCTTCCCAGTAAGCTCACATGCCATTCCAGCTGGCAACACCCTATAGGGGAAGGAACTTGTCTGCTTCCATATATTCTTACCGATTGGCCCAGGATTGTTTACTGAATGACCTTATTTCTTGCCCAGTTCAGCATTGAGGATCTCAGAGCACAGCCCAAGCAGACAGCATGCTGGGATGGTGTTCGCAACTACCAGGTAAGCGGGTTAGACAGGACCTCGAGACCCGGGAGGGGATAAAAGCCTGCTTCCTTCTGACTTATTCAGTAGCAAAATCTCTTGGCTAAGGTGGTTTTTTCCCAGAACCCAAACCTGAAAATATATTAACAAATGCCTTGATTTCTTTGACTGCACGCAGTTTTCAAATGGCCTGTGTTCCAGCCAGTGTCCTGATACAGCTCTGGGTAAAAGGCAAGAATTGAACTGCAGGGTGTGGGGGGAAGCTGCGAAAACCAAAATCTCATCTAATAAAAGCAGACTTGATTTCCAGGGCTAGTGTCTTCTAGCTGGTGGGAGGATAGTTCTTGTTTCTTCTCTGCTGGAACAGGCCCGGAACTTCCTGAGAGCCATGAAGCTGGAGGAAGAAGCCTTCTTCTACCACAGCAACTGCAGAGAGCCAGGCATTGCGGGGCTTATGAAGGTCGGTTGTACAGGCTTAGGTCTGAGTCCATCTCCCTTCATGCAGGTTAGGGAGACAGCATAGGCAGGTAACCCCGCTCCCCATCCCTGCTGTCTCAGGGACATGTGACAGGACTGCAGCAAGGCAGGCCTTCATTTCAGGCCCCGCTGGCACAGACCTCTCCATTTCTGCACCTTGGTCTTTCACTCAAAAACAGGCCTGATGGTAGCTCTTCCAGGCCAGGAGTTACCAGGATAGAATTAACTGTAGGTGGAGAAACAGTGGCACCAATGATAACCTTTAATGTTTGGTTTTAGAACATACTTTTAAGATTTTTGTCAAAATAGGGTTGATTTCCTCTGCTTATCTTAGACTGTGTATTACTTCCAGATATTTGAGCCCTCAGTGGCTCAACAGCGAGACAGATGGGGTAAGAATACGTAGGGTAGGAAATGACAGTTGGACTTGGACTAAAGCCTGGCCATGGAGCTGACTGGACAGACAAATGATTGGAGACTCGGCTTTAATTTCAGATTGTGAAGGAGGCATACCCAGACCACACACAGTTTGAGAAAAACAATCCCCATTATGATCCATCCAGCAAAGAAGACAACCCCAAATGGTCCATGGTAAAGATACTACTATTCTTCCTATTTCACAAAAGAGAAAGGATGGACAGAGAGGGAGGAAGAAGGTCTGGGGTATCTTTAGACCAGGGCACAGAGCCCCGCTCAGTCCGATGAGGTTACCCTGCCTTTGGAGAGAAGGACAAACACCGGCAGCCAGGCTCACGGGACCTCCTGCAAGCAGCTAAAACACAGGAGGCAGAGTCCAGCTGGACGTGCCTTTCTGTCCCATACACTGTTGCCATGTAGGTGGACGTACAGTTTGTTCGGATGATGAAGCGTTTCATCCCACTGGCTGAGCTCAAAACCCACCACCAAGCGCACAGAGCCACTGGCGGTCCCTTAAAAAACATGGCTCTCTTCACCCGCCAGAGACTCTCAGTCCAGCCCCTGACCCGAGGTAAGAACGGCTCTCGCCTTTTGATCACATGCCAGAGTGACCGTGAATTCACATGTACTAGCTGGTGAACCCTAAGCACGGTGGTTAAGGTCTGAGTCTGTCTTCCCACCTGTAACTCCCACGAGGGAGGAGCCCCCTTGAGCTGCCCAGGGCAGCTGTGCTCGGCACCTGTCGAAACGCCCCTGAGGGTTCTGAGTGTAGGACTACCTGCCTCGTGACTTGAGAAATGCCTGCCATGACTGCTCTGTTCAGGAGGAGACACAGACCTAATTCTTCCTCTTCTTCTTGCCCTTTTCGGCAGAGGAGTTTGATTTTATTTTGAGCCTGGAGGAAAAGGAACCGAGTTAATGGAGACACAGCTCTGCTGAAGTGGGCAAGATGTTGCCTGAAAGTCAAGCTTCCACAAGACAAAAGAAGGCGTGGGGAACATGCTGGTTGTGTTCACCTGGCGTTGTGTATAGACGTCGGGTTTGGGTCCTTTTTAATAAAACATGAATGTTTGAGTTGGAGGTGTTTCTTTAAAATCAGCATCGGGGGTAGAATACTCCACTGCACGTCTTTACATCCCCTCGGCCAGATGCAGGGCCCAGTCTGCTGACACCCACTAACATGGATTGTCTCTACACCAGCCTTCCTTAACCCACCCCTGAAGTATCTGGTCCCAGAGTGGGTAAAACCAGCAGTTTCAGGACAAGTTGCCAGACTGGAGTAAAACCAGAATGCCTTTCTCAGCCATGGGCTTGTCTAAAACAGGCATTAATAGAGTGGGTGTCATTGTTCACCAGGGGCCACAGACACCAGGAGGGCAGGTGTCGTGGGTCAGGGCGGGGCGTCTCCCCTTGTGTGCGGCAGGGCAGTAAGAAGAGACCACAGAGTCTGGTGGACCGTGGGCATGATGCCTCCGAGCCCAGGGGCTTGCTTTAATCAGGGAGAGAGCTGAAACAGACTGCTTTGTTTAAAACAGCCATTGAAAAGACACACGTTGAGAAACTTGTAAACACCGCAGCTGCTCAACCCCAGGCCGCAGTGCTTGGTTCAGTCCCTATGCTCTGCCAGGGTCCCAGGGATGGGCCTCCCCTTCCCCGACGCACAAAGAGGCAGAGAATGGGGCAGGGGAAAGAACAGAAGCTCCCGAGAGGACAGAAGCAAATTCTACCTCTAGTTCTCTCAGGAGACAGGCTTCAGGTGTCGGGAAGGTTGGGAAGTGAATCTGTGGTCGGCTGGAAGGCAGAGGGATCGGCGGGTACCTAATAGTTAAGGGGCCAGCTGTCGTGGGATGCGCCAGAGCCCCAGCTCACGCTCCGGAGAAGGCGAGGGACACAGGAGCTGCCTCTCCCACGCTTAGGCCCCCAACCCTGATAATCCAGGGGCAGTCGCACAGGTGGTCCTGTCCCCACGGGGACTGTCCTTCACACCTGAACCCGGGGTCCAGCCTGGGGGAACCAGCTTCCCTTGCTTGGTTCTTCTGCCCCCAGTCCACCTCGAGCGTCACCCCAAACGCCCTTCCCTCCCATCTCAGCTCTGATCCGTGAGCCCTGCCCAGTCCGAGGCCTACCGCTGCACCAATTTCCGAGGAAGAGACGGGTCCCCGTTTTCCACACTAACTGAAAGATGACACAAGAACCAACCCCTCTGCTTCCCAAATGACAGAGAACTCAGACCACCAACTATTGTACCTGCTGGCCATGGGGGTCTGCTTGGTCTTTCTAGAAGGGAAGAGAGGCCAACAGGAGACAGGAAGGACATGCACACCCTTAACAGGACAGGCGCGGTGCAGTGCAACAGCGGGAGACCCTCTCTAGCATGATGAGAGCGTCCACATACACAGAACACCAACGGTCCTAAGCTCTGGTCAGCCGGCTGGTGGGGAGGATGGCGGCTCAGGAGGCCCTCCCCTTCCTCCCAGCTCGCAGGGTGAGCACAAAGCTTCTACATGTGAGAACAAGTGCCGGTTCCCAGGAGTGAGATGGGCAGCAGGGAGCCAAGAGGGTCCACTCCCGGGGAGGCGGAGAGAACGGGCCCTTCCCGGACCTCTCCTCGGGGGAAAGATGTCCTCGTTCAGGGCCCGGGGCTGAGGACCTCTGGCCCTCAGGGTTGCCCGCACCGGGCACAGCCGCCGAGGTCCACCCGGTTGCCATCCACGGGTGACACAGATGTCTTTGTGCCCAGGGATATCAGCCAAAGCCCCTACCACAAGCTCCCGTTCCATCCAGGACATGACTGACCAGAGTCCCTGGGAGGTGCCCGGTCCCAGCGGTGAGAGAAGGGCCAGAAGGAGGGTGGCTTGTGGAGGCTCCAAAGCACCACATTCGAGACTCCCAAGGAGGCAGCTTCCTGGTCTTGAACCCTCACCGCCAGTTAGAGCGGGGCGGGCGCCACACCCTCTGCCACTCGCTAAGGGACGGGGGAGGGGAGTGTGAGACAGGACCACCCGTGGGACGCACCCCCAGCCCCCAGCTCCTGTCCCAGGAGGCTCAGAGCCCGGCCGCGCTGTGCTCCCACGGCCCAGGCAGCCCCGCAGCCGGCTCTCCCCGGGACGCCCCCTCTCCCTATGTTCCCATCAGCCACAGCGTCCCAGAGACACTCCCTCCCAACCCCAACCCCTTAGGTTCTTCAGGAAAAAGAATTTACATCAAGAACATGATTTGTTTTCAGGTTGCGAGTAGCGGGTCAGCTGAGCATCTTGCTGCCCCGGCTGCTGGTGCCTGTGGGCCTGGAGCCGGGGTGGGAGCCCAGCAGCTTCCTGGCCCCAGGCCTACTGTCTGCTGCTGCCGTCGGACAGCTGGCCGGGGTTCCGCGCCTCCCCCAGGGGGGCCGTGCCCTCGAAGCGCTGCGAGGCGATGGCTGCCTGGTGGGACATGCTCTTCCGAACGATGTCACCCTTCCGCCACAGGACCACTTCCTGCAGGATGGGCAGGCGGGGGTGGGGGGGGCAGGCGACACGTGAGAGGGAGGCCTGGGGAGGGTCCCAGAGGCTCTGCCTTCTCCCGGGAATCTTAGGCAAAAGCCTCCGCTCATATCTCACCAATGACAGCAGCCGTCCACACCTCTGGGCCCCAGGTGCCTGCTGACAGTGTGGCCGGGAGGGCAGAGCAGCCGCAGGGGCTGGGCCCGAGAAAGCAGACTCTGGGCGTCAACTGGGAACCCCCGTCCTTGCTGTGGGGCTCGGGGTAAACTAAGTGGCACAGAGACTAACCAGCTCACCCCCCATCCCCATCCCGTCTGCTTGCCCTGGGCGGGGACGATGCCCTCTGATTCTGTCTGGGCGGCCGGGGCTCTGGGGGCGGCCAGCTCACCTGCTGCTTGAAGTAGCGCCGCTCCTCCTCATCAATCAGCACCAGGTTGAGGTAGTAGCGCACAGAGAACTTCTTGTTGATGTCCCGCATGGTGGGCGTGAGCTCGTAGCCCGCCAGGAAGAGGCGGATGGGGATGGACTCTCCTGCAAGGGCCGGGCGGGAGTCAGGGCGAGGGCAGGGGGGCCCCACCTTACACCGCGGTGGAGGGGCTGCCTGAGGGGGGGGTTGGACACCCAGGCTAACGCTTCTGCCTTCGGGGAGGCGCCTGCCGCTGCCTGGTGAGTGTGAACAGCACAAGAATGCTAGGTAAGCATCTTCTGACTCATTTAGTGTGTATAGTTGTTGGGTTTAAGAGCCATTGTCAAACCCCAGCTAACCCAACATGTCACCCAGTAATTCTGATGCCACCTCCCTCCATCCCAATTAGCATAGCCCCCACCCCGTACGCCTCCCCTCTAAGTCGAGTTGGCAGGGTGTGGTGGTCTGGAAAACAGAAAAGCTTCTCTCTGGACCCAGTTCTCTCCACTGACCCGAGGTATGACTCTGAGTAAGTCTGGTGCTTTCCGTGGACTTTCATTTTCTCATGGGGAAAATTATGATATCAGGCTACATAATATTTTAGATTACTTCCAGCTCTAACACTGTGCCTCTCCTAAGATAAGTGGAACAAAATCAGGGCAGAATTCTGCTGAGAAAGTCCAAACCTACAGTGCAGCCTAAAGCCAAACATGAACCCTGTTTCACTTCGCACTGTTCTGTGCTCATCTCGGTGTCCTGTCAGTGCCACTGGGAGGGTGAGCTCAGCCCAGCTGCTCGGATGGGGAAACATGGAACAAGCAGGCAGGATGGCTCAGCCCTGCCCCGAGGACCCCGCTCGTGACCTCCGAGGGCCTGAGAAAGCTATGACACCCCTCCTTCCACGTGGAGCAGACTGGGAAAAAACTGAATGAAACCTCCGCAGCGCCAAGCACTGCTACGTGAAAACACTTCATCATCAGCTGCTGCAGAGCCAACAAAGAATGTACTCGACTGCTCCTCCTAACAATCACACAACTTCCCACCCAGCTCTCAGCTCCCCTCATCCCAGAGGTCACGCTGGCACTGTGTGCAGCACTAGAAGTGTCGGTCAGGGTGTGTGGACTTAGCGAATGAATTCAGAGCATGACTCGTTTTACCTGAGTAGGAACTAAGTAACAGAAATGAGGATTCTGCTTTAATCTCTTGCCCATCCCCCCCGCAGCAAAGAAATTCAGAATGTCAATAGGAAAGTGTAAACAGAGTGTTCAAACTGTATCTGCTAAACTGGTGCTTTTCAAACGTCTTTTGATTTTTTTTAAGACATAACTCTTGAGATTTAAACTGCAGTACAAGCTCAGTCTATAAACGAGGTCCACTCGGACGTCTGCTGGGTGAAGGTGAGCGGGGCCTGAGCTCCACACCCCCAGCCTCCTTCTCCTCCTTCTCGGGACCCACAGTGCACAGTTAGAGATTAAGAAATTACGGGCTACCAGGCCCCCTAACTTTGACAGGATGATCCCTGAAGCCCCTCCAACACTGGGGCTGGGCCGAGGCCATGGGGCCGGAGCTCACCTCTCACGGGCGCGCCGTCCATGATCTCGTACTTGGCAATGGTGTCGTTCTCGTGGTACACATTGGGGCCCGTGCCTGTCGTTTCCCGCTTGATGATGTCTATCTCCATGTGCTTGATCTTGATCCTCACCAGCAGGAAGTAGATCTTCCCCACAATGACATCTTTCAAGTGGTACCTGCGGAGAGGAAGGTGAGAGGTGCGGCCCCCACACGTGACAGGCCTCCTGGTTCCAGGAGAGGGCGCTGCCCCCCAAGGCGAGTCCCAACAACCTTCTACACTTGAACCTGCGTCACTTCCCCTCTGCTGTCCCGCCTGCACCTCAGAGCATGGTTCCGTCACCCTCTGCTCAGCGCTTTAACGAGTGCATGTGTTTTAGAGGCTCTGGTGTGAGAGGCTGACCCGCAAGTGTGGGGACCAGGTCCCGGCTCTTCCTCCCGCTTCCAGGAACTGGGCTTTTCCCCCGGGGCCAGCCGGCAGCAGGGCTGCTCTGTACCAGGTGTGGCCGCAGAAAGCAAACCTTCAACCTGAAGCTCAGGACGGGGGACCTGAGGATTCGAGCTCCCGGATCACAGGGGAGGAGCCCTAGGGAGTGCAAAGAAAACAGATGACGTGGTGGGATCCGAGGAGGGGCAGACGCGGGTGTGGACCCAGGTTCCCAACCTGCAGGCCTGGGGTCTCCCCACCACTTCACGCCACCTTTCTGCCTTCAGCCTGCCTGGGGAGATGGCGGACGCACAAGGACTGAGGAGAGCAGAACTCTGCTGCTTGCAGCGCATTAGAAGGAATGCTCAGAGCACAGATTCTCTGGGCATTCAAACGTTTAAAGATTGAACGTTCCTTTGTTCTAAATGAAATCTTACACACAAGAAACACAAAGGAGCCGCGTGTGATACCCGGGCCCCGCTCCTCCTTCAAGGCACCTTTCCACTGACCTGACCAAACCCCTCATTTTTCAGATGAGAAACCCCAGGTACAGAAGTCTTAGTACCTGCTAACCTGAGCCTAAGTCCTTAGTGGCAGAACGGGACGCTGTCCTAAGGTCTGGGCTCTTCCTGTCTGTTCAGACGGCCTGGCACTCACAGGGCAGCCTGCTCTGCAAGGGCAGGACCCGGTCCAGCCCGTCCAGCCTGTGACACGCCTGTCTCACGCTCACCTTGGTCTTGACTGCACTGCTGGCTGCGGCTGCTTGAGCGCCTTCGAGGTGGCACCCCCTTCACTAGGAGGCTGGGGCGCTGGTGGGCAGGCACTTTGGGGGCCTCTGTCTCAGGAGGGCCCGTGAGACCCAAGACCATGAGGAGGAAGCGCAGGGGCCTGCTCCAGACTCGCCCTGCCTTTCCTGTAGGGGCCCATCGGGGCCACGCTCAGCACCAGGTCAGGCCAGGCGGGAAACGGCCATCCCTCCCCCTGTCCTGGGAAGCACGTGTGTTCCCAGCCCTTCACGGGAGAGCCGCTGCTCAGGCCTCCACCCTCCGAGCCTCTGGAGGCCAGCGAGTCTGAGGTGAGGCCTCCCCACGGGGAGAAGCCTCATTAGAGACTCGCAGCGGGGAGGGTTAGTTCTCTGTGAATAGAAGACACGTTTACTTTTGCATATTTGATTCTCGAACATTTTCAGGAATGTATCATATTAAAAAGAGAGCTGCTTGCAGTACATTTTTGAACTGTCAGCAATTTTTGTGATTTACAAGCACTTACGTATTTGGATGTTGTAATAGCAGGCACAGTTTAAAACATATATGGCCAGTTAAAATAAAATTACTTAAAGACCTTTATAAAAAGGCATCAGATATTCTTTGTTACAATTCATTTTAATTCAAGGAGGAAGCAGTCAACTTGGCTTTCCTCACTTTGGTTTCTAAAGACTCACTGTATACAGGATACAAATGATAATAGAATGGTATTCTGAGGTTAATCTCATCAGTAGAAGGAAACAGATGTACCTAGAATCCAAAACAAATACTTTAAAGTTAGTTTCGCTTGACTTTGAAAGACCTCATAGGATGTTTAACTGAAGTTTGCCCTCTTAAGTTAGTACAGTTCAGCTGCAGTGAGATGCAGCTCTTTCCTGACCCGTGACCTCGGCCGGCCTGCACACACATCCACCGCGTTATTTCTGTGGCCGCCCCCGCAGGTCACCACCAACCAGCCGGGCCCGACACTCACTTGGATTTGTTGTACTCAAACTCGATGTGCAGACAGTCCTCGATCCCAACCTCCATCTTGATGGAGGAGTTCAGCTCCGGGTACGTGCTCAGCGTGTGGACCACGATGTCCATCTCCTTGACAACATCGTTGAGGCGGCGGCTGATGGTAGCGCGAAGGAAATACCTGAGGGACGCAGACATGCGGTGAAGGGCCACTCCCAGCCTCCGGAGCCCACCCCGCAGAGGACCCCTGGTAGAGGTCACCCCCTGGGGCTCTGAATGCACTGAGAATTCACCGCTGGGTACCCCCTTCCCAGGAAAATGCACTGAGACACAAAATCCTGCAATTACAATTCCAGGGAGATCAAAGTCCTTTCCCCAACCCTCCTCTAAGCCTGAGCTCCGAGGTAAGAGGTGACGCCTCTCTCTGCACCTCAAGAGCAGCCTCGCTGCCACCTGCCAGGCACCGTGTACAGCTTCCATTTCTTCAACTAACTCCCGGCTCTTTGGGCACAGGGATCGCATACTCATGTTTGCATGCTGTTTATTTAACAATATTCGATCAAAGAGCATTTTTCAAGTCCCTCACAGTTAAACAACAGGAATAAGATAATGGAGAAATCAGGTCAGCGATGCATCGCGCACGTTTATTGCCGGGCCTAGGACGGATAAGATGGAGTCTCACAGGGACTCATCGTCCCCTGGGGGAGATGGGCAGATCAACAGAAAAATTAGAACACATGGAAAGTGTCCATTCAAAGGCAGGAATCAAGTGCTGTGGGGAGAGAGGGGTGCCTTCAGGAGGAGCAGGCCTTAGAACTAAAGCAACAGAGGTGGGAGAGCCCCAGGTCTGAACAAGGATGGTCTCCGGCTAAGCCTAGGGTCCTGGGACACGTTAGAAAGAGGGAAAGACACAGCGCTGAAAGGCAGTGAGCCATGCCTGACCGCCAGCCAGCCCTTCATTGTGGCGCCCCCCGCACCCCTCGTCCCCTTAACTCTGTGCGGCCCTCTAACAACGCTGGGACGGTAGGCCTTGGTGGGGACCTTGGTGGCCCTCCTCTGCAGCCTCACCACCCCCCGGCCACCCTCTCCTTCCTGCTCCCTCCACGCAGCCCCAGACGTGGCTCCAGCCTGCCCTACGGCTCAGGCCCTCAAGCCCCCACGCCCTGTGGAGCGGGGCCTGGCAGCAGTGTAGAAGGGAAGGCTCCACAAAGCTTCCAGCTGCTCGAGCGCCTCCCCTGCGCCAGCAGTCTGGAGGCGCAGGGGACTCACCCCGGGGCGCGTCTGCCACATAATTGCTCTGGAGAGGGACATGGGGATCTATACTTTTTAAAGCCCCCCCCACAATGATTCTAACACAGGACCCTTGGTAGAGAACTACTGTCTGGCATCCTGATGCTTCAACTTCCCAACTTTCTCAACACATCCAATCTCTCTCCAGCTAAAGCTTCTTCCTGAGTTTATAAAAAGTCCCAAAGCCATCAATCCCCAGGACACTCCCCAGGGCCCACACTCCACCTTTCCTCAGAAACAGCTGTCCGGGGGTCCTGTTCTAACCCTGCAGCTTCGTCCCCAGGCCCTACGCCTCGCCCCAGCTTCCGTCTCTACCACCCAACAGGAGCTGCCCTCCCAAAGGGAGCACAGGGCTCACAGCTGCCAAGTCCAGGGGCTTTTTTTTTTGGCATCAGCTCTGCATTAGAGCGTAAAACACTCCCTTCTCATTCAAGCATCACCCCACTCCTCCTCCGTCCCCAAGAGTCCCAGTAGGGTCCCCAAGAGTCCCAGTAGGTCCCGGGCTCTCCTCTCCCACAGCTCCCCTCCTGGAAAAACCTATCAGTTACCACCTCTGAGCAGGTGATTTCCGACAGTGCATTCCTCTGTCCTGAGCGACAGGCTTGATTTCCAATTGTCTGTTCTGCCCGTGCTTCAAACTGCTCCCTGGAACTGGATGAATCGCCTCACAGGTCATCTCCTCCTCCTGATGGCCCTATGTCTGCATCTCCACTCAATGGTCAATTCTGCTGGCGTCTATTAAATTCCTTGTTTTCTGCCTGTTCCCATGGCGTCCACTAAAGGAAAACTCAGGACCTCACACAAACCTTCCCACAGCCTTGACCCAACACTCCACCCACCCATCAAATATGACATAGTGACTTCAATCTTCTAACAGAACCACCGCCCTGCCTAAAAACAAAGGAAAAGGAGTCCAAAATAATCTTTTCATGTTTCCCCTCTGCCTGTAATAAGACACAAGCCCTTAATCTGGAACTTACATCTTCCATTAACTAATGTTCCCGATTTTACCTCCTTTCTCAGCATGAATCCGGAAGTCTTTGTCTAATTTAGACAGTAACGCTTTTCTTTCATTGTGATAAAATACAAAATACAGGGTGCAGAGCATGCACCCCAAAACATGCCACTCTGGCACGAGGGTTCTATTGAGCTGAAAGCAACAGGGAAACAGTGCACACAAGACAGACTCCGGGGCCCTCTCCACCAGGAGAGGCTGTGCAGCCTGGGAGCTGCTGGGGGTGCTGCCCACAGAGCGCTCCTCACCAAAGCAAGCCTCTCCCCGTGCTTCCCATAGCTCGAGCCGCAGGGCCCCTTCTCTGCCTCTTCACTTCTCTGTTAAGATGCTGCATAAGCCCAAGTTCAACTGCCCCTCAGTCACCGGGCAGAGCTCAGGTGGGAGCACAATGAACACGGGAATACACCTGCTTGCTTGCCTCTGGCCAATCTGTCTTCCATCCGTCCGATTTGCAGAGCCCGCGCCAATGAACCTGACATGGTGGAGGGAAAAGTTTTTTCCTCCCCTCCAATATATATAACACAATGTAACCATTTTTACGGGCACAGTTCAGTGGCATTAAGTACACTCAAGGTGCTGGGCAGCGGTCACCACTGTCCATCTCCACGTGTTCACCTTCCCCAACTGAAACTCTGCCCTATCAACCACTAACTCCCCAGCCCCTTTCCCCAGCCCCTGGCAACCACCATTCTACTTTCTACCTCTACGATTTTGACTATCTAACTGCTTACAGAAGTGGAATCAGTATTTGTCTCTTTGTATCTGGCTTATGTCACTGAGAACAATGTTCTCAAGGCTCATCCATGCCGTAGCAGGTGTCGGAATCTCCCCCTTTTCAAGGCTAAATACTATTCCACTGTGTGGATACACATGTTGTTCATCCACGCATCTACTCATAGACACTTGGGTTGTATCCACTTTTTGGCTATTGTGAATAATGCTGCTACAAATGTGAGTATACATAAATCTGTTTGAGTCCTTGCTTTCACTTCTTTGGGATTATACACAGAAGTGGAATTGATGAATCATACGGTAATTCTATTTTGAAGAAGCACCATACTGTTCTCAACACCTTTCTTCCTGACATAAGAACATTTATGAGAAGTCCACTGCAAAACATCAAATTCAATAGCAACAGGCCCCAAGCCCAGCTTAAGTGATGACTAGATACTCCTCACTGTTGCTGCCCTTCTGAGTGCAGTCACGCAACGCTGCTGAAGTGGGGCAGCACCCGTGCTTAGACCTCTCTGCACAGGCTGGAAAGGAGAGCCTGCAGCCCCTCTTCTGACGGGAGAGGGGAGAGCTTGCAGTAGCCCACACCATGCCACATGCAGGCCTCAGGTGACACCCAAGACCTGGAGCCAGGCATGCAGAGTGACATCACATACCCCGGAGGCCATGGAATCAGTCTCCCCCTGCAGAGTTTCCAAGACTGGAACAAGGAAAACAATCCCATGTACTTAAAAGGTGTGTATTAATGTTTTAAAACTTGTCCTACTGTGTTACGTTTTACTCCCTCATTGTCCCAAAATATGGAGAGGACGGGTCTAGGATTTAGAACCCAAATCTATGACCCGCTTCTCAAGTGACAGAGCTCAGGACTCCGCCACCATCTCGTGCAGAGCTGGACGAGGATCAGTGGCCCTGAGGCCCAGCCAGGGGTGTGTGAAAGCCGAGTATCCAACTTTCGGGAACTTTCAGAATCAGCTGTTAATCACAACATTTAAAATTAAATTACAGACACCTGCACTCGAATTCTATTAAGAACAAAGGTAATATCCTAGCTATTCTGGTGTGTCACAGTCCTCTCTGCTCCTGGGCCGGGGGTGGTGGTGGTGACGTCTGGTGCCTGTGCAGCAGTGTGCTGTCGAGGGGCAGGTGCGTACCTCTCAACTCTGCACTCAGGGGCGCTGGGTCAGTGGCTCGAAAGTGGCCACGGTGGGGATACCGACACTCCAGAAACGGACAGACAAGCCAGGAGCACTCCTCCTGGAGGGAGGCCCACTGCACAACCCCCCCCGCAGCACACCTTCCCTACAGCCACACAGAGCCTCAGAAACGGGACACAGTCAGGGTCCGTCCACACGGGGCACCCTGGGGGCGCCACTTACCGCAGCTTCACGTTCTGCCCAGTGTAGGACTCATAGGGCTTCTCCACGTGGGTGAACTCAAAGTCGAAGGCCTGTGACTGGGTGACCTCTCCGGGCCGGGCCAGGTCCTTCACCAGGGACACGAACTCGTGGTGGTTCCCGCGGTCGTAGTAGAGTTCTGCAGGGAGAGCATTGACCACTTCTACCAGACCCTGAGCTATGTGGCCCGGCGAGGGGGCTCCCAGCTACAGGAGCCTCCCGCCAACACACAGAGCCTCCAGTCTGGTTTATGGCTCCCTCGCTTCCTGCCCTGCCCCTGCACTGCAGCCCAGAACCCTGGGTGCCCTCTCCCGCCCCTTCCAAACACCCTGCGTAGAGACCCTGTCCCTGGAGCACAGCCAGAACCCGACATACTCCTGCTCCAGGGCACCGGGCAGCACCTGTGAGGGACACAGCAGGGGGACCGCGATCAAAACGCCACATTTCCTAAAACACATTCAAAACTACTTCTAACTTTGGAAAGCATACTCATAGTTATTCGGTCACATCACCCTCATAACCACCTTGTGAGATAGCTAGGACAGCCCTATCACCCATTTAACCGACAAGGAAACTGAGACACAGTGGGGTCGGTGACTGGCCTAGGGTCCCAGGTCTCCCGCTGGACCGCGTCTACTTCTAGGACCTGGCAAAATGGGGGTAGCAACATAACGCACTCCAGGTGTTGTGAGCACGGGACGAGGCGATGCAGGTAAAGGACTTGGAGTGGTACTTAAGAGACGGCAAATGCTCCAGAAGTATTAGCTGCCTCTGCCCTTCAGAGAGGAGTCCATGTGGCCGACGGGACAGAGGGGCTGTAACAATGCCCCACGTCTAAGTTCAGGGTCCCCAGACTTCTGTGAACATCAGAATCACCGGGGGCTGTGTTAACACACAGACGGCTGGGCCCCACCCCTAGTGTTTTTGATTCCGGGGGTCTGGGGTGGGGCCTGAGAATGGACATTGTTAACAGACTACCAGAGATGCTTCCTGCTGGTCCAGGGACCACAGTCTGAGGAGCACTGCTCTTCACCCATCCTCCTCTGGAAACACTTCTGCTGTTTATTATGAGTCATGCCACCTATTTGTTCTAGGTTATATATGCCTGTTTGTACTCTGCTATGTGTTAACTTTTGCTCCAGGCGTGGTCGTTAGAGATAAGGCCTATGTCCCCAGCTTCCTGGCACCTCCAGTCCCTGGCTGTGCAGCAGGGACACTTAATACCGACTGTGACCCTGTGTGGCCACGTTACAGTCAAGGGACCACCCGTGGGCACCCTGCAGCAGGACAGGCAGCAGGCAGTGTACTCTCGTCGCTTCTGCTGTTGGCTGCTTGGGGAGAGACAGGGCCACAGGGAGGCATGCCTGGGACAACCGCCCGCCAGGCCTGGCCTGCCTCTCTGGAGCACAATGCTCCAGCTCTCTCAGAGCATCCGGGGCTAGGGAGGACCCCAGACAGCAAAGGTCTGAGCCCCCCAGGATCAAAGCCTTCTTGGGCTCAAGAAACCAGAGCTCTTGCCTCCCAGAGCCAACACAGTGTCCAGGCCTGCCATGGGGACGCTCGGGAGGGGAACGTGATTCCAGGGGTGCTTTCGGCCTTGCTGCCCTGTCCGCTGACCCGGACAGCGCCACCCCCAGAGCCTCTTCTCCCCAGGCAGCGAGGCATCGGAAAGCGCAGTGGGCTCCTAAGGTGTGTCCAGCTCGAGAGGAAGCAGCAGTGCGGTCAGTCCCCAGCCAGCGCTGCTGCTTCTGTATGCACACCCAGTGCACCCTGTGAGCATAGTTTGTGCTCATTTCCTACCTAGTTACGCTTGGATCCACCTTACGTTACAAACAATCCACCTTCTCTTCCAAACACCAAGTGGAATCAAGCAGCAGGCAGCGCTCTGGGTAGGGAGTGATGACCCACAAAGCCGCCAAAGGGGGAGGGCAGTTCAAACCTTCCGGGCAGGGGGTGCTGGGGAAAGGCGAACAGCCATCCCTCGTTTTGAAATCCAACAACTGTGCCCCCAACCAAGGTAAGGAAGTGCAGTGACCAGGTAGGAACAGAGCCAGTGGCCAGCCTGTGACAAAGGCCCGTCCACTCACTCTTGCTGGTCCTTTGCTACTGGAGTCTCTGTTGATGGGCACTGACCCCTTAACTGGGGAAAGTGGTGCCTCCGTTCCCAAGCACTGGATTCTGCCATAGTTTCAGGGGACAGAAGCAGGCGGAACAAAGCCCCAGCGTCTGTGAACTTTAAGTGGGAAATCCCGGAGTCAAGAGAAAGATGGGAAGAGAAGGATGGAAAAACACACAAATGTGCTCACACAGCCTCAGAGGCAACATGAGAAACAAACCAGAGAAGGATCCACAGTGTTCACAGAGCACTCAGATCGCTGGCACCAGGGGTCCCAGCAGAGAAGCTGGGCTGGGACCCCCCGGGGGGACAGGGCCTTCCTGCCTGGCGGCATGTCCTCCCAGGGCTTCCCCGCCTCCCCCCAGACATCGTGAAAGAGTGGCCAGTGCATAGTCTGAGTGGGGCTTGACTGGGCTTTTTAATGCATACTGTATAAGCCATTTGCAAGGCTTCTGGAAACATTGTGGGGCAAAGGGGCAGAAATAGCAGCCGTACTTCACTGCGTGCCAGAAAGTCTGGTTTCCTCTTGCATAAATTAAAACAGAAAACCCAAGACTGTTCTAGCAGGAGGTCTGCCCTAAAGAGACTGTCAACTGCCTCTTTCTTCCCAAGTTACCCCGAGTTCTCCCCAGCCTCCAAAGCCCAAAGGGACCAGCCATTTCAAGCCAGAAGGAGGAACTGACCGGTTCTTTCTTAAGGTAACTTCCCAGTCTCCGTCCAACAGGAGGAAATGACTTCTGTAGTCAGGATGTTTTCACCGAAACTTGCCACCAATGGCTGAGGAGTGAATTTGCCACTTTGGAAGGAAAGTGAGACAGCTCTGCCCCACGGGGTCATCCCGTGAAAGGCGCCCTGAGACTCGCTGCTGGGCTAGGCTTCACACTGGTCTTGGAAGAAACCTAAGTCAACCAGGGCAAAAACACCTCTTTCAAACAGCCTGCTCTTCCCAGCTGCTGTCTGCTGACTGGCCACCTGGTCAAGATTCACGCTCGCCACGTCCACTTGGACCTCCTGGGCCTGGTAAGCCTGCGGGAGCAGTAACGTCTCTGGGCTGCCCGTGCCCAGCCAGCTGCCGCTCTGCTCCAGGCCCTGCAGCAGACTGTGAGTACGTGAGAATCAGTGTGCCTCTCCCTTGGCACTCATGGCTTCATGAATTAAAATACAGAAGGCCTCCAGGGTCTTACCAGCACAGGCTCGACTGGGGCTGATGGGTTTAGATTCACCCAGTGGCATTATTTTAAAAAACTTAAAAAAAAAAAAAAAATCCAGAAGTTCTCTCTCTGGCTTTGGAGTGCAAGGGTATTCAGGTCCTCCCTCCTCTGCAAGTGTGACTGTCGAATTACCTTTGGTTTATTTAACCCCATCCATCTGCAAGGTGGCCTGACACCCTCCACGAGTGTTCCCCCAATGATTCCACCTAAAAAATGGTCTCTCCATCTTCTAAATACAGAACTTCCCTCAATACTCCTTACGTGCCACAGTGTTCTTCTAAAAACATGGGCCATCGAGTGACATGGGGGGTGCCCTCACCACACATTTGCTGGTGTTGTTGGAACACAGACCAAACCGCTGGGAAGTGCACAGTAGACACAGGAAGAATCCCAACATGGTTCAAAAACTTCAGGAGGACAGAAAAATGCACACAACAGGTGGATGAATCAGGGGCAACACCTGAGCTGTCGGTGCAGAACTGAATGGGGGCCTGACAACTCTTAACTCCTTATGTTAAGGGAGAAATCACAAGGCCTCTAGAATAACGGTGGAAGAAGGGCTTCAGTCAGCCAGGGGAGGTCAGGGAAAGCTTTCTGACGGGTGTCATGCCTGCTGGGCTTTAAGAATGAGTGAGAGCTTGGGTGGAAGGCCATTCTTTGCAGAAAGATGTTTATATACAAAGGGAAGAGGCCAAGACCCCTCTAAAAGGAACATGATACTTTGAGGAAAGCACACGTGGCAGGAGTGAAGGGTCGCAGAGACTCGGCCGGAGAAAGGCAGAGGCAGCTTGGGAAAGAGCTGAATGACTTCTCCCCTTCAACCGGCAGGGAGTCAACAAGAAGAATTTTAAGGAGGTGACTGACCATGTCAGCACTGACGTTTAGAAAGTCCACTCTTACAAAAGATGAACTGAAAGAAAAGGCAAACAAAGGCAGGAAGGCCAGTCAGGTTGCTACACACAGAAGCATCAAAGTTAGCAGCATCAAGAGCGGAGAGGAAGCACAGACTCGAGATACCCTAGAGTATCTGGGTACTGGGTACTGGAGAGGACCCAAACTGAGATGCCAGTTGGACGCGTAGGAGGGGGAGGGAGGGGCCTCGAGGACTCCCAGATTTCTGAGGCTGAATGGACCCAGGTGACGGGCCAGAGTGGAGAAAACAGGAGAAGCAGCAGGGCTGGGGCTGGAGCAGGAAGAGAAAAAGGTTTCTGGTTTGGATGTGTCTTTGAGGGACCTGAGGGGTATCCAGCGGGGGACTCTAGCAGACGGTTAGAAACCCAAGCATGAAACTCAGGGGAGAGTCCAGTGAGGACAAAGGATTGGGAGTCATCGGAGTCTAAGAGGACACTGCAATGAGGGGTGTGGATGAGGTTGCCAGAGTAGCTGACAGTGTGAGAAGGGCCAGCAGACAGAAGGGCCCCCCTTCCTGCCCACCTCCCAAACCAAGACCGAGACAGGAGCTTTTCTGAGCAGGGGCTGGGCCGCTGTGAGGAATGGGGTCTGAAGAGGACCGATGCAACGATCACCAGACAGCTGTCTCTGCCTGGACTCCGGGGAGACCCTTCCACAGGTTTTCCCTCAGGCGAGCGCGCCTGCTGGGAGAACACACCGGGCAGGAAGTGCAGGGAGGCTGGCCTGGTGTGAACAGTCCCGTGGGCTGTCGGCAGAGGAATCAGGGCTGACGTTTTAAAGGTCCGGCCCCTGGAAACTTCTGGATGGATCCAGCTTAACAGGGATTATGAGTATTTGCGATGAGTGCCAAACCCTGCACTTCATGTACATTGATGATCTCTAGTAGTCCTCACGAGACCCTTGCAAAGTCCGTACCTTATAAACGGAGCCTTATCTAACCTAAGTAACCCTCTGCTTGACCCTCAATCACGCACCAGGCTGTCCTTCTACAGAAGGACACATACACTTTCTTTTTTTTTTTTTGGTGGTACGCGGGCCTCTCACTGCTGCGGCCTTTCCCGTTGCGGAGCACAGGCTCCGGACGCGCAGGCTCAGCAGCCATGGCTCACGGGCCCAGCCGCTCTGCGGCATGTGGAATCTTCCCGGACCGGGGCACGAACCCGCGTCCCCTGCATCGGCAGGCGGACTCTCAACCACAGCGCCACCAGGGAAGCCCCATGGACACATACACTTTCATCAGCAGGAAAAAGAAATTAATCATAAGGATAGGAATGTTAAATACATAAATCACTTCATTTTCAAGCTGTGGAACTCTTCCCAGAAACTCTTCCCAGGAAGCAGGGAAGGAAGAAAAGAAAGAAGGAAAAAAGAAGCAAATCCAAGAGACTATGGTTTGTAAGAAGAAAAGTTCTGAGTGAAACCGACGAGGAAGGTGTCCAGAGCACAGTGACATCGCCGTTCTTACCGCAGTCCAGCTGTAGGACCATCCTGTGCGTCATCCGTACAGCCAGACCTTAGAGCCCGACCGAAGTTCCACCCACTTCATGCAGCATCAAGAAAGCAACGAAGGAGAAAACCACACGACCACAACCATGGGGAACTTACTCACCAGCCTCGCTCCAGTGCCCTGAGGTCAGTTCACAGAGCCTCTCAGGTACAGGAGACAAATACACCACACTCCGCACAAAGCCTGGTCCCTACACATCTCAACAAGGTGATTCTGTTATTATCCTTGTCTTACAGGTGAGAAAGCTGAGGCTCAGAGAGGGGTACAGCTTCCCCAAAGCCAAGGGTGGACTCAGCCCAGAGTGCTCAGGGGCCCAGGGAGAGTTATCAATGGAAGCAACAAAAGGTTCTTAGAAATCTGAGCAGGGCTGCTGTCCTGGGATGCCAGGAGACAGACGAGAAGGCAGGGCAGGGACGGCACCTTGTCAACTCCCTTTCATTCAGACTGCAAGGAGGCCTTGCCAGTGTCCCCCCTGAACAGCTCATTTCACAACTGCTGGGGCACAGGGGGGCAGGGGACACTCTGGTTACCTTTCATGTATTGGCGAGGTGTCACCCCCTGGAATGATGGTACAGACACTGGCTAGACATGCCTGTCTGCACTCGCATTGCAGAACCAAAGAATCCAGCAATAACCTTAAAGCTACGACGTAAAAATACTAATTCTAAGTAGGCAAGGACTTCTCCACTTCTTACATCTTACGCCTAGCACAGAATGCTGTGGGTTCATCCTGTCTACCCAGTGGCTCTTTGCTAGGAGTGAGTTTACCTTACACGGATATAAGACATTCCTGTGGTTCTAGTATCTGGCGGGTAGAGGCCGAGGAGGCTGTTAAACACTCACCCACAACAAAGAATGATCAGGCCCACAATGTCGACAGCACTGCTGTTGAGAAACCCTATCCAAGCCGGAAGCAAGAGAGCAGAGGGTCTGAAACTCACTCTTCAGCTCCCTTTCAGGCCACTCGTATTCTGGGTTTAAAGTAACAACAAACAGGTTCCTATAGGATCAGCCAGCCTTCAACCTGATTTCCTTTTCTCAAACACCAGAAGCCAATACTCCAGGCTGAGCACTGGGCTGCAGAGGCAGGCCGCACGGCCTTTTCCCAGGGCTCCAGTATTTCCTGCCTCTGTAAAAGGGGAGCAAGATTCTGTGCAGGGCTCTCAGGGAATGACAGTGAGCATTCAACGAGCTTTCACAGGAAATCCCCCCCCCCAACAGGGCCAGATGTGCAGAGCCTGGTATGGGGTATGAATTCTCTGCCAGAGGTCTTTTCAGGCCACATGGGTATTTACTGTGAATCTACCCCTGAACGAATGACAATGACAATTTATTTCAGAAGCACCTGCGAGTTTTAATAAACACAGAGTCCAAAGAGAACTGGAAACAACCCCGTGCTGACTGGCAGCTCTCAGATATTCGGTACAGCTACTGCCTTTTATTGTCTAGTTGTAACTGCTAACACTCATGTTGGAAGAGTGTTAGAGCCTTGAGAAATTGTGACCACTTAATTTGCGTCTTAGGAGCATCATTTCTTTAAGAAGATGAGTCTGCTGAAGGCTAGGTTCTAATCAAGAAGTCTAAGGGACGCCGGCTGGCTGGACAGAGGGCTGACGCTGGAGCCCGCGGGGCTGCTTTCTCAAACAGCTCCCGGTGAAGGTGGGATGTGAGAGGCAGGCGGGACACAGGTACTAGAAAGGGGTGGACTGGCCGCGGGACTCGGTGGCCACGACCTGCGGGCGGGCCCAGCAGCACCGAAGGCCGGGCAGGAAAAAGGAGCCCGGACCCCGGGTGGGCAACAAGGCTGCGCGGCCTGAGGCGGCGAAAGGGGATACGGAGTCGAAGTAATGGGGGCGGGGGTTAGGAAGCAAGGGTTAGGGAGCAGGGTCAAAGGTCGGGGGTCGTGTCAGGGACCAGGGGTTAGTGAGTGGGAGTGGGGGGTCAGGGGCGAGGTCAGGGGTCAAGGGTCAGGGGTCGGGTCAGGGTTGGGGTGGAGGACAGGGTCGGGGACCGGGGCGCGGGGGCAAGGAGCGGGACCGGGTGGGGTGGATCCTGCACTCACCAATCTGCCCGATGAACTCGACCTTGATGCCCTGGTGCTCCAGCCGCTTGTTGGGGTTCTTGAGCGCCAGGCTCACCTTCCCGGACACCGTCTCTCCGTCGTAGAATAGGAAGTACTTGTCCTTTTTCCCATCCTCCGTCTTGTGCTCGGCCCGCTTCCTGCTGTCCGCATCGTTCAGCAGGATGTCCACATCCACGCTCTGCCCGAAGCCGAAGAAGCTCATGTCCCCGCCGGGCCGGCCGGGCCTGGGAAGGCCGGAGGGCTGGACGCGGCGCCGACGCCCGCGCTCGCCGGGCCGGCGCGGTTCCGGGGGCAGCGCAGAGCAGGCGCAAGGCACCCGCCCGCCGGTGCTTGCGGCGCCGACCAGCCAGCCAGCCGCCCGGCCCGGGAGCAGCGCCCGCCGCTTCCGCCGCTCAGCCGGACGCGCCGGACTCGCCGCGCGCATGCGCACGCCCCCGCCTCTCCTGCTAGGCCGCCGAGCCTCCGGCGGAGTGCGCGCTGCGCATGCGCGCCGGGAGAGGGCCGCTCGGCTTTCCCGCAGTTGACATGGCGACCAGGGCTTCCTTCCGGATCTCCGGCCAGATGTCCCGTAAAATTCAGAATGCCTTGTTTTGCTTTTCCTTTATTTAGTTTGGTAAACGGTAGGCCGCCACCCACACTCGAATGTGTACACCTTCGATGCTGTCTGATGGGTAAACGCGGCCCTTTGACACGCACAAGAAATGCCGCTTGACAGGAGAAAGAGGTGACAATTACAACAAAAAAGTATACTGCCTCAGATTCTCTTCAGAGTGTCCCCTTTTAGGGAAACGGGACATTAGATTTAGCTCTTGACCCCCAGTTCTGAGGAAAAGCTGAAAACAACCCCCGACCTCGGCTGCGTGGGTGGGTTTGGGCCCGCCTCACCCTTTGCGCATGCGGCGGAAGGCCCTGCTGATTGGCCAGCGGACGGACCGGCGGGGCGCGGTAATTGGTTGGTGCGAACCCCGTGTCCCCCTGAGCCCGCTGGGTCTTCTCGGCGCGCGCGCCGGAGGAGCTTTGAAAGTTGAGGCGAGCGGCGGTCATGGCGGCTTGGCGGGACCTGGCGAGCGCCCTGCAGCCCTGGTGCCCGCTGGACCTCAGTCCAGGTGAGGACGCGGCCGGGGCCTGCGGGCTGCGGGGGGTGCTGGGGAGGGGTCGCGCCGGGCAGCGGCGTTGGCGCTTCTCCGCGGGCTCCTTCCGCTCTGTGCTCCTGCTTCTCGGCCTTGCCTCCGGGTCTGCGCGGACAGCCCCGCAGGTGCCGAGGCTTCGGCAGCGCGTCTGTTTGTTGGGCCGGGCCGACTTCCTGAACTTGAGGCCCAGGGGTGCGGCTGGCGTCCCCGGGCGCCCATCCTCCCTGAAGGGCAGGAGGTGCCCCCCTCCCCCACTTCCAGCCTCTGGTGGCGGCGGCCCCTCGTCCCAGCCTCGCCCGCCGCTTCCCGAGGCTGCGGTCCAACCCGCGCCCTCGCTGTGGCCCGTCTTGGCGCTTGGGGCACCTCCTGCCCTTCTGGCGCCAGCACTTCCATCCCGACCCGGCCCCACACCCCTTCCGGGACCACCTTGAAAACGCCAGCGTGACCCGCCGGGTCTCTGACCCTTCAGTGGTTCCCTCGGCTTCCTGAGTTACCACAGCCTCTGTTTGTGGCGAGAGCCTTCACCTGTCCCTGCGGGTGCTCTTTTTCCAGAGCTGAGCTCTGGAGTCGGACCTGGGGCCGGTGCCTTGGTCCGCCGCTGAGCACCCGAGCCTCGCGGGCCTCGGTCGCTTGTGTCAAATGGGGGTTCTAAGATCTACTTTGCGGCTGTTCGTGAAGATTGATTTAATACCTGCACCTGCTGTTAACAAAACAAACTTGGGTCCACTTGGCCCGTGCGCGGCAAGGCCAATCTGCTGATCCCCGGTTGTGGTGAAGCAAAGTGCAGCCTTCATTGCAGGAACCGACAAGGCGTCCAGGCAGCTTGTGCTTAAAAGACCCCAACTCCCCAAAGGCTTTCAGGGGAAGAGTTTAAAGACAGGGTGAGGGAGGAGAGTTGAAGGGTGTGTGATCACCTGGTGAATATTCTTCTGATTGGTTGGTTGGTGGTGAGGTAGTCAGGGGTCAGCAGCATCAGCCTGGTTCCAACCCGTCTACCGCGCTTGTGGGCAGCAGTTGACTTCTCCCACCTGTTGGGGGGGTGTTTCAGTGTCTGCAAAACGGCTCAAAGGACATGGCTCAGACTAGTATCTAGTCCTTGAGGAGGAACTAAAGGTCCTTGACTTTGTTTATTGGCTAATTATTATTTTGCTTTGCTTGACTGTTTTTCTCTCTTTCTGCATTTTCTCAGTTTTCTCATTAAGTTTATCCTTTGACTCAAGTTGTTTTGCAGACAAAGGCAGGCGGAGCGCATGGGGGGAGGGGCTGTTCTGGGAAGGCCCCTAGGGACCGGCCGCATTATACTACCTGCTGAGTAAGTGCTGATAACAACTCACCCTTCACAGCTGAGCTCAGTGCTGTTACGATGGTGTTGGTTTCTAAACAGGTGATACTTTGTTTCCTTTTGTGCTTTGTTATGGGGTCCTCTCTGCCTGGGATGCCCTTCTCGGTGTCTCTTTCCCTGGTAACCCCCACGTGTTGGAGCAGCTGAAGGATCGTCTTCCTTCCCACCTCTGCCCCCTGCCTCCCCCAGGAATAGTCTCCATCTGCTCTCTACTGTTGTACTGTCTACTACGGCTTTAACACCTATCCATTGTAGACGTGATAATAGCTGTCATTTGTTGAATATATTGATTTTCTGATTCCAGATCTTTTATCACTGGGACTTCGTAGTTTCGATTCAGAAATGAGGTCAGAAATATGGGTGTGCATTTAAAAATATGCATATAAAATAAGTGGGAGAATGTATGAGAGAAAAAGGCAAGAAAAGATGCAAGAACATTTTTAGGAAGCTGATTGTATTTGTTAGGAGATCAGTTAGGGAAGAGTGAATGAGTAATTAAAGCATGTTAAATAGTCATTTGCCTCAGCTGTCCCTTTGTGTTCTACACTTTATTTGGGTTTATTAACTTGATTGTAAGACTTTCACAAAGGGACAGCTAAGGCAACCTTTTATTAACCTTCTCTTCTCCAGATTGAACATACGGGAAGGCTGGATCATCCCCCAAACTGTTACATCTGAAAAGTGTTTTCCTTCTTGATATTTTTAGATGATGACCAACCTAATAGCCAGCTGTCAGTTAATGATTAAAAAAAGATGTTCTAACCTCTTCTGCTTCCTTCTAATTCTGCCTCACCTGTATGGTATAGTTAAATGTGAGTTGTGACTAGTAAACTTTTCTCTTCATGAATGTACTCAGCCTCTAAAGCTTATTGGTCTTTCTTATTATAGAACATTTGTTGACTTCATTGCATTTTCCCACTAGAATGGGTGGGCACAGTATGGGAACTGGAATTCACGGAAACTGAGCCTCTGGATCCCACCATAGAAGCAGAGATCGTGCAGACCGGACTGAGCGCATTCACAAATCTCTATGACAGTCTTTTAACTTTTGCTGCTGGGGAGCATGGACCTACAGAGGTAAAAAAAAAAAAAAAAAATCAAGCTAGCCATTTAGTTGTCAGAAGTGGAAGATAAAAGGCCCTATTATCATCTAAAGCTTAGTCTTTTTAGTGTATAGTTCAGAAGGAGTATGATAAAGAGTGGCATAAAGAATGTGGTTCATTTATTGGGGTAGCCTCATAGCTTTCCTTCCAGAGGTTCAAGGTATTAATCTGTGATTCTTTTTCAAGTCATGACCACTGTTTACAACAGCAAATTAAAGGAAAAGAATAAAGGCCAAGGCAAGGAGGGAAAGCAGATAAACCAAATAGGAAAAGTTGGCCAAGGACAATGCAATAACAATTCGGGCATGCCTTAATTTTAGGAAAGCTGGATATAAAACTGAAAAGGGATGAGTTGAATTAAAAATGGAAAAAAGTTCCTTTAAATACTGAGTTCTACCTATTACTGTTTAGATCATTAACTGCTTTTCAAAAACTGAGGGACTCTAAAGCAGAACAAAGAATACTTAGATATTAACATCTCTGAAAGATCTAAATTACCAAAAATATTTCAGTTAGAGGTTTCATGTAGCTGTTCAAAAATTAAATCATCCTGTTAAACATTCATTAAGCGTAATGCTGAGTACTGCATGAAGTACCTCAGCAGGTAACATGATGGTTAAGGTAAAGAGCCTCCCCCTACCTGGGGGAGAGGGGAGAATTAAGCACTGGCTCTTGGGGGGCCCACTTGCGTTGCACTGGCTAGGCATGTCCAGCGACCACATCCGCAGGCATGGAGAAGCACCAGGCCACCAGAGTCTGCATTGTAAAAACTGCTCTAGGACAGGTTAGATGCCATCTCATAGGGGCATAGAAAAGGGAGCGTGGTGAGATTGGGTGGGTCCCAGAAAGAAAGTAGCTAGCTGGAGGCAAGTCTTCACAAATGGATAGAATGTTGACTGCAGTAATGCGAGTCCTAGGGTAGCCTACGGAGGGATCATCACAGTGCGGATGTGCAACGGGTGCCGAGGGGATGGGGGCAGGGCGGGGCACACAGGACTGAGCTGTAAGTGGGGACCACAGTGGGGTTCGAGGGTGAGGTGTTTGTGGTATACAAGGTTCAGGTCTAAGCATCATACATAGATTAACCCACTCATTCTCACATCCAGCTCTCGGAGGAAGAGGTTCTAGTGAGCAGTAGACTAAGGGACTTGAAGAGATCTGTTTCAGACGGATGTTCTTGACCGAAGATGGACTGAAGTGGGAATTGCTACACGCAGGGAGGTCCCTGGGGACAGTACAGCTGACCCTTGAACAACACGGGTTTGAACTGCACAGGCCCACTTACCTGCAGAGTTTTTCAGTAGTAACTACAGGACTCCACGATTCCAGTTGTTTGAGTCTGTGGATGCAGAACCATGGATATGGAGGAACTGTGTCTGTAGAGGGCCGGCTATGAATTCCACAAGGACTTTGGACTTGCCCTGTGTTGTTCAACAGCCAACTGTTCAACTGTGTTTTGCTCATCTGTTTTTTTAAATGTGTGTTACGGCATGGTCTGGAGTTACGGTTGTGGAAATTGGGGAGGAGGGCTAACAACTAGGGCCTTTTTTTCAGATGGAGTTAATAGAGTTTTGTGAACTTAGCTTTTATCAGGTATGAAATGCTGCAGAGGTGATTGGGTCCCCCAGGGTCACAGTTACAGGTGAGTGGAGTGGAGCTGAGATGGCCTTAGGGATGAGGATGTAACTCATTTCTTCCAGAAGCTTCGTGGTGAAGGAAAGAGGAGAGTTTTCCCTGTCTTTTCAGGGAAGCAGTATATACGAGGTCTGATTTCTTGAACTTTTGTGAGCTTATGTTTTTTTAAAGTAGCCCAGAATAAACCATATTTAGTTCCTGCTATGTTTGGTTTATACAAATAACCTATTTCCTGTTCACATGTTTAATAGGAGAAAGCATAGAACAGTGATAAAATTAATAAGATTGTGGTTTATGCTCTAGGGTTTATTTCCTGTCTTACCTAGGCTATTTCTGAAATCTCTTGAGGGAGACACTTCACGGTATTTCCTCTCCTGCTTCCATTGCCCATAGAACATTTCAATTTAAATAAGTTGCTCTGATTTCTTCAGTTAGTAATTTGAGTGATAAATGAATTGGGGTACATTTGACATACGTGGAGAGTAACTTGTTTGCATAATTACTGATATAGGGTGCCCCCATAGTCTTGGTGTAGCTTTTAGGTATAGTAATTTCAGAAATATATGTGCTTCAAACTTACCCAAAGTTATTTTGAAAGGTTAATTAAGTTTCTTGTATAGTTATTTATCTTTGTAATTTTTTTGTTTTGTTTTGGTCACACCATGCAGCTTGTGGGATCTTAGTTCCCCAACCAGGGATCGAACCCAGGCACTCAGCAGTGAAAGCGTGGAGTCGTCACACCTGGACTGCCAGGGAATTCGCCTTGTAATTTTGAATAATACACTTTTAAATTTTGTTTTAGTCCCTGTGAAATGACAAACATTTACAATTAGGAGCCAGAATGGTCTGTTCCCTTTTTTATAGGGCACTAAAAGTACTCAGAAAAATCAGATAATAGGAGATTTTCCCATTTCTCTAATTATTGGCTCTTATGGTTCGCCCCTCCCCCAGAGCATTTGGACCTTCTTCATGGAGAACAGCATTTCCCACAACGCGCTGATGGCCTTGTTCCATCACTTCGTTCAGACGGTCCTTAAGAAAAACGTCAGTGCCCAGCAGCGGGAATTTGGCCTTCATGCCGCTGGGCTTTATTTTCTGCTGCTGGAAGTACCAGGTACAGTATGTGTGTTTGGTGTGATAGGACAGGGCTTTTAGTTTTTAATTTATCTACATTGTTTTGTACTTGTACTTTGTTTCCTCACTGGGAGGCTAGGTGAGAGGGAATCTGTGAAGCACGTGGCATGTTACAGGTGTTCCAGAAAGCTCTCCTGTTTAACTGTAAATGTGTTTTCTGATGTTGTTATGCTGGGTTTGTAACCTAATACAAGCAGTCTGAGAGGGGTAAGGCTGGAGGGGGTGTTTCAGAGCTCCACTCTGACCCACCCCACCCAGCATACCATTCCGATACTGCCCTGCCTTCTGACACCCTGTACAGGCTGAGAAAAGTGCTGGGGGCGGGGGAGAGGGAACTGTTGTCTCCCCCGCGTGGGTGTGGACAGTAGTTGGGACTGTTCTCATCCAATAGGCCAGAGAGCACAGTTAGTAAGGCTGAGGAAGGAAGCACGGGGGAGGGGTGTCTCTGTGATGCTCCCCCGCTTCCTTCGGGTGGGAGCCATGAAGGAGTCCCTCCTCCCCACTCACCCCAGCCCAGGGCAGGAGAGGGTGGGGTGCAGAGGGAGCTGCAGCTTGGGACCTTGAGTTCACGTGGAAGAGAATCAGGGTCAGCCGCCTTGCAGCTCGACGTTGCTCATGTCAGCGCGTTCATAGTAGATGTTAAAGGCCTATTCCATATGACTTGGGAATTAGTGAAGAGATATGTAAAGCCTGGAACACTGATTTGTTTTACTGTTAATGCTCCCATCATGACTTGAAATAATAAGCTCCCAAAGAACTCACTTACTAAGCGATATCTCAGGTGTAACTGGGCTCTTAGCAAAGTGGTGGCCTTGGAAACCCAGTTTCACTCTTCTTTTCCTTGCTGGGCGCAGCGCCTTCCGATTAAGGTTGAGATTCAGCCCAGAGCTGAGGGCTGGCTGTTACTCGTAGGGCCACTTGCAGCTTTCCAGCAAGTCGTACTTCTGCCAGTTACCTTCTGTGTTTAAATGTTTCTGGATTATGGTTGGGGTGCTGTTGATACTTAATATTTGATCATGGTTTGTTCTTTTTCAAGATCCCTTGCATTTCCATATGAATTTTAGGATTTGTGCATCAACTTCTTTCCAAAAAGCTGGGGTTTTGACGGGTTGCATTGACTCTGTAGATCAGTGTGGGGAGTGTTGCTGTCTTAGCAGTGTTCAGTCTTCCAATCCGTGAACATGGACGTCTTTCCATATATTTAGGGCTTTCATTGGTTTTGATGATGTTTTGTAGTTTTTTGTTTGTTTGTTTGTTTTGCGGTACGCGTGCCTCTCATTGTTGTGGCCTCTCCCGATGCGGGGCACAGGCTCCGGACATGCAGGCTCAGCGGCCATGGCTCACAGGCCCAGCGGCTCTGTGGCATGTGGGATCTTCCCAGACCGGGGCACGAACCCGCGTCCCCTGCATTGGCAGGCGGACTCTCAACCACTGCGCCACCAGGGAAGCCCCTGTTTTGTAGTTTTCAGGGTACAAAACTCTTGCACGTCCTTGGTTAAATATATTCCTAAGTATTTTATTCTTTTCTGCGCTATAGTAGATGAACTTGTTTTCTTAATTTAATTTTTAAATTTAATCCAATTGTTTACTGGTGGTGTATAGAAGTACAGTTTATCTTTTTTATTGAAGTATAGTTGATTTCCAATTTTATGTTATATTTAGTCTTATATATATACATATACACACACACACACCTGTTCTTTTTTATTTTCTTTTCCATTATGGTTTATCACAGGATATTGAATATAGTTCCCTGTGCTGTACACTAGGACCTCATTGTTTATCCATCCTGTATATAACAGTTTGCATTTCCTAACCCCAAACTCCCAATCCATCCCTCCCCCACCCAACCCCGGCCCCCTGCATTGGGAGCATGGCATCTTACTCACTGGACCACCAGGGAAGTCCCTTGGCTATGATTTTTGATAATTGATCTTGCACCCTGAAACTTGGCGGAACTCATTTACTGGTTCCAATAGGATTTTCTATATATAAGATCATGTCATCTGTGAACAGACATAATTTTCCTTATTCCTTTCCTGTCTGGGTGCTTTTTATTTCTTTTTCTTGCCTCGTTGCCCTGGCTAACAGCTCCAGTCCACTGTTGAATAGGAGTGGGGAGTTGGGCATCTTCTTCCCGATCTCAGGAGGAAAGCTTTCAGTCTTTTGCCCTTAAGTATGATGCCCCCGGGGGTGTTTTGAGGATGGCCTTTATCAGGTTATTATTCCTAGTTTGTTGAGTGTTTTACTATGAATGGGTATTAGATTTTGTCATTTGCTTTTGTGCATCTGTAAGGTGATCATGTGGTTTTTGTTCTTCATTCTAGTGATATATTCATTGATTTTTTCATATGTTAAGCCAGTTTTGCATGACCTTGGTCATAGTGTTTAATCTGTTGCCAGATTCAGTTAGATAATATTTTATTGAATATTTTTGCATCTGTATTGATAAGGGATTTTTTTTTTTTTTTTTTTGATGCCTTCATCTGGTTTGGGTTTCAGGGCAATACCAGTCTCATGGAATGAGTTGGGTAGTGTTCTTGCCTACTCTGTATTTTGGAAGTTTGTGAAGAACTGGTTGTTTTTCTTACTCACATTTTTGGTGGAATTCACTAGAGAAGCCATCTGGGCCTGGAGTTTTCATTGAAAGAAGTGTTTTGTTTGTAGAATCTGTAGTGATATGTCCTCTTTTAGTCGTGATGTTGGTAATCTGCATTTCTTCTTTTCCTTCATCAGTTTAGATAGAGATTTATTGATTGATTTGATCATTTCAAAGAACCCATTTTTGCTGTTATTGATTATACTCTATTGTTCCTTTTCTATTTCAGTGATTTTGGTCTTATCTCTTATTGCCTTCTTATTTAGGGTTTAATTTGTTCTTATTCTAACTTCTTAAGATCTTTATTCTCACTTTTCTTTGTTTCTAATATACGTAATATTGTAAATTTCCTTCTATATATACTGCTCTATCTGCATCCCACAGATTTTGATAATCTGTTCATTACCATTCAGGCCAAAGCAGTTTTCTGATTTTTCTTGTGATTTCTTTTTACACCTCTGAGGTATTTAGTAGTGTGTTTAATTTCCAAATATTTGAGGAATTTCCTGAAATGTTGTAATTGCTTTCTATTTTATTTATGTTGAGATCAGAGCACATACTTTATATGACTACAGTACTTTTAAATTGCTGACTTTTTGTTTTTGTTTTAAATGGCTCGGCACAAGGTCTGACTTGGTGAATCTTGTGTTTGCCCTTGAACGGAATGTGCATTCTGCCTTTGGGGGACCTCTTTTCTGTCAAAGTTGAGTAGGTTGCTGCGGTTGTTCAGGTCTTCTGTATCCTTTCTGATAGTCTGTTTATTTGTTCTCTCAGTTACTGAGAAGAGCATTGAAATCTCCAAGTATAGTTTTAACTTACCTGTTTCTCCTTTCAAGTCTGCCAATTTTAAAGGCAGGTATTTTGAAAGTCTGCTGGTTACAAACATATTTGTGATTGCGTGTGTCCCCTTTGGTGTTATGTCCCTCTTTGTCTGGTTGTGTTCATCGTGCTGAAATCTACTTTGATCTTAAAATGGCCTTTCTCGTTATCATGTGACTTGTCCTAGGTTGGCACACCCTTTCTCATGATTTACATGTGACATGTCTGCACGTTTGTAATTAAACAGTGTTGTAGACTGCCCATCACTGGGTTTCATCCTCTCAACAATCTTTGCCTTTTTATGGGACATTTAGACAATTTAGATAATTGATTATCAATATGGTTGGGTTTCTGCCCTCTTGGTATTTATTTTCTGTTTGTTCCATCTGTTTTTTGTTCCATTTTCCCCTCTTCCTGCCCTTTTTCGATTGGGTATTTTTTTAGTATTCCATGTTATCTCCCCTTTTGGCCTATTAACTATACTTATTTGTGTGTGTATGTTTTAAGTGCTTGCTTTGGGTGTACGATAAGTACTTTAATAGTCTGTCTTCCGATAATCTACTTATAGATAATGTAAAGCCTTAAGACAGTGTGCTTTCCTTTCTCCCCTCCTGTTTGTGCTGTTGTAGTTATACGTTGAATTTCTGTGTGTTGTAAACCACACAATTTATTCATAACATTTTTCTCTGAATTATCTTTTAAATAATTTTTTTAGAAAATGAAAAAATAAATGTCTTTTCTTTTTAAAAGATTTCATCTCACGTAATTTTCTTCTGGCCTGAAGAACTCTCTTTGACTCTTCTCATGCTGTGCATCTGTTAGCCATCGACCGTCTTGGATTTTGATTCCATGAAAGTATCTTTCATCTTCCAGAATGTTTTTGCTGAATATAGAATTCTAGGTTGACAGATTTTTTTCTTTCAGTGCTTTTTGGGTGTTATTTCATTGTCTTCTGGTTTACTTCACTTCTGATGAGAAGTCTGCATGACTTTTATCATTGCTGTTCTGTGTGTTTTTGTCTTTTTTTTTTTTTTTTGGCGTGGTTACCTTGAAGATTTTCTCTATTAGTTTGTTTTGATTTGATTAGATTATTAGTTTTGATTTGATTAGATTATCTACCCTTTGGTGGGATTTCCTTTGTGTTCATCATAGTTTGGTTCATTGAGCTTCTTGGGTCTGTGAATTTGTAGTTTTTAACATATTTGGAAATTTTCCAGTTATTATTCCTTCAGATATTTTCTTCCCTCTCTTTTTTATGGGATTCCAATTACTCGTATGTTAGATTGCTTGATATTCTCCCATGGGTCCCAGGGCCTTTATTAATTTCTTTTTGTTTCTGTGCTTCTGTTTCTTAAAGTTCACATGCCTTTGTTCCTGTAGCATCTCATCAGCTGTTGAGATCACCCAGTGACGTTTTCTTTTTCAGATCCAGAAGTTCCATTTGATTCTTTAAAATATTTTCATTTCTTGCTTTGTTTGCTACTGTTTAATTCTTGAGCTTATTTATAATATCTGCCCTACGGTTCTTCTCTGCTTGCTCTGTCATTTCTTGGACTGTTTCTAGTGACGATTCTCTTCTCACCACAGGGCACGTTTTCCTCTCTCTGGATGCCCAGTACGTTTTTTATTTTTTCTTTTGGTACGCGGGCCTCTCACTGCTGTGGCCTCTCCCGTTGCGGAGCACAGGCTCCGGATGCGCAGGCTCAGCGGCCATGGCTCATGGGCCCAGCCGCTCCGTGGCATGTGGGATCTTCCCAAACCGGGGCACGAACCCGTGTCCCCTGCATCGGCAGGCGGACGCTCAACCACTGCGCCACCAGGGAAGCCCCGCCCAGTACCTTTTTATTGGATGCTGGACATTTTGAATGTGAAGTTTTTGAGTGTCTTGGTTTTGTTGTTTTCCTTTAAGTAGTGTTTAAGTATGTTTTGATAGGCAGCTATTGGTGCATTAATTTGGTCCTTTTGAGGCTTGTTTGAAAGCTTTGTTGGGGCAGATGTAAAGTAGCCTTTACTCTGGAGCTAGTTTAGCCCTGCTGTTAAGGTGTGTTTCTCTCCGAGTGTGTCGTGAATGTTCCAGGTCACTGTGGCTGGCTGGGGCTCCAACGTATCTCTCCCCTGTGTGCATTCCAAAAACTGTCCATCTCCCACCTGCTTGGAGGTTTTCTTTGCCCACCATCATGGAGTTCGCCCCATGCGTCCTAGCTAAGGTCAGCCCTGTGCAGACTTCTCAGCACTGTCTCCACGTGGCTTACTCGTTTCCAGTGCTCTGCTCCATACATTCCAGCCACCCTGCCTTCCTGACACTGATCCTTGTATTCCTGAGTTAGTAAGTCCATCAGAGTGTGCTTGGGTTCATCATTTTTCTGCTGTTGTCCAGACATTGCCTCCAGACACAGAATCGGGTCAATTTTAGGGTTTATCTCACTGGTTTCCCTTTTCTCGGGGATTGTGTGGCTAGGCTACCTCTTGCTCTGGGTCTTAGATGGTCACTTTGTAAATTTCTGTCCAGTTGTATAGTTGTTTATGGCAGGAGGAAAAGTGTAAAACCACTTACTCCGTTACAGCCAGCTACGGAAATCTCATTGTTTATTTATGATGAGGCCTGTTGCTCACTGCCTAGGGCTGAAGTTGAATGGAACTTTTTTGCTAAAGGTTCACTGTTATTCAAAGTTAAGGAAAAGTCTGGTTTTGCTTTTTAATTTTTCATTGTTGTTACAGACGTATTTCAAGACAATTAAACCTACCCTGCTTACTCTTTATTCTTTTTGAATAGGCAGTATAGCCAACCAAGTTTTCCACCCAGTGATGTTTGACAAATGTATTCAGATTCTAAAGAAGAGTTGGCCTCAGGAATCCAGCTTGAATCCGAAAAGAAAAAAAGAACAACCAAAGAATGCTCAGGCCAACCCAAGGGAGAGTAGGAAGAGAGGAAGGCCCCCCAGGAAAGAGGAGATGGAGGTAAGAGGGAGTGGAGTCGTGAAGCATATCTGATTTACTTAAGAATTTATATTAAGGTAGGGTTTCAGGGGTCACGATTATACCAAAGCCCTAGCGTGCCGTCCGCCATCCCTCCCGTAGGACTTGCAGTCGCCTCATGTACCGCTGAGCGTATGTTCCCCTTACCATCTTCCCAACCTCCCCATCATCTCTCTCCCGCCTTGTTCCCAGATGTGCTCACCACAGGCCAACAGGTGTGTTTGCCACATTATTTTATTGTCATTAGAGATGGTGGTCGAAGTATCCTGAGGACTCTCGTCCATAGAACATAATAGAATAACATTAATTCCTAATTTTTATGTGACTAGGTAGGGTGGTAGAGGTTCATTGACACCAGAACTTCTAAGAAACCCAAGAAATCTCACTGACGTGTAAGTATAGAACTAGAAACTGTGGTAGCTTCCATCTGGTCCAGTGGCTAGCAGCTGCGGCTGTGGAGACCCCAAGCAGTCGAGGCACCTGGTCAGCGACCCAGCGCCCACCTGGAGTTTCACTACCCTTGACTGGGTACATTGAAACCAGTCGGGACAAACTGTTAGGCAGTACTACACAGTCAGCTGTACATTTCTTCATAATCTAGATGGATGAAGTGATTGAAGAACAAGAGGATGAAGAGAATATTTTTTTTTCTTCCCGAGACCTTTGTCAAATTCGAAATGCCATCTTTCACGTCTTGAAGAATTTTTTAAGGCTTCTGCTCAAGTTTTCCCTGAAAGAAAAGCCACAATGTATACAGAATTGTGTAGAGGTAAGTGAGAATTCCAGGAACCTTGGGCAAGTTCAAAGAGCGAGGACACGGGCTAATACTTAAAGAGTGGGAAAAACCAGGCCTTTTCTTGGTCTCTGTTTTCCAGGTCTTCGTTGCATTGACTAATTTTGAACCAGTTCACGAATTTCATGTTACACAAGCCAGGTGAGCCATTAAATCTTCCAGTGCTAACATTTAATTATGGTACAATGAGTTTTGCTCCATCAGAAGCCTTAATGCCATTTTACCCTAATTGGCACACAGGTAGAATTTATTCATTTAGATATAGCTTATAGGGTTAGGAGCTATTCCAAGTGAAATCACATCCATTAACTAATCTTTTGCTTTTTTTTTTTTTTTTAGAAACCTTAACCAAGCAAAATACATACCAGAACTGGCCTATCATGGATTGTATTTGCTGTGCTCCCCAATTCACAGAGAAGGAGATAAGGTAAGGGAGACAGGACACCACTGAGTTACTGGTTGAAGTGAAAGCATGCGGGTCGTGGGATGCTGGAAGCTTTTGATGTGATGCCGTGTGAACTCACTAGGTCATTGTCATGACTTGAGGACGTTTGTATAATGAAAATCATCCCCATCACTACGTGGTGCCCACTGTTCATTCCAGGCTTATATCCAAGTACCTGGTGGCCACAGGAAGTTCTTGTTGGGTTAAGGCATAAAGAATGGTTCCAGTGTGACTTGGGTAGAGGAAAAGATAAGCTACTGAGCATTACTTATTTTTTTTTTAAATAAATTTGTTTTATTTATTATTTTTGGTTGTGTTGGGTCTGTTGCTGCACGCGGGCTTTCTCTAGTTGCGGTGAGCAGGGGCTACTGTTCGTTGTGGTGCACGGGCTTCTCATGGTGTGGCTTCTCTTGTTGTGGAGCACGGGCTCTAGGTGCACGGGCTTCGGTAGTTGTGGCTCGCGAGCTCTAAAGTGCAGTCTCAGTAGTTGTGGCTCACGGGCTTAGTTGCTCCGTGGCATGTGGGATCTTCCTGGACCAGGGCTCGAACCCATGTTCCCTGCATTGGCAGCTGGATTCTTAACCACTGCGCCACCAGGGAAGCCCCCTGAGCATTACTTTTACAGAAGTATTTACCAAACTCTTCTGAGAAGAAGAGTTAGACAGTCACAGACTTCCCAGTTTCCCTCAGCAGTTCCCGTGTGCCCCTGTATTTCTGTTAGTGTTTGTGTTTTAGTGGATGATTGTGCAAACACACTTCTGGTTAGCATTCATATATGGATTTGCTCCCAGTGACCTTCGAAGCCCTGCAGCTCTGGACACTGGAGTTAACGGCTTTTTAAGCAGTAGGGTGTTACTAAACCTGGATGTTGTTAATGAAACAGGAGTTTGCAAAAAACGTGACGGACCAAGGTCCTGTGCTTTTGGTGGCTGCGATACACCAAGTTTCCAGGGGCAACGATGTGTGAATGAGAAGGCCCTGGGCACTCAGGGCTCTGCATTTTGTCCAGACTTGGGCCTCACCCCTCACTGCCTCTATGTCCTCCTGTGAGGCCTCGGTTTCCTCATCTGGACAAAGAGGGTGAAAGGCTTCCCTTCCTCGTGGATTTCTGAGGAGGATTACAGGGAAGAATGCCTCTGTACAATGCCTGCTGTTTAGAAAACGCCCCATATTTCGTTATTATGTCATTGTCACTTCTCTGTTTGAAATATGGATGTGATAGCATTCACAGTAAAACATAATTCCTGAGCCCTTTTTAACATTTTAGGAGATAAGGAGGTTGGGAAATTATCCTTTCAGGCAACAGTGTCTCTAAGGACATGGTGTTCTTCATTGTGAAAGTGCTGCCCTGATGCTGGGCGACATTGGCTGTGGCCTGACCTTTAATTACTTGACTTTGGACAACTCACCTTGGGAGTCTTTTATTATGTATAAAGTAGAGATTATAGTAAAAGTATTAACAAAATGGAAAAGCCTTGCTGACCTCGTGGAGTTGAGAGGTTTCAGAGAAAGTGTGGTCAGATCTAGTAACACGTGGACGTGCTTAATGCAATACCTGTCACATATTTGGTTTCCAGTAAATTGTTTTATCTACTGGATGAATGAATTAAGTAGCTGAGTAAGTGATGTGTGATGGTATATTGGAAGGTGCTCTGTAAGCTTCAGGTGTAATACAGGTGTAAAGAATCATCACTTTCCTCTTTTCTGTAAGGGCTAATCAGTAGCATCCTTTGCCCTTCGTAAGTTACAGCTAATTCTCTATAGTCCCTAACTTCTGGGCTGGAGTGCGAGAGGCCGAGCAGAGAAGCCAGCTGGAGTTCCTATCATTATCTGTACGCAGCACTTTCACACTGCTGCGTTGTGCACCTATTGATACCTGGTCATCGTCCAGGAAGTGCATCCTTAGTGTTGAAGCAAAACCTGTGTCAGCCTCATTTAACTTCAGGTCCTTGAAGTGGTTCACTGTGGTCTGCATCACGGTCTCCAAGGCCCTGGGATTCTCTGTCATGCCTTAAACTGAATTTTCTTTTCTCTTCCAGGTTATCAGATGTGTTTTCCATCGAATGCTCTATGTAATATTAATGTTAGAAGTGGGCAAAGGCTCCCATCACGCCCCCCTTGCCATCACTTCTCCAGCCATCAGTGGTAAAAACCAGGCAGTCCAGTTTGTCAGGTGAAACACACACAGCTCGGATCTTTACCCTCTGTCCCTCTCCCTCAGTCTTCTGGGCCCTGTACTAACCAGGATTTCTGACACCTCTAGAAACTAAGAAACGTCTGGGCTGTTTGTGGTTCAGGGTTCAAAATAAAGCACTTGGTAGCTCATCTGGTTTGTGTGGTCTGGGGTGTTGTTGCGGGGATGAGGGGTCTGAAGTTTGTGGACCAGCCTGTGAAGTCAGCTCTGAGTTCTGACAGCGGCCTTAGTGTTAGCCGCTCCAAGTCTGCCTCCACCTTTTCTTTTTCTCTCTCCTCTTAGTCTCCATCTTTTCGTTCCTTGCCACTTTTTTTTTTTTTTAACTTCTTTAGCAATAATTGATAGACTAATTCTCCCCTCAAGAGTCACTTAGTTTCACTTGTGAAGTCCTGTGTCTGGGCTTTACTGGGGAAGACATGTTTGCCGTGTCCTCGGCTTTTCTTTTCTTCTGTTAACTGGCTACTCGGCAGCAGCATGGAGGTGGTGGGAAGAAGGGGAAGATGTGTATGTGAGAGTGTGTACATACCTGGAAGCAGCCGCGGTGCGTGCTGTGGGTGCAGACGTGGGGTGTGGATGCTTCAGTCCAGGTGCAGGCTGCTGTCTGATCCTTGAGCGAGTGTCTCGTTAAGGACTTTTAAACATTAAATAACTAAGATGTTTTAAGTAGAAACACTCATTTTAGTTCTTCCATGAGTTAATGATGTCACAAATTGCAGTAATATTCCTATAATGGTGCAAGGAAACTTAACACTGAAAATGGGTCCAATCTGGGCATTATAATAGTTTCTTTTGGGGTTACAGCTTGGAGAGGTACTGTTAGAAATGCATTTCACTGAGCTACCACTAGGTGGTACTGTGTCTCAGTCTATCCTCTACCTCAAAAGGATATATTTCAGCCTTAATATGAAACGTCCTGGGCAGTCCAAGGGCCCTGTGAGGACTGCACCCCTGCCCCTCCCTGACTGGCTGGCTGCTCACAGCAGCTCGGAGAGCACCTGGGGCGTGGTGACTGGTGTTCTGTTGTGACACTTTGTCTTTACAATCCATGCACTCACAATGCTTGCAGTATAGGGGTAGATTGTTTTTAATAGTTAGGATTTTGAAAAGGTAGAAATTTCTCTATTTTTGAGAACAGATTCAAGGAAAATTGCTACTTTGTTGTCATTATAGGTGTATTACAAACCGTGGCTGTGTTTCTTTCCTTTTATAGCTCACTTGTGGATGAACTAAAAGAAAGTATGTTTCCAGTCCTTCGTGTCTTACTCCAGCACATCTGTGTCAAGGTACTGTTTGCTTTAATGAGGGTGTATAAATACACATGAAGGTAAACATGCATGTGTGTTCTTGGAAATGAGTCTACATCATTACTAAACGTTGTTTTATTTAGTATATTCACTAGGTGTTCCCCTCTAGTGTGGTTTTCGGGGGAAAACAACTTTTTATTTTGGAAAATTTCAAATAGAAATAGAAATAGAATAGTGTGATGAACACTGTCTTCAGTGATTTTGTATAAGCTGTAACTCCCCCAGCACATACGCACGCTGGATTTTTCTTTTGAAGCAGATTTCATCATATCCTTTCAGACATAAATATTTCATGTCTCTCTAAAGGATAAGAACTCGTTAAAAACATAACCACAAAATATTAACACACCTAAAAAATTCACAGTAATTCCTTAGTATTGTCCAGTATCCGGTCAGTGTTTACATTTCTACTATTGTCTCATAAATTTTTATAACAGTTTGGACAGATGATTCTTTACCTGAACTCTATGGACCCTAGGGGTCCGTAAACTCTTTGAAATTAGGCTCTGAGGAGTGGGCGTACAGGTTTCTTATAGGCTAGTTTCCCAAGGGGTCTGAGACCTAGAACTGGTTAGTCATTTCTGTAACATGTAAACGCTCGGCACTGTCGCCGAGCCAGGCTCACTCAGCGATCGTCCGATCGCACTACTACATGCGTCTCCGTCGTCCTGCTTTGGGTACTGGCTGGGCAGCTTCTCAGGGTCTGTGTTTCAGGTGGTCGATAAATCCGAGTACCGGACCAGTGCAGCTCAGTCCCTGGTGCAGCTGCTCAGCAAGCTTCCTTGTGCGGAATATGCTTCTTTCGTGGCCTGGCTTTATGGATATTCACGAAATGCCAAGGTAGGAGCTACATCTGCGTGAAATTGTGGCTCCTGGCTCTGCAACCTTCTAGTGACGGCTAGATCTGAAGATCTGTTTCTGAAGATTAGTTTTCTTTATCTCTGACGGAGATGCGTGCGATTTTGCTTTACCAGATTCCGTACCGGGTGTTCACTCTTGATGTTGTCTTGGCTCTGCTGGAACTGCCTGAACGAGAGGTGGACGGCACGCTGCCCCCAGAGCATCAGAAGTTCCTGAAGCATAAGTTCTTGGTGCAGGAAATCATGTTTGCCCGCTGTGTAGACAAGGCTCCGACTGTGCGCAGCAAGGCACTGTCCAGTTTTGCGCACTGCCTGGAGTTCTCTGCTACAGCTGCGTCAGAGAGCGTCCTGGAACTTCTGGTGAACAGTGAGTGTGCCGAGCACCATGAGGCCGGGTCTGGCTCCTGCTGGTCCAGAAGCTGTGGTGGCAGAAATAATAGATGTGCTGTGATAGACTGGGACCCTCAGAGACCCTTTCAGTAGGTTTTACTGTCGAATGACTTCTTAGACGAGCCTTACTAAGCAGTTAACGTATTCTCGACCTCAGGCTGAGGTGGTTGGCCGCTGTCACTATTCCTTCGTGTCGTTGGTATTGGCTGTATTGGGTCTGATGACCAGTTTAATGCACAGCCAAGGAGAACACTGAACTGTCAGCATTTAGACTCTGTCTTGTCTTCAGGCCTAATTATCTGGGTTTTGATTCCTCTGTAAATATTTATGTATGGTTTTTGATACTAAGACTTTTCTCTCTTATCTACTTGCTTACTTTTAGCTCCTGCAGTTTCAGGAATAGAGAGCCACCATGACGCTTCACTGAAAAATTCATCAGGTAATGAAATGGGTCAGTATATTGTCAGATATTGAATAATTGTCCTTTTAATTAAAGGACTTGCTGAATATTTGAATGTTTTTTTCTATCTCCATATTACCTGTTTTAATACTGCACTTTTTTTCTTCATCAAAGAAATTGAAATTCATTTCAGTAATGATGTGTAGTAACTTAAACGTGGAATATGCCATGCTTATATTACTTAAAGGTATAACAAGTTTTTCCTGTACTGACTGGGCTTTTTTAAAATTTATTTTTAAGCTTTTTCCTATCAGAGGCAGACATTTAACCCTTCTGGAGGCTCAGAGGTGATCAATATAGACAACAGTGGTGAAACAGCTGGATATAGGGGTATGTCAGATTTTATCCCTATCAGATGAGTAATAACTATTGGATTTCAGACAACTGTAAGTAGAGCCTCAAAACCTTGGAATTTTTTTCTGACTAATTCACCCTCAAGAATTGGAACTTTTTTTCCCTTAAAAGTAGAATAATTTTTATTTTATATTTTTAATCGATGTCTTTGCACTATACTATATTTCATTTTAAGATAAAGAATAAGCTACATTTCCCTTGTTGTGTACTGAAACCCAGTATTTCTGTCACACTTAAGAGAATGTTAGCAAATATTTTATTTCCTTAGTGAAGTCCATTGTTCTGAACACTTGGGCTTGCTGGCCAGAAAGGACCAGTTACTAGGAAAGGTGCAGTAGAAATTAAATTTGTGTTTGGAGAAGAGTCATCACGGAAGAGGGGAAAAGATAAACGGTACTATGGTACTCACCCTTGTGTCTATTTTTTATTCCTTATTACTTTTTCCACCTGGCATCTTGACTCTGATTAAGCCATCCCAGAATCCATTTTTAATACGTGGTAGGGAACTGTGAGCCCAAGCTTCCATTGAAAAAGTTCAGAATTTAGGTAATTTCTCTTCACCAGCAGTATGAACTGTTCTTTAATGGGTCATACACATTGTGTGGAGTGGTTATAGGGTGCTCTCTCCCGTGGATCCCAGCACGGGATTCTGAACACAAATGATGCCTGTTCTCTTTCAGTGACTTATGGAAGCCAGAATAATCTGGGATGGTAAAGTGTCAGTGTGATTCGGGAGGGAAGAAACACACCTGGGCTAGGTAGTAGGTAGACCTGGAGCTACTCTCAGATTCTGTTTCAGTCTAACTGTATGGTCTTGAGAAAGTCACTTTACTTTTCTGGGCTTTTCCTTCACTTATACTACGACATAGTGTAATGCAGTAGGGGAAAAACTACATTAGAAATGAGAGGCAATCTGAATTCTTATCCCAACACTGCTACTAAAGAGCTGCATGACCCAAGACATGGGAGTCAGCAGAACTCCCTGCCTGCTTGTCACTTCTGATCCTAACACCTTCCCTGTCTTTCACAAAGGGCTGTTGTCAGGTTTATAGAAATTATGTTTAGAGAAGTGACTTCAAAAGAAAAAAGAGGGAACATTTGCAGAGGATAAGTGATATAATGAGATTTATTAGTTTATTCGATAAACATGTTTGTGGTCCCTCCCAATCTGTGCAAGGCATTGCAGGTACAGACTGTGACAAAACATAGTTCCATCTCTTAAGGAGCAGTGGGAGAGGCAGGTATGTGTGTACGTAAAATCGTAATATTGTGAGATGGATGCTGAAGCACATGTGAAGTGCCATGAGGATCATTACTTATCATTGCAGCCTGGAAGATTACGTTTAAATGACTAGATATTAGTATGTTTTACTCAAATTCAGAGCAATAACTCTATGTATAAACAGATTCCCTAAAATATGTAAAGAAATTTAATCTGGAAAAATGTCTGGTTTAATTCCAGTCTGAGCAAGTTACAGATTCACTCTTGCACAGACACTTGCGAACACTATTGAGTTGTACTGATTTAACGATGCTTCCAAAGTATAAAAATTTGCCAGATGTATAGCAACCATGTTCCCATCTTACTGTTTGTTGTTTTTTTAATAAATGTATTTATTTATTTATTTTTGGCTGCATTGGGTCTTCGTTGCTGCATGCGGGCTTTCTCTAGTTGGCAGTGAGTGGGGGCTACTCTTCGTTGCGGTGCGCGGGCTTCTCTTTGCGGTGGCTTCTCCTGTTGCAAAGCATCGGCTCTAGGTGCATGGGCTTCAGTAGTTGTGGCTCGCGGGCTCTAGAGCGCAGGCTCAGTAGTTGTGGCACACAGGCTTTGTTGTTCCACAGCATGTGGGCTCTTCCCAGACCAGGGCTCGAGCCTGTGTCCCCTGCATTGGCAGGTGTATTCTTAACCACTGCGCCACCAGGGAAGTCCCCTATCTTACTTTTGATAAACTAAAGTGACTTTTTTGGGGGGTGGGGGTGGGGCTGTGTTGGGTCTTCATTGCTGCACGCTGGCTTTCTCTAGTTGTGTCAAGCGGGGGCTACTCTTCGTTGCGGTGCGCGGGCTTCTTGTTTCAGTGGCTTCTCTTGTTGCAGAGTTCAGGCTCTAGGCACACAGGCCCTAGAGTGTGCGGCCTTCAGTAGTTGTGGCGTGTGGGCTCGATAGTTGTGGTGTGTGGGCTCTAGAGCGCAGCCTCAGTAGTTGTGGTGCATGGGCTTAGTTGCTCTGCGGCATGTGAGATCTTCCCGGACCAGGGATTGTACCCGTGTCCCCTGCATTCGCAGGTGGATTCTTAACTACTGCACCACCAGGGAAGTCCCTAAAGTGACATATTATTGGTATTAACTATACTTTAAAAAATTTGTATAGTTACTACATGCCAGTCACTGTGCTAATAAGTACCTTTGTTGGTGTTTTTTGGTTTTGTTTTGAGAGAGAATTCACATATCATAAAATTCACCATTTAAAGTGTATTGAATTCAGTGGTTTTTAGTATATTCATAAAATTGTGTAATCAACTTCCAGAAACTTTTCATTAGCTGAAAAAGAAACCGCATACCTGTGAGCAGTCACTCTCCATTCTCCCCTCCCCCCGCCTCTGTCTCTGTGGATTCACCTATTTTGGACATTCCACATAAATGGAATCCCACAACGTGTGACCTTCTGTGGATAGCTTCTTTCATCCACCACTCGTTTTCAGGGTTCATCCGTGTTGTAGCATGTATTAGTACTCTGTTCCTTTTTACGGCTGCATATAGTCCGTTGTATGGATAGACCACATTTTGTGTGTTCATTCAGTCTGGCGGTTCCTCAGAACGTTAGACATAGAGTTACCACATGACTCAGCAGTTTACAGATGGCGTGATCTGATATGATTCCTGAGTGTGCACCCTCAAGGAATGAAAATATATTCATACCCAAAACTGGTACAAGAATGTTCATAAGAGCAGTGTTCATAATAGCCAAAAAGGTGGAAACAACCCAAATGTCCACTTATTTTTTTTTTTTTTTGCGACACGCGGGCCTCTCACTGTTGTGGCCTCTCCTGTTGCGGAGCACAGGCTCAGCGGCCATGGCTCACGGGCCCAGCCGCTTTGCGGCATGTAGGATCCTCCTGGACTGGGGCACGAACCCGTGTCCTCTGCATTGGCAGGCGGAGTCTCAACCACTGTGCCACCAGGGAAGCCCCCCACTTATCTTTTTGAGGTGAAAGTAATTGATCTATTCTGCATCCAAGTTCCTCATCAGCTATAATGTGCACATATCTTTTTCTCATTTTGTGGGTTATCTTTTCACTTGCTTGATGGTGTTCTAAGAGTTTTATAGTTTTAGCTTTTACATTTTTGTCTTGGTTCAGTTTTGAGTTAATTTTTGCATATGGTGTGAGGTAGGGGTCCAGCTTTCACATGTGAATATCAAATTGATGGAGCACCCTTTGTTTAAAGGACTGTTTTTTCACCTTTGAATGCTCTTGGCACTCTTGTCAAAAATTAGTTGACCATAGGCATATGCACTTATTTCTGTACTCTCAATTCTATTCCATTGATATTTCATTGTCCATCTGTATGCCGGTACCACTCTGTGTTGATTACTGTTGCTTTACAGTAATTTTGAAATCAGAAAGTGTGGGCTCTGCATCCTTGTTCTTGCTTTTCAGGTTTGGTTTGGCTATTCTGTGTCTCTTGTATTTCCATATGAATTTTAGGTTCGGCTGTCAACGTCTGCAAAAAAGCCAGCTTGCGTTTTGATAGGGATTGACCTCTTAATCCATGTGGGGTGTGTTGCCATCTTAAAAATACTGAGTTTTCCAATCCATGAACAAGGGGTGCCTTTCTATATTTAGGTCTCCTTTAATTTGTTTCAATGATGTTTTATAGTTTTCAGTGTATAACTCTTGCTCTTTAAACATATTCCTAAGTATTTTATTCTCTTTGATGCTATTGTAAATGAAATTGCTTGCTTAATTTCAGTTTTGAATTGTTTATTGCTAGGTTTTACAACTGATTTTTGATGATTGATCTTGTGTCCTGTGACACTGTTAAATTTGTTACTAGCTTTAAAAGGTTGTGTGTGTGTGTGTGTGTGTGTGTGTGTGTGTGAGAGAGAGATTCCTTAGGATTTTCTACATATCAGATCATGCCATATGCGAATAGAGTTATTTGTTTTATCCAGCCTGAATGCCTTTATTTCTTTTTCTTTCCTATTTTCCCTGGCTAGGACCTCTAGTGGTGTTGAAAAGAAGTGGGGAAAGCAGAGGTCCTTGTCTTTCTTCTGTTCTTAGAGGGAAAACTTTTCGTCTTTCACCATTGAGTGGTTAGCTGTGAGTTTTTTCAGGATGACCTTTATCGGTGTGCAGGAGTTTCCTTCTGTTCTGAGTTTGTTGAGTGTTTTTATCATGAATAGGTGTAGGATTTTGCAAATACTTTTTCTGTGTCTATGGAGATGATCACGTGGCCTTTGTCCTTTGTTCTATGGTGGTATATCACAGTGAGTGATTTTCCTATGTCCTGGGATAAATCCCAAGCATGGCGTATAATCCTTTTTGTATCTTGCTAGGTTTAATTTGCTAATATTTTGCTGAGGATTTTATGTCTATATTCAGAAGGGATTTGGGTCTGTTGTACTCTTGAGCTGTTTTGTCTGGTTCTGCTCTCAGGATAATACTGGCTTCACAGAGGGAGGTGGAAAGTGAAACAGAAGAGATTCTGTTTTTTGAAAGAGTTTATGAAGCGTTGATATTAATTTTTGTTAATTGGCAATTTTGTTAACATTTGGCAGGCTTTTCCAGTAAAGCCGTCTGGTCCTGGCCCTTTGTGTATGGGGGGGTAGTGTGTCTTTGTTTCTTCTTAGGTCAGTTTCCCTAATTCTTATCTTTGTAGAAATTTCATCTAGGTTACTTAATTTGTTAGCATAAAATTGTTCGTAGTGTTCGTAACCTTTTTATTTCTGTAAAGTCAGTAGTAATGTTCCCTCATTCATTCCTAATTTTAGCAATTTGACTCTTCTTTCTTATTTTCTTAGTCTAGGAAAATGTTGTTAATTTTGTTGATATTTTTCAAGGAACCTACTTTGATTTCATTGATTTTCTTTATTGCTTTCTGTATTCTGTTTCATTTTTTAATGTTCTTTCTTGTACCTCAGCAGTTCTTAAGTGTGGTTTGGGGTCCCTAAGCCTCCTTCAGTGGGTCCTTGAAGTTAATACAGTTTTCGTAATAATATTTAGATGTTATTTACCTTCTACACTCTGATTTTCTCACAAGTGTAATTTGGAGTATTGCAGAGGTCCCAGACAGGCAGAAGCAGATAGAAGCAGAGATGGGTATCCAGTTGTCTTTTATTAAGCCAGACATTAAAGAGTTTGCAGAAATGTAAATCAGTGGTATTCTTTTCACTAAATTTTTTTTGTTTTGGACTATAGTTATTTTTTAGTTAAAAAATATACCATTTATAACAATGCCTTGTTATTTTAAAATGAATTATTAAATCTTTTTACAGTTCTCAGTTTAAATTTCTAATTTATATTAAAAGATATAATCCACATTAAAAAAGCTCTTAGGAGTCTTCAGTAATTTATAATAGTGTAAAGGGACCATTAATGGAAAGGTTTTAAAGCTACTGTTATGTATTGTTTTACTTAGTCTTTAAAAAACCTGATGGTTTAGATCTTACCACTTGTAGTAAACAGAATAGAGATCTAAATAATTCATTCAGAATTTTAGACTTAGCAGCCTGGATTTAAAATTAAATTTTCCAGAATTTATGCCCTTATAAAATTTTACTACTCTACCTTTTTCATTATTGTGAGTAGCTAATTATTTGAATTTTCTTCTTTTTCTATGTCATTTCATGCTCTGATTTCTTATGATTTAAAACCAGCTAATGAATCAGTCTGGGATTACAGCGTGTTCTCAGGATTGTGTGGTGTGCTCAGGCTGTAATGACTGTGCTGTTTCCTCAACAGGAAGGGGTCTCATGATGATGCTGAGGAGCAGGGTTGGAGATGAGAAGACCAACGTCAGGAAGTCTGCGCTCCAGGTGTGAGTTTTTCTGGACATTCTTTTCATGTACTCTTTTTAAGCACTACCAACTTGAAGATACAAGAGACTATTTTAAAAACCCTTCGGCCATATTCATTACTCACTTTTCCCTTAATGTTAGTTCACCTTGTTCCTGTTAAATGTAAATTACATAGATGAACTGAAGGATCATCTGTTCTTACGTGTTCCTACTGGGTTGCTGGCTTTTTAGGAATCACAATTTTATATCCTTAATTTCATTTTTTAGAATAAGGATTCTTAACCTGGGGACCATGGATGGATTTTGATAGGGTTCATGAAACCCCTGAAATTGTTTCAGAGTACTTGTTTGTATAAAATGTATGTCGGGTTTTCTCCAGAAAGGTGTTAAATTTCATCAGATTCTAAAAGGTGGGAGGAGGGATGGATCTGTGATCTCAAAAATGAAAGAATCACAAACTTAAAAGGCAGTGTTTTGTCTGCAGTTTTGCTTTTTGTATTGACATTATGCCTAAGTCACCCCTTCATGTTACACATGACCTTCTAGGTCTTAGTGAGCATTTTGAAGCACTGTGACGTCTCGGGTATGAAAGAAGAGCTGTCAATCCTGCAGGACCGGTGTCGGGACCTTGCTGTGTCTGTACGCAAGCAGGCCTTGCAGTCTCTCACCGAGCTTCTTATGGTGAGATGCAGCCATCGTGTGTCTGATGGGTGGTATTTTACATTACAAATAATTGAGCTTGATGAAGTACCTGTTAGAAACTCTCCTAAGTCCACTGTAGGATTCTACAGTGTAAGAGAAGGGAATCTGTCCATTACTTCTGGTAGATTGCATTTCATATTAAATATAACATGACTAATGCTAGAGAATGCTAATGGTTAGCTTTCTGTTGACTTCAGGTTAAATCTCATATAGAAATGTGAATTTTAAAATTAATTTGGTTAGGTAAGAGGCCTAGATTAATTTTTGTCCATTAAAACCTATATAGGTGATATTGCCAAAAGAGCAGATCCACTAATCCTATATATAATTTACTTTTGCCAAATAATTAATTTTTGAAGAATTTTAAAAGTGAGTTTTTTTCTTTATTTCATGATAGAAGGCATTAAGCAGTGCATGTTTTGACTTTCTCTGTTAGCATCTATTCTAATTACTCCTTCGGATAAAAATTTACTCTTTGCTCTCGATCTTGAATTACGAAAAAGTGCTGCTTCACTACCAATAATGAGATAATCACTGTGTAAGTCTAAAATTCCAGTATGGGATTTCCCTGGTGGCGCAGTGGTTAAGAATCTGCCTGCCAGTGCAGGGTACACGGGTTCAATCCCTGGTCCAGGAAGATCCCACATGCAACGGAGCAGCTAGGCCCGTGTGTCACAACTACTGGGCCTGTACTCTGGAGCCCATGCTGCGCAACGAGAGAAGCCACAGCAATGAGAAGCCTGTGTGCAGCAACGAAGACCCAATGCAGCCAAAAATAAATAAATAAATTTAAAATTTCAGTATTTACTGATTTACAGTTACTGGAGCTTGAATTTGTTTTTCACGTATATTTGGAATGTTGATTTTTTTTTCCACTGTATGTTTTATTTGTAATTATGTGAGCAGCTACTTGTAACATATCCTAAAACATCGATCACAGCTTCCCCGATTTGTGTTCAGACCTGTGATAGCGTAGGCGTCTTTATGACTTCCTGACTTTCAACTCCTCAGGCACAGCCTCAGTGTGTCCAGGTACAGAAGGCCTGGCTGGGGGGGGTTGTCCCGGCCGTGATGGACAGTGAGAACACCGTGCAGGACAAGGCCCTGGAGTGTCTCGACCAGCTCTTGCTGCAGAACATCAGGCATCATGGTCAGTTCCACTACGGGGACAACAGCCAGGTGCTCGCCTGGACGCTGCTGACACTGCTGAGCACAGAGAGCCAGGAACTGGGGTACGTTTGTGTGCAACTGGTTGTCCTTACGGGAGGGCTTTCGTTATAAATTCCTGTGTCGATCTCGGAAAATCAGCTCTCCAAATTGCTTAATATACGAAAACTCAATCTTGATCTTTTTCCCTTGACCTAGTTCAAATCTCTTAGCATTTTTGTGGTGACAGTTTTTGTGAAGCCTTCCTTTGCTTTTCTCTGAGTGTTTTCCAGCTTCGAATTGATGTCTTAATATGTAGTAGAAAACATTAATGGATTTGCTATGTTAACATTAACTTTCCACAATACTAGTTATTATGATAGATGACTTCCTGGGTATGACAAGTTAGACTTTTTCTGACATTTTATTGGGTCGGTTGACTTAATCACACTGCAGCATTTTTTCCATTTGATAACATGCTGGGTGTTCACTGTTCAGTGAGCAATGCGGTGAAGAGTTAGCACCTGCACTGATCAATTTTAATCTCTACTGCAGTAATCTTGCAGCTGGTTTGTGTTTGTGCTCCCTTGACTGTCTTTTCCTTTCCTTTTTTTCTAAATTTATCATACAAGAAATACCTCCCTGCTTGTTTACATGTACTTATGGAGGAATTATCATCCAATGAAAAGAATAATAGATTTAGTATCATAATAGGTACTAATAATTGTTAACCATGCTCCAATATAAAACTTAAAAAAAAATAGATACTGATAGATAATAATAGATTTAGCATACCGTCTGTGGCCCTGGCAAATCACCCCATCTCTCTGGGCCTTAGTTTTCTCATTTGTAAAAAGAGTCGGTTACACTACACGATCTCTTAAGGTTCCTTTTGTTGTTAAAAATCTGACTGAAAATGCATTCACTCATTAAATATTTTATCACTACCAACTATATGCTTTGCTGAAATTCCTGGAAGGGAGAGGAATTTAGCCAGCAGTAGAATCAACTACTTTTTTGCTTTTCTTAGGGATATCTTACTGTGCACACCCAGTGTATACTAGCTCATGAGAAACTGTTGGGAGGTTTATTTCATTTCTTTTTTTTAACTTTTATATTAAAATATAACGTATAGAAAAACGTACAAACTGTAAGATCAATAAATATCAAAAAAATATAGCCATGTAACCACCACCCAGGTCCAAAAATAGAACATTGCTCGGCCTGAGAAAACTCTTCCTTCCAATCGCTCTCCTTCCCTCCTCAAAGGGAACGACCACTGTGATTTTAACACTATGTGTGGGTTTTCTCTACTCTTCATCTTCATGTAAGTGGAATTATGTGGTATGTATTCTTTGTGTGTCCGACTCCTTTTACTCAAAGGAATACAAAATGCATTCAAGTTATTGTGTGCAGCTATAGCTCATTCACTTTCATTGCTGTGTGTATGATATTTGTGAATAAACTACAGCTTATTTATCCAGTCAACTGTTAATAGATTATGGGTCGTTTCCAGTTTTTTATTACGAGGTATAATGCTGTTGTGAATATTCCCATGTGTATCTTTGGCACACATTTCTCTTGGGTGTACACCTAAGAGCAGTGCTGTTGAGTGTGCTTTTATTCATCTTTCATGGTTACTGCCAGACAGCTTTCCAGAGTGGTGGGACCGAGTTACATTTCCTTGCAGCACTTAATGAGAGTTCCAGTTACTCAAGATTTTGGCCTGCATGTCGTGTTGTCAGTCTTCCTTTTTAGCCATTTTGGTCCATTTTGGACCAATACTGGTATTTCTTGGTGGTTTTAATTTGCACTGCCATGTTGACTAATGCAGTTGAGCCTCTTTTCATAGGTGGATTAGCATTTAGATATTCATATTGTGAATTACCTGCCCAGGTCTCCGGCCCTTTTTTTTTTTTTAATTAGGCTGTCACTCTTTTGCTTGTTCACCCCGAAGTGTTCATTATATATTTATGTACAAGCATTGTTGTATGTATTACGGATATCTCTCCTATCCCATGATTTGCCTCTTTACTCTCTTAATGATGTGTTTTGATGAGTTCAGTTTGTCAGTGGTTTTCTTTATGGTTAATGTATTTTTAAAGAAATCTTTTCCTACCTCAGGGTCATATACATATTTTCCCATATAATCTCCTAGAAGTTTGATTTTTTTCTTTCCCCTTTATAGTTAGGTCTTTAACTTACCTGCATTTAAGATATGTCATAGCTTCCTTCATAGGCTCTCTGTTTTCATTTTAAGATGGGGGAAACACCTGTGCATATTTGAAGTCAGAAAACCAGTATGTAGAAAATATCGAGGATGATTGAAAGGGATAAAGTTTCTGAAAAAAAAACCAATATGTGAAAGGATACACTTTATAAAGTAGGAGGAGAGAGCTCCAGAAATAAAAGGAAACAAAGAGAACAGGGAGAGAGAAACACAAAAGAGGACATAATATGAGCACTAGAGCTTTTAGCCTTTTTCTTCTCCATAAAGTGATGCTCAGTGTTTGCCCAGTACAGCATGTTCACAGCAGCACAATCCACAACAGCTAAAAGGTGGAAACGATCCAGGTGTCCGTGCACTGGTGAAGAGATAAATAAGATGTGGTCTATACACACAATGAAATATTAGCCTTAAGAAGTCACAAAATTCTGACAGATGCTATAACGTGGATGAACCTTGAAAACATGCTAAGTGAAATAAGCCAGACACGAAAGGACAAATATTGGATGGTTCCTCTTATGTGAGGTCCCTAGAATAGTTGGACTCTGGGAGGCAGAAAGGGGCGGTGGGGAGGAACTGCTTAAGGGGTACAGAGTCTCAGTGTGGGGTGAGAAAAAGCTCTGGAGGTGGGTGGTTGCACAACAGTGCGAATGGGCTTAATGCCACTGATCTCTGTACTTTAAAATGGTTAAAAAGATAAGGTTTGTTATGTACATTACCACAATTTAGAAAACAACGTATTTGCTGAAGTTAGGAAGGAGAGGGTAGAATTAGGGGTAGCAGTTCTCAAAGTGTGGTGGATTCAGGAGCTTAGACTCTTTCTTGTCCTCTTAAAAACACACATACACAGAGAGCTGTGAGTTGTTTTATTTGGGGCTTACTGAGGACTGTAGTCCAGGAGACAGCCTCTCTGTAACTGAGGAACTGCTCTGAAGAGGTGTGGGGGGGGCGGGTCAGTATATATGTGATTTTGGTGAGGGGCGTACGTGCAATCAAGCACACATCTTGGTAGAAGGTTGCTGCTGGTCACGAGGAGCAGATGTGTCTGTAAATGGATTTTAGGGCTTTTCTAGGTATGAGAAGATGCAAGAAATTGGGCTCATAAAATCTTCCTGAAAATACCTACCTATCTGAAGGCCTGTTCTGCCAGTTTTCCGAGAGCACAGAGGGCCTCATTCCTGGTCTTGGCCCAGAACTCCTCTCAGGAGGTGGGGAAGGTCAAGGGACTGCAATGGCCAGTAACCTCATCCTTGTAGAGGCAGATGGCAAGCGGCAGTTTTTAGTTGACAGCCTTTATTGTAATATTAAGATGTCATGTGCCATTGCCATTTTTACTCTTTGACAGTACTAGAGTTTCCAGAAGCCATGTGATGATATTGAAATAAATTGAATGGAGAATCAGATGTAAGAATGCACGTCTTTTGTTTAAGCCAGTCCATAAGGAGATTTACAGAAGTATAAAGCAATGTCACTGTTCTTACCAAGTTTTTTTTTGTTTTGAGAAAGATACCAGGTTTTTTTGGGGAAGGAATTGCATTATTTATGTTAACATGTAATTGGCAAATTAATAGATAAGTAATTTTAAATTTCTGTTTTAACTTCTAGTATGGCAAATATTGATAGGTATAACCCGCATGAACAAAAAAGGTCTTCGAGGCAGTCAGTAATTTTTAAGAGTTTAAAAGGGCCCTGAGCAGAAAAAGTGTGAGAGCCACTGAACAAGGGAATCAATTTTAAAAAAGGATTGAGAACAGTAGGTAGTGGAATAGAGTTCTATAAATAAACTCTTGTGATAAGTTCTTTAATAAACAGAAAGTAACTAGGATTCCAGGATCTGCTCAGGACAGGAGACTTCACAGAACAGGTGAGCTTCGAGTTTGGACCTTGGCGGTTAACAAGGGGCGGGAGGTGCTCTTGAGGAGGACGCAGCCGGTGCAGAGCCACGGGCGCATGCGTGGTGTATGCTGCAGGGGCCCCAGGAGTTCATAGCACAGGAGGTGTCACGGATCGGCTGTGTCTGTGACCAGAGTCTGAGGACACAGACCACCGGTGAATGACTTGAGCTCAAGGCATGGCGACCCGGGTCCAGGGGAAGCAGCTGGCTGAAGAGGAGCTGTCCAGCGGTGGGAAGCCAGGGAGGGGGCACGGGCTCTGAGGGCTGAGGACGCCCTGCACCCTCCACTCTGGTTGCCCACAGTCCAGTGGAAAGGGAGTCACGGCAGCCAGCAGGGAGCACGTGGAGCAGTATGGGTTTTTACCTTTTCTTCTTGTTTTTAAGCTTAGGGTAGCTTCCTTTTGATGGTGGTGTGACCTCAATCATCCCTAGAGGTGGAAAGAGTTGAGAGTAACCAGGCAGGCCTAATGGTGAGGGTCTCCAGGCAGGAAATAGCAACGCAAAGGCTTAGAGGCCTGCCGCTCCAGGAATCCTAACTGAAAGGGCTTCTGGGTGGGGTTGCTGTTGAACAAGGCCCGGAAAGCAGAGGTGGGGCAGGGCAGGGGGTGGAGGGAGGGCTGGGGATGGAGTCCCATTTTCAGCGTGTGCTTGCGAGGATCCTGGTGATGGAGCACATCGCCCAGAGTTAGGTTGTAGGTTAGAGAAGATGACTAAGAACAGACCTCTTCAAAATCAGCAGTTGGTGTGATTAGAAGAAAAGGAATTAGTGAGACGGTCAAACAAGTCGACTGGAGCGTAAGGGAGAGCGTGGTCAGTTCTGTCCAGCAGGGGGCGCTGAGATGGGCACTGAGGGGTGTTGCTTTGGTTTGATATTAGGATAGACGTCGGCAGTGCTTTTCAGGAAACCAGGTGGTGTTTGCTGAACCGCATTCTGAGTGATGCGCCATCCCCTGCTTGTGATGGGCAGTGTGGCTAATGGAGGGTCCAGTTGGGAGGCTTTGGGGACGGCCCAGCCCACGTGGAGGGTGTACGTGGTCAGAGAGGAGCCAGATTTGAGGTTTCAGACCTGGAAGTTCAGAGGATGTTTTGTCATTCTGTTGGCTTCCTGCAGTAAACTTCAGTTAATACTCTGTGATGCTTGTACATAAACTTTTAAATATTTGTTGATTTCATGTATCTTGCTTTTGGATAGCAGTCACATATAAATTATGTTAGTCGTTTGCAGTAAAACTCTAGATGGATTTTTAACCAAAAGCTAATTTATTAATAAAACCATTCATTTATATGCATATGCTTATTGTGTGTAGATGTGTTTATTTTCTTATAGTTGCCTTCTGTGTGCTTTGAGAATTCTTTTTTTCATTTAATGAGAAAGTCTTGCTAATCTGAGTGTGTGTGTGTGCCTAGCAGTAGAAGAAATTAATTGGGGGAAGGAATGTATTTGTCTCTCCACTTAAATATATAATACTGCATTTGTCTCATGAGTCATATGATGTCATTCAGTGCTATAGGAAAAAGTAAAATAAGAAATGGTTTAAAAATAGCAATGACATCACACAAACACTTTAATACATCAGAAGCATTTTTTATTTTAGAAAAGTTTGATATATGTATTTCTGAGTGGTATTGGCAGCTCATAGCAAAGTCGAGCTCATTTAATATCACCATATTTAAATGCTAGGATGTCATTTCTCCCCAATCCTTCCATTGAAAAAAGGACAATGTCTACATTTTTTTGTCACTAAAACCCTGTAGACTCTGGATGTACCTGTTATTGGTAACTTACCCCATATGTTTGCATAGAAATTTTAGAGGGTCTCAAGTGAATTATGAAATTTTATTATTTTCTTTAAAAATTAATACTTTATGGGCAGGGGAGGGGTAAATATACCTTATTCAGTGTAATAATAATTAGAAAGATACCTAGTTTGCTATCAGATGAGCCACTCGCCAGGAACCTCTGTTTACATGTTTTATGTGCCAGAATCCTAGAGCAGAAGTTGATACCCTTCACTGAGGGGCAGGTCTGAACAGTTTTGTGTATTTACAGTTACAATTCTGCTTTCTCATCTTTTTTTCCAGCCGCTATTTAGATAAGGCTTTTCACGTCTGGTCCAAGAAAGATAAGTTCTCCTCCACTTTTGTAAACAATGTGCTCTCCCACACTGGCAAGGAGCACTCTGCCCCGGCCTGGATGCTGCTCTCCAAGGTTGCTGGCTCGTCACCCACGCTGGACTACACCCAAATCATAAAGTCCTGGGAGAAAATAAGCAGGTTCGCATGCTTGTGATTTAGCTGCCACCAGACACGAGAGAGTCTTGGAAACAAAGCTCATGTCTTAAGGAAGTGGGCTCTTTCATAGCTGTTAATATACACAGATCTTTTCTTTAAATTCTGGCATAAAAACAAACATGAAAAAAAGAATCACTTTTAGGCTTTGATTGTCCAAGTACATTAAGTGCCTTAATGCTCCCCAACTCGACTCCTAAACCATGTTACCCTACTTCCTCCAGTACTGGTAATCCAGAAGAAAAGTATTTTGTTGGCAGCAATTTTTACTTTGGTTCTATACTGATATTTCTTCTGCCCTTTCCACAGGCAGCAGGACCCCAATGCAGACACCTTAGGGCACATCCTCTGTGTTATCGGGCATATTGCAAAGCATCTTCCTCAGAGCACCCGGAACAAGGTGACAGGTGAGTGTCTACCGGAGAATTGTGAAAAGGCTTTGCCTCTCACTTTATATATATTTTTAAGAGTTAAACTTCAAGGGAATTAACTCTCTTTTTTAGATGTTATCAAAAGTAAGCTGAATGGATTCTGGTGGTCACCAAAGTTGATCAGCCCAGCTGTTGATACTTTGCAAAGACTCTGTAGAGCATCTGCAGAGACGCCAGCGGAGGAGCAGGTACGCTACAGACTCTCCTGGGTGTGTCTGTCATTTGTCTGTACGTAGACATAAAGCTCTGCCTTGAAGCTGGGGGCGTGTTCTCCGCAGAGAACCTGGAAGGGTGGGTGGTCCCCAGCAGTTAGTTCTCCAAGGAAGCACCTACGTGACAAGCAGTTGACAGTCCCCAAGAAGATCTTGGCTGCTGAAGACACACAGCTCCTATAGGAGGTCACCTCCTTGGTTGTGAGTACCAGTGTCTTGTAGGAAGCACACCTGGCGGACACCTGTTTCCAGGATTGAATCTACAAGGTTGTCTTAATCATCGTAACCTCGGTGCTCACAATAGCCTGTTAGACCCTCCTCCCTCACTCCAAGGATGTGTAAGAGGTTTCCTCCTAGTCACGGCTTCCCTCCAGACCAGAAGATTTCTGATTAGTCATCATCCTGTCACCCTAGTATCTCTTGTCCCCAGAGTTCCCAGAGCCTCCTGCTGACATTCTCTGTGGATTCATCATCACAACTCCAAACCAGCGTTCTGTGTGACACAGAGGGTTACTTTGACTCCCCCAAAGCTATCCATTTAAGTATCTCTAATGATAAATTATCTTACTACCATGTATTCAGTTTTTATCATGAAATATACTCCTAGACAGTGCTAATCATAATGAAAAATTTTCGGACTGGGGGTTATTAATAATGATTTTAGAAGTCAAAAATTAAATAATTGCTGAAATATATTTAAATCTCCCAGAATAAAGACATTATTGCTTCGTCTGAGCTACTTGCCACCTTCCTAAGCTTCATTTTCTTGTATAAGTTCTTTTTAAAAAGTCCTTTCCTGATAAGTTAACCATTGTAGTAAGACAATATACTGTAACTTTTTTGCTTAGGACTTAAAGCAGGTTGAAATTTAATTAAAAATGCCCAGCTCTTTCTGTGTCTGGTGTTTTCCTGGCATAAACCTTTTGGCACTTTTTGGTGAAGAGGATACTTGCTTTATTTGATTTTCTGTTTATCTCTGATCCAAGAAAGTGTGTGAAAAACTTTTAAATAAGGAACATTACCTAAGTAGGGAGCATATTTGAATAGCAGAAAACAGGTAAAAACAAAACAAAAGATGATGAGGAACAAACGCTGTAGGAAAGAGTGGAGATTCTGTGGCAGAATGTGAGGGCGCCGTCCCCCAAGTGTCTGCGGCATGTCGCTTGTTAGTGCGGAGCCAGGCCTGCACCACGGGCCCCGCTTCCTGGGGCTGTGTGGCTCCCCAGCACTGGCTGGAGAGGGTCTGCAATGGGGGGAGCCAGGGCCGTAAAGACTAACTGTCTGCCCACCACCGGCCACAGTCATTAGAGCAGTAAGTTGTGTCATTGTTAGTCTGTGGGGAAGGCTGAGTTGTCATCAAACATAGAAACTGAGACCCAGAAGGGAGAGGAACTCACTGCTGCGTTAGGAGAAAAGCAGGGTGTTAGCTTTGCCAAGACCACCTCCCTTGGTGGTGGGCAGTGGACTAAGGCCCTGAGACTTCCCAGAATCTCAGGATGCTTTACATCCAAGTGACCAGAAACGTACTTGTGCTTCTTTTATCTGTAAATGAATGTCCTGTATTTTACGGAGAAAAACAAGTTACCCAAAGAATAGACCATCAAGATGTAGCTCAACAAGATGTAGCTCAACAGCAGCACGTGTGAGAGGCTTGGTCTTTGGGCATCGTTGCTCTCTGCAAGCTTGGTGTGAGCTCATAGCATTCTGAGGCTGTCGTTGAAGAAGTGGGTGCAGGTGTGGACTGTGGGAGTAGAGATCGTGTCTGGAACAGGTGCTCGTCCTGCTGTCTGTACACTCGATTCTAAGGCCACATACTGCCATTCTGTCTCAGTGACAGCCATTCAGAGAACGTGGATGAGACCAGATGGATGTATCCAAGGAGAGCAGTCAGCAGGGTGACAGAGCAGGCTGGCCGGGAGCGCTGAGGGCCTGGCGTGTTTAGCTGGAGAAGGAAGTGTGGGGAGGCCGGCTGCCTGGCTTAATACACATGAATGAAGGACCCAAAGGACAGAGAACTGGATTTATTTGGCATCACAGAGCACTGATTTCGACCAGTGGGTGGAAATTGCAAGGAGACAGATTTTGCCCAACTGAAGAAAAACTGTACTGAGATCTGCCTAGACTGGACAGACTTGCCTCTGGACATGTCTCTCTGGTTAGTGGGAGTCACACTGGATGCGTGACAGGAGCCCCTGCATGGAGAGAGCCCAGGGCTGGCTGGCTGGTGGCTCGCCCAGACTCTGAGGTCTTCCTCTCACTAGCAGCCGGGTGCTGGGCCTAAAGGACTCAGCCAGGCTGGGACAGAGCACGTGCATTTCAGAAGCTCCAGGTTGTGCAGTCTCTTAACATCTTAAGTGCAGTCATTTTGTAAAACGTTAATAAAGACAATAGCTTTGACACATTTTAGGCCGAGTCAGACTACAAATGTCTGGATCGTGATGGTTTGCCAGCAATTTGGCAAACTTAGAGTACCGTCTTGTGGTATTGCTGCTGGGCACTCCCTGGGGGTGTGGTTCACACTGCCCCTTCCTAAGGCACCTGCCGCATAGTGTGGGAGACCTACACATTAACCTGTAATCCCAACATCTTAGAATAATTCCTGAAACAGAACCGAGTGTCTGGTAACGTGGCGGTCCTGGGGCGGAGCCACTCAGCTCAGCCTGGGTGTGTAGGGACGGCCTCCTGGGAAAAGTGGCTTCCGGGTTATAGGGTGTGACCGAGCTCCTCACTTGGCCCATAAGCGTGGTGAGATGTGTGGGCCGGAGGTGGGACCCCCTTGAGGTCACTTTAACTAATAAGAGACTCTGAAAACTTCTCTCTAATAAATATATTTCAGGAGGGTAAAAACTGTTCTTTTTTATTCTATGTGTTTTTAAAATATACTCTTTATTACAGTAGTTAATTCACCATCTATATATGCCAGAAGAATTGCAATGTTTTTCTCTATTGGAGGAGCACTGCTGTTACAGATCTCTTATAAATTAGGGCAGTAGATCTTCCTAAATAGATGTCTTTCCCTCTTATAGGGCAAATGTAACAATAGAAAGATAATACATAAATATATATGTTTGTAGTAAATATAGCATATTAAAAAGAACATACATAAGTGTTCTTCGTGAATTCTACTTAGCCAGTTTGCATTGCCAGATTGCTAAAAGAGCAAAGATGCAAAAGCATGATGGCTGGGGTTTCCATGGCTTGCGGTTTATGCATTTGAAGGCCATAGAGTTTCTTGTGAGCAAGTTGTGTGTCGCGGGCAGTCTGATGGACGCGCGGTGCCCTTCAGAGATGGCCTTTGACTTGCCGCAGGGACTACTGGTGCAGGCGTGCGGGGACGTGCTTTCTGCCTGTGTGCGCTGCCTCTCCGACATAGTTCTGAAGGAGGACGGGACCGGGAGGATGAACGAAGACCTGGCGGTGAGTAGCTGCTGCTCTTAGCGTCCTCCTCTCCTGCTTGTGTCGGCTGGGCCTGTAGACGGCTTTGTGAGGTGCGTTTTCAATACTCTTAGCAAGAAAAGGATTTTCCTAGCCTGGGGCTTACTCGTTTTTTTAGAATTTTTTATCGGTGACCTATTCATTTTTCTCTCCCATACTTATCATCTGGGGGAAAATGATGGTAAATCCTTCTCCCAGTTGGGTCGTGTGAGATTCCTGATCCAACAGGGAAAACAGTGTGTGTTGTGAGCTCAGAAGTAATAAGGTGAGAAAAGAGTAAAGTGAGCATCCTCTTTGTTCTTTTGGCTTGTTGGTTTGATTTTTTTTTTTAATTGTGTAATGTGTCTGGCAAACTGTTTGAATATCAGACTATAGAGCAGCTCCCAGGTCATGTCTAAAACAAATGGAATATTTGAGAGCTGGAGAAGCTGCTGCCCTGGGAGCAGTGAGGGTGTGTGGCATGCACCCTGCTTTAGAAATGGTGCCGTGAAGAGGTGCCTTTGAGCCAGTGAATGCGGGGCCCGCTTTCTGGTTCAAGTAGCTGACTGTCAACAAAACGTGGTGATTCTGATTCCAGCATCTGACACTGTCCCATAAGGACAAAAATGAGCTGCTTTTTGATGCCCTTCAGACTAGGCCATCATTTCACCAAAACTGGTCATTTTCCTTGTCTGTTTGAAAATTAGTAGAGCACTTACCTTCTGTGTTCAATTCCTGCTTTGGTCCCTCGCACTTGGACCTGGGGATTGATGGCCGTGTTTAGATTTGTTGGAGGAGAAGACCCTTTGTGCCAAGGCATTAATACGGACCCAGTTCAGTAATAAAAATATCCTGATCACCGAGATCCCAGATGTTTTGGGTCAGAGGTTGCAATGTTTAGAGTGGTCCCGACCCAGGGTTTCTCTGGAGGGTCTTGCTCCGCTAATTTGTCTGGGATTCCCTACCCAATCTAAGAAAAACGCTTATTATGACCAGTGAGTTTTCCCCGCTAAGATTTTTTTTTTCCCTGTTAAATATGTCACCAAAATTTACCCTTTGGTCAAAATATATGGAGAAGTTTGCCCTATATATATTGTTTATTTTACTCTTCTTTAACTATAATTCAAATGTGCCGCTAATCCACTGAGATACAGTGTGTTCAGTTCTTTTTAAACACACACATCCTTATTATTAGCTTTTTTTACTCTTAAAAAGCCTTTATTCAACATTTTACTGTTTATTTAGCATCACCCTTGTATTTTTACGATTAAAAAAATAAGTATTACTTAACTGTGCAGCTGAAGGTCCTTAATAAAGACACAGTAGTGGTGGCTTGAGGAAGCAAATTCTCACAAGTTTTGGTAGGAGTCTTACTAGTAAGCTAAGCAGGAGGACAGTTTGGAAGTGAGTTTAAAGCGTGCAACAGGCTATATGCCCTCTCACCCCACACTTCCCCTCTGAGGAGGCAGAACACTGTCCCAGGACGCAAAGGTGTCCATCAGAGCTGATGCAAACAGGAAGGGATTATGTCAACATAAATGTATAGTAATAGTGCGGTCAACCTTGATGACATTCAGAGTTTTTAACATATTTATGTAGTCATTAAACATATTGATCGTATATATTGACATGAAAGGATGCCTGATACTGAAATTTAGAATCACAAACTTCAACCTACTGTGATTGGCAAGTGTGAGAAAAGCAAACAGGAAGCCCTGTGACTATAAAAATACTTTGAAAAGAAAGTCATACAGAAAAACAAGGATGGTGTCTGTGGGTGGCAGGATTGTAAGTCAGCTGTTCCGTGTCCCCACTTACCCAGAAGCACCGAGGTACACTCTGTTGTCATAGCACCCCTTTGACTTGCAGGAGTATCTAGATACAGATGATAAACCTATACAGTCACCCTAGTTGAAGCAGTGACAGGATTTTTACAATGGCTGTGTGTTGTTGCAGGGAAAAAAACCAGCCATTTAATTTGGGGGACAGAAAAAGTACTCCACTGACATGGCCTTAACCTACCTAGAGTTCATTTTTCTTTTGACTTATTCTTACTGCAAAACCAATTCTCTTTACAGGTGAAGTACATTTTTACCTTAGGAGACGTAGCCCAGCTTTGTCCAGCCAGAGTGGACAAGAGAGCCTTCCTGCTGATGCAGTCCATCCTGGCTGCTTCTGCCAGCACGGAGCATTGTAAGGCCCTTGGCGTGCCTTCCGCGCCTGCTGCTTCGGGGCTGGCTTTGCCTTGTAGCAGTGCAGCAAGACCTCTCCTGCCTTCTCTTCCCTCCTGTAGTGACCATGTCGGACCCAGGCAGCAGTGAGGCCGCATCCTCCCAGCCCATCTCCCAGTTCCAGGGCTCTGTCATGCCCTCTGTGATCAGAGCACATGCCGTCATCACCTTGGGTGAGTAAGGAGACACGGGGCAGCCTCTCCACGTGTGCTTTGTGATTTATAAGCTTGTAAGCTCGGGAGGTAACTGTAGGAGTGCCCAGCTCTGCAGGACACTCCCTGTTTAATTTATTACCATCAAACCTGATTTTTTTATACTCATAATGTAGCACCATGAAGTCTGTTCTTCAAGAGCTGTATGCCAGGCACTGCACTGAGTTCTGGGAATGAAGAAATAAGTTTGCAGTTCACATGATAAAGAGATGGTTTATCTTAGAGGAAAGCATAGGCAGAACACTCTATGACATAAATCACAGTAAGATTCTTTTTGACCCACCTTCTAGAGAAATGGAAATAAAAACAAAAATAAACAAATGGAACCTAATGAAACTTCAAAGCTTTTGCATAGCAAAGGAAACCATAAACAAGCTGAAAAGACAACCCTCAGAATGGGAGAAAATATTTGCAAATGAAGCAACCGACAAAGGATTAATCTCCAAAATTTACAAGCAGCTCATGCAGCTCAATAACAAGAAAACAAACAACCCAATCCAAAAATGGGCAGAAGACCTAAGTAGACATTTCTCCAAAGAAGATATACAGATTGCCAACAAACACATGAAAGGATGCTCAACACCACTAATCATGAGAGAAATGCAAATCAAAACTACCATGAGGTATCACCTCACACCAGTTAGAATGGCCATCATCAAAAAATCTACAAACAATAAATGCTGAAGAGGGTGTGGAGAAAAGGGAACCCTCTTGCACTGTTGGTGGGAATGTAAATTGATAAAGCCACTATGGAGAACAGTATGGAGGTTCCTTAAAAATCTAAAAATAGAACTACCATACAACACAGCAATCCCACTACTGGGCATATACCCTGAGAAAACCATAATTCAAAAAGACACATGCGGGCTTCCCTGGTGGTGCAGTGGTTGAGAGTCCGCTTGCCGATGCAGGGGACACGGGTTCGTGCCCCGGTCTGGGAAGATCCCACATGCCGCGGAGCAGCTGGGCCCGTGAGCCATGGCCGCTGGGCCTGCGTGTCCGGAGCCTGTGCTCCGCAACCGGAGAGGCCACAACAGTGAGAGACCTGTGTACTGCAAAAAAAAAAAAAGACACATGCACCTCAATGTTCATTGCAGCTCTATTTACAATAGCCAGGACATGGAAGCAACTTAAGTGTCCATCGACAGATGAATGGATAAAGAAGATGTGGCACGTATATACAATGGAATATTACTCAGCCATAAACAAACGAAACTGAGTTATTTGTAGTGAGGTGGATGGACCTAGCGTCCGTCATACAGAGTGAAGTAAGTCAGAAAGAGAAAAACAAATAGCGTATGCTAACACATATATATGGAATCTAAGAAAAAAAAAAGAAATGGTTCTGAAGAATCTAGGAGCAGGACAGGGATAAAGACACAGGCATAGAGAATGGACTTGAGGACACGGGGAGGGGGAAGGGGAAGCTGGGATGAAGTGAGAGAGTGGCATGGACGTATATACACTACCAAATGTAAAATAGCTAGCTAGTGGGAAGCAGCCACATAGCACAGGGAGATCAGCTTGGTGCTTTGCGGTGACCTAGAGAGTTGGGATAGGGAGGGTGGGAGGGAAACGCAAGAGGGAGGGGATGTGGGGATATATGTATACGTATAGCTGATTCACTTTGTTATAAAGCAGAAACTAACACACTGACACACAAAAAGAGACAGTTTATTTGATACTTTCCATGACCTCACACTGTTGTTTATCTTAAGAAGACCGACTTCTGTCAGTATTTGCAAACAAAATTTGAATTTTCTTTGTGATTGTGTATACTCAACACGAGTTACGAATTTTTGGTAATAATGGTTATTTTTCAGAAATCTCAGAAGTGTAAATAAGAGCAAAATGTTCCCCGGGCCAGAAAAAAAAAACACAAAACTCAACAACAGCCTTCCTTCTTCTAACTATGAACAAGAAGTGAAATAAATGACACGATTATCTATTCACCTAGCTCAGATTTCAAGTTCATTATTAAACTTTTCAGCTTCTATCAATTATGTGTATAATCAAAAGTAAAAAGTATCATCGGTTACATTTTATTCGTCATTTTCCAGGTAAGTTGATAACTCCAAAATTCAGATGTTGACTTTAAAAGGAAGTGAGGGAACATCTCAGAGTGTCTGCCTTGTGAAACCCGGGGGTATATGGTGCTTCTTAATATTTAGTATGGGTCTGTCTGCCTTAGAGTTTTTGTTTGTGATTGTTGATGTGATGTTTTCACTTTGATTAAATAAAATCCATAGCAGGATACAGCTGGAGAAAATGTGAGGCAGAGAATGAGAATAGAGTCAGGGTGTCTTTCTTTCTCGGTGGCAGGGAAGCTGTGCTTGCAGCACGAGGATCTTGCAAAGAAGAGCATCCCGGCCCTGGTGCGGGAGCTGGAGGTGTGCGGGGATGTGGCCGTCCGCAACAACGTCGTCATCGTCCTGTGCGACCTCTGCGTCCGGTACACGGTCATGGTGGACAAGTACATCCCCAACATCTCTGTGTGTCTGAAGGACTCGGACCCCTTCATCCGCAGGCAGACCCTCTTCTTGCTCACTAACCTCCTGCAGGTGCGCATGAGGGCTTGCCGGGCCGGCTGCTCCTGTTCGGGGGTCTGAGCAGTGTAGGCGTCGGGCTGCACCGTAGTAGAGGCACAGGTATTTGCTCACGTGCAGTTTCACATACCACTCTTCTGACGTTCTGGACAGACGTTTAAACAGATTGATACTTCCTAATATTCTTTCTGAGTGTTTGTCCAGAGATCCCGTTGTGCAGGGTGAAGTTTGTTTTCACAAGTAAACAGCACGTAGAGAAAAGCACGTATAGACGAGTAGGTCTGGTTCCGATTCTGTGAATGGTCGGTGTTCCCAGACGAACGTTCATCGTTTGTACAACGAGGGCCCTTGCGCTTGCCCGGGTGACCTTGCAGACATGCTCCCAGAGCCTGCAGAGACACGTCTGCGTGGACAGAGCTCGAGAGCGCGTGTGTAGCCTGATGTGAGGGGAAAATGCTATTTGATCTTTAAGTGAGTTGTGTGTCTATTCTGATGCGTCCATGCCCTCACTGTCTCGTGCGGGGTGCAGCCGCCTCCCCGCCTGCAGGGGCACTGAGTCACGGTCGGGCTCTCCTGCCCACACTCTCCCATGTGAGCGCCCATGGCCCCAGGGACAGAGGGCTGTGTGCTGAGGCCCCTGTAAGCGTGAGCCTTTGTTCTCTCGAGCAGGAGGACTTCGTGAAGTGGAAGGGCTCCCTGTTCTTCCGGTTCGTCAGCACGCTGGTGGACCCGCACCCAGACATCGCTAGGTGAGTCTTTTTCCTCACGCCAGCCAGCCGAGTGATTGGCCTAGTTTCTGGAAAAGATCTCTTTTTCTTTAAAACTGGTTTAGAGTTGTGTTATTTAGGATTTAGTGAACCTTCGGCAGTTGCCGGAAAATTAGCCGATTTTTAAAATGCTAAGCTGTGTAACAAAGCTTTAGTTTTCACATAAGTTTAAAAACAAAAAACAAAGAAGCCCTTGTCCAGATTGACCATCGAATAATCCCAGCACTGACCACATTTGCTGACACTTTGTTCTTCCAAACGGAGGAGTGAAGAGCAGTGTGAGCCTCTGTTGTGGTCAGCTGTCAGAGCAGAAGCCAGTAACTGTTGACTTCTAGGCCAGTACAGTAAGAGTTCAGACTTTCTTCTAAGTGCAGAAACTGTAAGGAAGAAATTCTAGGGATTAACACAGAATTGCAGTGTGAAATCATATAGTTTACAAGGCTCCTTGGAAATGGGTGTTTCCCAAGAATTGGAAGGCAGGGGGACTGCCTTGCCACTGTTAATTCTTCCCCTTCTATAATTAAAGATTTATTTTCAAGGGGTTTAGAAATGATCTCACAGAATTTGCTAACCTTGATTATATTACATGAGTAATTCTTTTTAAAGCAAGTCTGCAGTTGGAAAATAGAATGTTGAATGCATGGCAGAAGCTACCACAGTTGGGAAGAGGTCTTTACAGATTCATTAACTATAAATAGCATATAGTAATGGGTTCCTCTGGTTCTAAATATGGTCACCAGTGGTTTATTCTAGTCCCATGGAAGGATTTCTGTTCGGTTTCCTTTGGGTATGTTTTTCCAAGGAGAAACATTTTACATAGTAAACTGGTAGAAGGTTAACATCCTAATTAGCACGTCTAGAGTCAGAGAGGAAAAAGCTAAGGCTGCTATGCTTTCTTTTTCTGTGTATAATTGGGAAAGAGATGGGGCAGCTATGCCGTGCCCTCTCACCTTCCCCCTCTGCCCCAGGCCGGCCCTGCAGCCCGTGTGCCACGTGCGGCCCAGGAGCAGGCAGGAGCACCAGTGCTGGGGGGCTTTGGGAGGACACACCCGGGAGGGGAGGGTGGGTGTTTAACCTGCACGTTGGTGTCTTCCCCTTGCGTCAGCTCCTCCACGTGTATGTTACAGCCTTGTTCGCTCCGTAGACCACATGCAGGGCCTGTTCCACAGGTGATGAGAGCATGAGTCAGAAGGAAACTAGGACAGGCAGACATCTCCACTGTAGTGAGAAAACCAGTACTTCTGGTAACATTTTCTCCCTCCCCCTTAAATCTTTCCATTTTATCCCTGCGATCTGGATTTGTTTGAACCATGGTAAAAATGTGGAGCATGATTTGAAAAGGTTTGAAAAACTAAATCTGTCCTCTATTTTTAGGCCAAAGGTCAGGCCTATCTGCTTACTTTAAACACCTTAATTTTTCCATATGTATCTGCTAAGACAGCTCTTCCCAAGAGACTATAGCAGCAGAGCCCTGTGAATTTATTTTTGGTCCAGGTGGTAGATTTCCTGGCAATTCTGGCATGAACAAAATTGCATGATGTTTTTTAAAATTAATTTTTATTGGAGTATAGTTGATTTACAATGTTGTGTTAGTTTCTGCTGTACAGCAAAGTGAATCAGTTATACATATACGTATATCCACTCTTTTTTAGATTCTTTTCCCCTATAGGTCATTAGAGAGTATTGAGTAGAGTTCCTGTGCTATACAGATCCTTAATAGTTATCTATTTTATATATAGTAGTATGTGTATGTCAAGCGCAATCTCCCAGTTTACCCCTCCCCTCGTTTTCCCCCTTGGTAACCATAAGTTTGTTTTCTACATCTGTGACTCTTTTGGTTTTGTAAATAAATTCATTTGTACCATTTTTTTTTTTTGGTTCCACCTGTAAGTGATATCATGATATTTGTCTTTCTCTGTCTGGCTTACTTCAGTCAGTATGACAATCTCTAGGTCCATCCATGTTGCTGCAAATAGCGTTATTTCATTCTTTTTCATGGCTGAGTAATATTCCATTGTATATACGTACCACATCTTCGTCCATTGCTCTGTCCATGGACATGTGGGTTGCTTCCATGTCTTGGCTATTGTGACTAGTGCTGCAGTGAACATTGGGGTGCATGTATCTTTTCGGATTATGGTTTTCTTGCACAACATTTTTAATTGGTCCTGTAAACCCCCAATATGAGGGCTACAAAATTGTATGACCTGTTTCCTCGTCTGTCCACTAGGTGGTGCCCGTGTAGCACAGCAGTCTGGGTGATGGCCAGGTGGCTGGTGGGCTGTTTCAGGGGAGCTGGGCAGATGCTCTGGGCATGCAAGAAGGCAGGGGCCGGAGGGGTTTAGGGCAAGACGGTGACTACAGTGACGGGCCATGGAGATAGAGAAGGAAGTAAGGCAGAGGTGGCTTGGTTTGGGAGAAAAAGGAGGAATTGAGGATCCAGAGGGCTCCCTGCAGGACACGTGAGGGGATGAGGGAGTCAGAAAGCTTCATGGGTCGGCAGGTGAGGGTGGGTTGTCCAACCTCAGAAGTGGGGGCTCTGATGTTGTGACACACAGTCCTGGTGGGGGGCGGTCCCTGAGTCGATGAAGCTGGGGGACCAGGAGGCTGTGTGGACACTGAAACGGCTCTGAGAGATTGTCCCAGGCCTTCTGGGCTGTTAGAACAAGTCCCACAGACTGGGCAGCCGATAAACAGCAGGAACTGCCCCTCTGCATTTGGAGGTGGAGAATGTGAGGTGAGGCGCTTCCAGAGAGCAGACCTCTCACCCTGTCCTCACGGCACCGTGTCTTCACGGGGCAGAAGGGAAGGAGGGACTCGGGCTTCGTTTATAAGATGCTCACCCCGTCGGTGAGAGCTCTGCCCTCGTGACCCAGTCACCTCCCAAAGGCCCTTCTCCTAATACCACCCCCTCGGGGGCTCGGTTTCCAACATAGGAATTCGGAGGGATACAAACTGGGATTCAGACCATAGCAGCGATGTTGGGGTTTGGAATGGAGAAAACCAGGAAGTACTTACCGAGTGGTCAAAACAGGCGCGTGGCAGGAGCATCCAGAAGAAAGGCTGAGCCTCGTGTGAGCCTGGTGGAGGATGTGGTTTCTCACCAGCAGCCTGCCCAGGGCTTCAAGCCCACACCAGGGCTTGAACCCGTGTCCCCTGCATTGGCAGGTGGATTCTTAACCACTGTGCCACCAGGGAAGTCCCTAGACTGTGGAATTTATTTGTACAGTTGTTTAAGCTGGTTATTCACCAGGGTGCTTGCCCATCAGTCACCACCTGTACATGTTCTTGACCTAAAGTGAGTAGATGAGCATGTGACATCAAATGGAAGCCTAAAGCAGCCTGTCTTCTCACAGAAGCATCGCTGGATTCTGTCTGGTTGTATGTATTCATAGGAATGACTTCCAAGTCTGGCAGCTGCGAAAACCCTTGAAGGGTTAACTGTCATCGGATACCTCAGGGGTGAAGCCAGGTTGTTTCTTGGGGATGTTTTTGCTTGTTTAGTGGTTTTCTCCATTCGTGGTCACTGCTGGTTTAGCAGAGTGACCCTGTCAGGAAAGCCCCTCCTCTGACCCTGTGGCCTCTGCCTCCAGCCTGCTTTCAGAGGCTGAGCAGGTTTGTGTGGAGTGGACTGAGGGCGCTTAACGGCGCTCAGGCCTCCTCCCCAGGGAACTCCCTTTGGTAGGTAGAGTTTTCGCTGTTCTGTGGTTGCAGGGTGTCAGGGTGAACAGTTGGAGGGTTGCTGTTGGCAGCAGGTCACGTCACTGTCGAGATCTCTGACCTGCCTCCTCTGACTCGTAGTGGGTGTGTGTGCTGTGAACAGACTGAGTTTATCCTTAGCTTGAAGGAGAGCATCGGGGGAAGGGGCTCTCCTGGGGTCCTGCGCATCCCAAGGCCAAGAGCAAAGTGCTCAGACTGTGCTTGTTGCTGCTCCTCCCCCCAGGAGCGGCGGGGCTCCTGTCGGGTGGAAGTTCCACTGAGCTTGAACAGATTGGTCTGGCCGGTGTGACCGGATCAGAGCCAGCCTCCACTGCCTCGGGTTGACCCCCGAGCGGAGGCCAGGCCTGGGCGTTCGCTCGCCTGTCCGCGTGTGCCTGCTTTGGGGTTGTGGGCGCTGGGCCCTATGTGTCCCTCTGCAGCCTGGGTCGAGCGGCTGCCGCCTGTGGCAGGTCCTTGTCCTGCTGACCCAAACTAACCTCTTGTGCTTAATCCCGGTGCTCGAGAAGGTTCAGAGTTCAATTGGGGTGGGAGGGTGAGGTTCACTCGCAGTGGTCGTGGCCAGCGGGTCCGCCTGAAGGAGCGGTTTTGGCGGTGGGGTGGGGGGGAGTCCCACATGTGAGGTGTAGCTGAGTGACAGTGGCCTGTGAGCTTTGCAGGGAGAGCTGGTGGTGAGACCTGGGTTCACAGGGCAGGATGGGCCAAGGAGCCGAGTGACGGGAGTGCAGCTGTCGCCCACCCTCTCCACGGTCCCCTCTGTTGCAGGGTCTTGGTGTGACTTAGAGGCTGTCTCCCGGTAGCACACGGTCCCCTGTCCCCTTCTCCGCAGCACTGGGAAGTTCTGCCTGGCCCACCTCCTGCTGAAGAGGAACCCTGCCATGTTTTTCCAGCACTTCATCGAGTGCATCTTCCACTTCAGCAGCTACGAGAAGCATGAGAAGTACAACAGGTTCCCCCAGTCGGAGAGGTCAGCGCCGCTGGGGCGGAGTTTGGGGAGATGGGCAGCATCACCTCCTGGGCGTGCGGGTGGCTCCAGCTGCCGTTGGAAGTGAATTCCTCTCGGCCTCGCCCACGGGCAGTGCTCAGAGGGTCCTGTTCTGCCCTAGAGAGAAGCGGCTGTTCTCACTGAAGGGGAAGACAAACAAGGAGAAGCGGATGAAAATCTACAAGTTCCTTCTGGAGCACTTCACAGACGAGCAGCGGTTCAACATCACTTCCAAAATCTGCCTGAGCATCCTGGGTAGGACCGGCCGGCGTGGGGGATGAGACATGTGTGAAGGACCCAGCTCCCCTGCAGCCAGGGCCCCTTATGTCCTTGGCCGTCAGCTGTGCCGTGCAGGCCGACGGACCACCGGCTGTGCATCCCCCCTTGCCCCGCCCCCGGCAGCGTCTCTCAGAAGCCCATCTCTGCTTCCTCCAGCGTGCTTTGCCGACGGCGTCCTGCCCCTGGACATGGAAGCCAGCGAGCTGCTTTCGGACGCATTCGAGGTGCTCAGCTCAAAGGAGATCAAGCTGCTGGCGATGAGGGCTAAACCGGACAAGGACCAGCTCGTGGAGGAGGAGGACCTGGCCCTGGCCAATGTGGTCATGCAGGAGGCGCAGAAGAAGCTCATCTCCCAGGTGAGTGTGCTACTCCCTGAAGGGGCCTGTGCGACCCCCGCCCCGAGTTCCGGGTGTCTGCCAAGGCCCCGCCTCATTCTTCCCATTGGCCTCAATGCTCACCTGGGGGGTGCTGTTCTCCACCTGTGCGGTGCTGTTCTCCACCTGTGCCTGTGGCTCCAGCGGCTCCTGCAAGCCTGGACCTGCGAGCCTGTGGCCTGGCTGTGCTGCGGGCATCTCAGGCAGAATTGGTCATCTCTCCCTCCTACGTGTCTCTCTATCGTGGTTCCCGGGGGCTCTGTTGTGGAGAAGGGCACCTTTATCTGCCAAGTTACCCTAAAGGGAGCCTGAGTCTGGCAGGCTAGGCACAGAGCACTGCTTGGCCGGTGCGTGTGAGGATTGGGATTCGAACAACAGCTGTGGTGCTCACCAGGCCCAGGTTCTGGTACCGAGCCCGCATCGCCACCTGAGCCCTGAAGCCTTCTGAGCCCAAAGGAGTGGACTTTGGTCACATCCAGTGTGTCCCCAGGTCCTGTCCATTCATCCCACAAATCTGTCTGTCTCACGTTCCCACTAGCTCCACATTTATTTAACCTGTACCATTTCCATCTCGTTTCTTTTTGTTCTGGGCTGTGTACCGCCTTGCTGCCAGGGTAATCTTTCTTAAGTGCAGATTTGATCTTTTTATTCTCCTGCTTAAAATAGACTGAGGCAGAGAGGGGGAGCAGGGCACTTTTGGGGCCATGGATCGTGGGTGATTATCTAGATGCAGTGTTGGTTACTCAGCATATACTTGTGCCAAAACTCGTTCATCTGTTCACATAACACGGGCAAATGCTGTGGTATGTAAGTTACACCTCATCAATGATATCTTTAATAAGTGGGTTGGTGGCTTCCTGTCACCTTCTGGATAAAATCCCAATTCTTCTTCAAGGCACACAGAACTCCTGTGTGCACAGCACGCCCTTCCCTCCACGCCTCCTCCCATCCCTCCAGTCCGCTGACTCTTGGCCTCTGTGGAGATGTGCTCTCCTGCCCTGTGCCTTTGTGTGCTGCCGTTTCTGCCCAAGGTGCCCTGTCCCACCCCGTCCTCCCCTGCTGCCACCCAATCCCTACACGTCCCCAGGGTTTTCCCTGATACACATCCCGCCCTGCTCCTTCCCTCTTAGGCATCCCTCTTCCAAAGTCCCTTAACACCTGCCACTCGTCACCTGGCCACACATTGTAACGCACAGCCTGGCCTAGAAGTAACTTGAAGGCAAGAGTTCTTGGCCTCATTTCTGTAGCCCTGGAGGTTAGCCTTGTGTCTGGTAGAGAGAAGGTGTTGGATGATATTTGTGGAGTGAATGCATTTAAGCCATTTTTTAAGGCTGTCCCTATACTTAGCCTCTGCTTAGACTCATCTTTATTAAATTATTTATTCCTTTAGTCTTTGCTCTCCTGTTTCAAGAACTCTGATAAGATTTTTTAGAAATGAGTGGATTACAAGTAAGGAACATATACTAGTGACTTTAAATGAGGAAAAGAATAATTTTCAGATTCAGAATGACAGTCTTGCATATGTGGGCTACTGTAATGAGTTATTTTTAATTCTAAGAGATTTAGTGCAGACCTTTGTGGTTAGTGATTGTTCTTGGTGAAGACTGCGAAGGCACTGTGTAAAATACCCAGCACGTTCTAAATGTGTGCAGAGTTACAGAGGGGGACACGCAAACCGTCTCCAGGCCCGGCCCCTCCCCGCATCGCCCTCCCACCTGCAGGCACGCGATGTCCCCAGTCCCAGGGAGGATGTTGAAAGGAGGGGCCCGGCGAGGAGCCAGGGGTCCGTGGTGGGTTGTGGGGAGGTTTGGAGCTTGTGTCAAGTTCTTCATTCAGTTGTCCCTTGAGCAGTGTAGGGGCTGGGGCACCGACACCCCGCTCTTCCCACGTAGTTGAAAATCTCTGTAACTTACAGACTGGGGTTGTTCAAGGGTTAACTGTAATTCTAGTTTCTTTTTCTTGTTTAGAAATAAGAATAGTACTTGTCTGCATCCTGCTTTACAAAGCCCTCTGAGCGTTTTGAGGTAATGGTTTTACAGTCTCCCCGGCTGAGGTGGCGTTCCTCTCCAATCCCCAGAATCATATCAAAAATAAAAAGTAAACTTAGGTCGTGTATGAGATCGGCCACGCAGGCAGAACTAGGCTGAGGGAAAGTCTTTGTCTTTCAGAAATTTGTGCATCTCAAACAGTCTTCGTTTGTGTTACCACAGGTTCAGAAGAGGAATTTCATAGAAAATATTATTCCAATTATCACCTCCCTGAAGTCTGTACTAGAGAAGAATAAGATCCCAGCTCTGCGGGAACTCATGCAGTATCTCAGGGTAAAGTCGGCCTTGGGATTTGTGGTTGGTGCCACGCCCCTATTGGTTACTCAGGGTGTCTTGCAGTCCTTACCGTGGGTGCATCCGCGCTCGGAGCTGTGCCCCAGGCCGGCCTCTGACTGGGGGGAAGACAGATTGACTCCGCAGGTTCCTCAGAAGCTGGTCCTGCCTTTTGCGGGCAGTTGAGTCTTGTGTCCTTGCTGACAATTACATTCAGTTTTGAAGCTTCTCAGCTGCGGCTACAAGCAGAGCCCTCGTCTTAGTTCACTCTCTGGGTTCCCAGTCGGGAGATGCTGCCCAGAGCGGTGGCTTCGGGGCGTCCTGATCCTGGTCTACGCAGTGGGGCACGCATACATGCAGAGCGGACATAAATGAGGCCTCAGGCCTCTCTGCAGAATCTTTCAATTAGAAAGAAATGCAGCATTTTTTTCCTTTTTGTTTACACTAGGCTATTTTCTTCCTCAAAAAATGCTAAGCATTTTTTTCCAAAAAGGGCGCTGAAAAAATTAGATTTAATAATGATTTTTCAAATATCTCTTTATCCTACAGAAGTGAAGGTGGGAAAGACAGGCTGACTGTGGAGAAAATGAGGACTTCAGGTCACTCATGTTTTTGCCCTGCTAAACCTCAGAGGAATAAAAAGAGCTTAGGTCCTAGGTAGACTCCTTAAACACGTGAGGAAAGGAAGTCCCCGTTTCTGAGCACACACCGAGCACGGCCACACGGCTTTAACCGAGGAGGGTGGCACGGCTTCGTGTGGACCCCATCGGAGCAGCTCCCGCAGTCCTCTCCTCCACCTGGGAGCCCTGGGGCGGCTGGAGGACTGGGCGGGTCTCATCCCCTAATGTGGGGCCACAGTAGATCTTTTCTCCCTCCAACATGTTAGGGAAAATGGTTTCTTCCTTAAGGCAGACAGGCTGGGTCCTGGCATCCGTCCTTAAGACCTGAGAGCATCCTCGCCCTGATGTACTCATAGCCTCTGTCAGGATGTACAGATATCTGGCTCCAAGCCGCAGCTACCTCCCCTGAGAAAGCCAGTATGGACAGCCCCCGTGACTGGCTCCAGCCAGGATACTGTGTGTTGCCCGCTCCCCAGCCTCTGGCTGGGATTCCTGAAGGGCTGCCTCATGGCACCACAAGACCCTTTGAACTGGTGGTGACCAAGAGCCGAGCCAGGCTGCCCAGATACACCTCCACCCCCATCCAGCTGTCAGGGCAGTTCTGTGCCCTGTGACGGGCTGCTTTAGGCTAAGAATGTGGGATGCCGGGTTACCTGGCAGATATGTGGGAAGCGTCCAGGGGCTCAGGCCCCTGCTTGTGTGGTCAGTACAGTGCAGCCGGCACTTCCTGGGGAGATACCGTCAGGTTCACTGGTCGGTCGATGTAGTGGGAACCGCCTGGTCTCGGCATGTTCCTGTTATTGATGATGTCATGTGGGAGAGCTCATTCACTTATTCAAGAGAATGCTCATGGATGCCTTGGGTCTGTTTTAGGAGGTGATGCAGGATTACCGAGATGAAATCAAGGATTTCTTCGCGGTTGACAAGCAGCTGGCCTCAGAGCTCGAGTACGACATGAAACGGTACCAGGAGCAGCTGGCCCAGGAACAGGAGCTGGCGAGGCAGGCCGATGCAGACAGGGCGGCCGCGAGCGCCCAGGGGGCGCAGGCCGGGCAGGTGAGTGGGCGGCCCCTCTCCATCTGCTCCCTGCCACCCGCCTCCCCAGCGTGTCCCAGCATGCACTTGTGAGCGCGGTCGTCTGAGCGAGGCCCTGGGGTGGCTGGAGGCCTGAGGGTGTCTCAGTGTTCCCGTGTCCCGTGGACAGAATCGCCAAGGGCCTTCTCTTCGTCGCCCCCGCCCATCTGGAAAGTCCTGAGTCCCGGTGTGGGGAGCGTGCAAGTTCCTGGAGAGCGAGGACCCTGCTGAGGGTCCTTGCTCTTTGATGGCAGAGAACCTGGTCTCCCCCACAGCCCCCTTGGGGTGAGCTTCTCTCCCAGAATCCCTGAAAGCCCTGTGAGTGCCGTGCCAGGCAGCTGCCGGGGGCGGGGGTCTGAGACGGAACTGCTCAGAGGGTGTAAACATTTCTTGACGTTAAGTGTTGGAAGATACATAGTCTTAATTTCTCTTCTGCGACAGGTTGTTCCAAGTTTGGAAATGCCAGCTCCTGCCGGCCGAGAAAATGGCACCGTGGGCACCGCCGCCAGCCAGGCGTCCACATCCAGGCCCCATGCTGCCCACGCACCTCTGTCCCTGGACACTGGGCCACTGAAGAGGCTGGTGCCCAAAGCCAGGTGTGCAGGGCCGAGTCACCACGTCCCCAGAGGCACCTCCCAGGTCACCCTGAGCATTGTTCGCATGTTGGTGCAGATTGGGTCTGAGGGAGGATGAGGGCGCGTCTCGCCTCTGTGCTTCACTGGTGTCTTTGCGACAACAGGCCCATGTCGCCGAGCACCATCGCCATCCTGAATTCCGTCAAGAAGGCCGTGGAGTCGAGCGGCCGGAGCGTGGGGCTGCCACCCTTCACCATGTGTCCCCAGGGCCCAGGCGAGCCCACTGAGCGCGGTGAGTCCACCGGGTGGCTCCAGGGCTCTCGGAGACCCGGGCCCCCTTCTCCTTCCCCATCAAAGCATTTCTGTTTGTTGTCTTTAAACAAGGGACTTTGGGGACTTGGGGTCACAGGGAGTAAAACAATCCTGTTTATGATGGAAGATCTGGAGAATGGGGTGATGTGGAGACCCAGCCATAGCGGTGAGGTGTGTGTGTGGTTTTGTGTATGCAGTTGTGGTGGAGGCTGTGTGGCTTTGTAACTGTCGTGCACACAACCCCACGACCACAGCAACATGGGGAGGGCTTCCCGTCACCCTTCTGCCGTGCCTTGGCAGCCATGACGTGTTGCTCGCCTGCCCATTCCTGGAAATGTAGGTTTTCTCAACGTTTTGAAACAAATCACATCACAAAGAACATCCTGGAACATACAGTCTTGTATGTGTGTGATCTTTAGGATTAACCCCCCTGAACGTCTTAACCTTTTGATGGTCAAACTGTCGTCTCCAGTTCCCCTCAGTGACATCCCTGCCGTGGCCCATGAGAGCCCAGGTCCTACAGAGAAACACTGGTTTCATAATTTTCCACTTTCTCTGCTGAGCTTTTTTTTTTTTGCGGTACGCGGGCCTCTCACTGCTGTGGCCTCTCCCGTTGCGGAGCACAGGCTCTGGACGCGCAGGCTCAGCGGCCATGGCTCACGGGCCCAGCCGCTCCGCAGCATGTGGGATCTTCCCGGACTGGGGCACGAACCTGTGTCCCCTGCATCAGCAGGCGGACTCTCAACTACTGCGCCACCAGGGAAGCCCTCTGCTGAGCTTTATAGACCCAAAATTTTCATTTTCATTTCCACTTGTTTGAATCCCAGTGAGAAAAGTCCATTGTTTTCTCGTGTTTGTCATTTATTTGTATCTTTCTGAATTACCTCTTTAAAAGAATACTTTATTTGGGACAATAAGTGTGTTGTGTAGTTTGCAAGTGTTTTTTCTCATTGGAATGTTTTGTCTCTGGGGCTGTTTGGGTTTTCGGGGAGGTAACGCTCTCCCATTTCATCCCAGTGTCCTCGCAGGGCTTGGAGCAGGAGTCCAGCGGAGCTCTTGACCTCATAACTAAACGGGCGATCAGCACCCCTGACCGTAAGTGGTTCGCGGGGACGAGCCGTTCTGACTCTGCGGCAGGTACCGCGTGTGCGGGGGTCGCAGCAGAGCTGCTTCAGCCACGTCGCGGGGCATCAGGTCAGACTGGGCACAGCTGACCGCCGACCTCTTCCAGGTGCTTTTACACCTGGTGACTCCTCAGGTGGCCAACACCTCAGGTGGCCAACACCTCAGGCCACCCGCTTCAGGGGCCAGGCCTCAGCGCTCGCGGCACCGCGCGTCACTGCGGGCTGCCTGAGTGGGCTGAGGCCTCCCCTGCTGGCCGTGAGGAGAGTCTGTCCTCTCTCTCCCACTGGGAGGTTTTTCTAATGTCCCGTGCTTTCCTTCTATTTGAAAATAGAGGTGAGTTAGAAGTGTGTTTATTTCTATCACTCGTTTTATATGTAGCCTATTATCTCAAAACCCATAAAAACCATTGAGAAAATTACTGCAGTATGAAGAAACTCTGCCTGTCCAGAGTCTGTAGTATGTTTGCAAGGCCCCGCCTGGCGTGGCCCATGGGCCTCTGCCCATCTCCCGCCACCTGCCCCTGGCTCTGCACCCCAGTGTGGGCAGTCCTCCCAAGGGTGCAGGAGCCCCGCTCTCCTGGCGTCCGCGTCCTGGGGCCCCTCCCCCAGCCATCACCCCTTCACTTCCAGAAGAAGCCCTGTTTGACCCTCAGAGTGGATGAGGTGCCCCTGGCACCACACTTGCAAGTCCTTCACCGTCCGTCTGGCTTTGGTTTGTAACTGTTTGCTCTCCACCACGTCTGGGGGTGCTGTCCGGGCCTGGACGGCGAGGGCTGCGAGCCGGCGGGACGAGAGGTCAGGTGGTGGCCGAGCTGGGCAAGGACTTGGGTGCTTCTCTCCGGCCCCACTGCTTTCTCGGCACTGGTCCTAGGCATTATTACAGGAGGAGCGGAACACGCCGTTCCCCGTGGTGTCGAGGCCTCAGGGCATTGGGCCATCGTGCAGTCGTGCTCCATCAGCGGGCACTTACTGGGCACCTGCTGTGTTCTTGCGCCTTGTCTGGTGGTTCTGTTACCTGTGAGCTCTTAGAATACTTAACGGGTTAGAGATGATTTTCATCCGTCGTCCTGTGAAGGGAGATTAATGGATGAACAGAACTCCTACCCCACCCCTCCCCAGATGATGCCTGAATCGTGACAGCTTTTGTCATGAAGAGCAGGGGTAATTGGGGTCTAATGTTATATATGTAAAAAGTCACCCTTTTTCAAGCAGAAGAGTGCGGTGTATGCTCTGTGCTCCTGTCCTGGCGGTTTGGTGCCAGATGCTGTGGGAGGGAGTGCATTTCCCGTCCTCTGCTGTCCCCCAGTCCCTGCTCTGTCCTGGCCGCACGTGCCCCTCACAGGAGGCCCGGCTGCTGCCACTCGGATTTGCACTGGAAGTGAGACTACTTCTCGAGTCTCTTGAATGTAACATTCCTGGGGCTCTCTCCTCACACTGAACCAGAAAGAAATGCTGGAAGGTTGCCTCCTAGCTCTCCCTCCTCTGAGAATTACCAGATAACTTAAGAAGCCCACGTTCTGCCTTCTCTGGTTTATGTACCGGTTCTGTCACCACTTCTCAGGTGGGGTGACCATGGGGAAGTGGTCTCGGCTGCACTCGGTGTGGACATGGCATTTCTGCTGAGTGGAAATGAGGGATTTTCAGAGCCAGATTTTAACTGAAAATGGGGGGAGGCGGCGGGTAGCAAGTCCCTCTTAGGCTGTAAGTCAGTGGCGAAGGTGCTGCTGCCTGGATGTGCCAGGATATGCGGGGAGGGGGCTCAGAGCCCCCAGGGGCCCAGGGTCTGGACAGCAGCGGTGGAAACATACCCTGCTGCTGCCTGTTAAGGGGGCGCGAGAGGCTCCTGGGCCCACGGCACCAGGGATGCACTGACGCTAGCCAGCCACAGCGCAGGGGATGCCCAGAGCCTGGCCGTCCTGATGCGTGCGGTGACAGTGTGCCTACCGCGTACGGGGTGGGGGCGTCTCAGGGGCAGTGGGGGCCGGGCCCCCTGAGCACGGAGCCACTGGGGTGCACACGCGGATCTGGGCAGATTTGCCTCTGGGGATGGGGGGACCCAGGTAGTAAACGACAGTCGTGGTTCAGTGTTTTCAGCACTTACCTTGTACCGAGTACTGTGTTAAGGACTTAACACAAGTGATCTCATTCAAACCTGGCAGTTCTTCTCAGGGAGGTGCATGTGTTTCCCCTTTAGAGATTAAGAAACTCGAGGTTCCCAGAGTAGCTCACACAACCGGTGGGACACAGAGCCCAAGTCTGACCAAGGTGGGAGGGGAGGTGGCAGGCGAGGGGACATCCGGGGTAGCAGCAGGGCTGCAGTGACCAGAGGGAGGGAGGGAGGGAGGGAGCAGGGCAGCATCTTCACGGGACTCTGGAGCAGTGACAGGAAGAGCAGGGGGCTCTGCAGGGGGATCTGAGCTGCGGGTGGGGCCTCAGGCACGACAAGTGGCTGTTGAGAAGCCAAGGCTGTACGCGCCGGTGCTCGGAGGGCCGTCAGGCCAGCGGTCTGGTCCTGCAGGGTGGCCCGATGATGGAGGCCGGGCTTGGGCACCGCGTGGGCCTGGGTGGACCCATAGCAAGACCCGCATCTGACCTTGCTCAGTTTCTCTCCCTGAAGGCCTTCGCTAACCCTCCACTGACTCTCCCCTCCACCCAGGGACCATCCAGAATGTCACGTTTGGAGCGGGACTCAGCTACATCAGCTCACCCCGGACACCCTTTCCCGTCAGAGGCCACTCCCCCCCGGCCAGGTCCACGAGCCGTGCCGGCACTCCAGGAAGTCTGGGGGTGTCAGAGGCCCCGGGCCACGGGGACAACGTTCTTTGTCTGTCGCTGCCCGACATGCCGTAAGTTCCCTGGCCCCCGCCCAGAGGTGTTCCCGTTGGGAGGCGGGGGGGCTGTCCCACCCCAGGTGACACGCCTATTCCCCCCAGGCCCCCGCAGCCCCCGCAGTGGAACGTGACATCTCCCGCCAGAGGAAAGGACAGCGCAGCCCCCAGGAGGTCACGCCGCAAGGCCCCCCTGAAAACAGCCAACTGACCACTGTGCCCCTGGCCCCAGACGCTTCCACTGTGAGCAAAGGGCTCGCCTGTGAGTCCAGCGCCGCCCAGCTTTTCACCTGTGTGGTTGGTCAACCTTTTCAGTTTCTCCTTATGAAATGCCTGGTTAAAAAGTGTAAAATACTGGAGAAATGCCTTAAGCATTTAATACTGTAACTTTACTCCAGATGGAAGGAGGCTGCCAGAGGGCGGCTTCCCACTCTGCTTCTCCAGGGACCCTTGCTGGACTGGAGGTCCTGCTCTTGCAGAAAGGTCTCCTTCCCTGGCTTCTCCCCACCGTGGTTTGTGACCCTCTTTTCCCGACTTCTGCCAACCTGTGTCATGTGCTAATTGTGTGCAATAAACCGAAGAGATTTGTGAATTTAAAAAAACTTTGAAGATATCCAGTCCCTTCTCATAAGCGCTGTTCTGGTCCTTAAAGAACACGGTCCTGAGCTTTCTCTTCTATAGTCAAGCTTCTGGTAGCTGGTTTCAGTTCCTTATACTAAGTACATAGTTTCCCGTATCTGATATCAAAATCTTGATTGTAATATTTTTTCTATTCTTATTTATAAATTGCAGACTTTTAAAGCTTTTTCAAATGCATAAAAGTATGAGTACAGCCTTCGAGTATTTTTAGCGCAGGGCTTTAATTGGTACTTAATTGACATAAAGTGTTTAAGAACCCAAATCTTCCCCATTAGGGAAAAAGGACTCAATCTGTCTTTAACGTCCAGGTCCTCTGCCCCTGCCTCTGTCTTTTTCCTCACAGCAGACATCTTAGCATAGACTACAAGTCTCTGCTTAAGAAAACCCTCTGTGTTCCTTACCCGGAGCAACAGCAGCGCTGATGACATGCGCGTAGTCCGCTAAGGGCTGTTCCCGCAGGAGAGTGGCCTTAGGTTCCTCTGTTGGCGCCATCAGGTAACCTTAAAACCCTTGTATGTGCGTGTTTTGTCCAAGAATGACCAGAAAGAAATTTGGTTGGTTCACGTCTTAATCCCAGTTCTACAGAAGTAAAAGCACAGGGTTGCTGTTTGCGTGTCCTGCACGTGACGGGGTGGTTGGATGAGAGGGTGGATGTCGTCATGACCCCCCAGCTCCCGTGTGTGTTGACACGCATGCACGGAGTCAGTCACAGGGCTGCCCCTAAGCGAATACCCTCACCTCCGTCCAGCACTTCAAACCTAGGGCCATGCCTGACACGACACAGGAAGGAGAGAAATGAAGAGACCGAGCTGCTTTTTTTTTAGAAGCTTTTATAAATGAGGTTTAAGAAATACCAACTCACAGGTGTGTTAGTAGCACAGGTCTGTGGCACTGTGTACAGCTGCAGCCACACCAAGGCCCCAGCAGCCCATGTGGCCTTGCGTCTCCAGCAACGTTTACATCTTAAAATCACTCGATGCTCCTTTTCTGTCTGCGTTTTTTACAGTGACGGGCAGCAGCCTCCCAGACCCCACACTCACTCCTCTCTCCTCCGTCAGAGTCAGAGCCAGGTCACATGGCACCAGGACGGAGGTTTTAGGGTACAAGAAGACTACCCCATCACTATGACAACCGAGGAGGAGGCTGGAGCTGCCCCCACAGGTGGAAGGGCCCTACCCTTCTCCACCCAGAGGAGCTGAAGATGAAGGGACAGTCTTAGGTCTGTCAGCGCTCTCAAGACACAGATGGAAGAAGTCAGGCACCCTAGCATGACGAGGCGCTGCCCTCTGCTGCTGCCAATACTCCATGACAGCGTTCACACGACTCAGAAAAGAAAGGGCAATGCAAGTCTCGAGTATTCAAGTAAGACACTGAAAGTTTCATCCCAAGATGACTATGTTCTTCTACATAAAAACCATCCTGTAACAGAGTCGGAGGCATCCTTCTGAGAAGCTCCTTGGTCCCAAGGGCTTCACGCTGAGTTAACACAGCAGTGTGTCTGAGGCTAAGAACAAAGGGTGCTGTTCCTGACGCCCCCACAAAGCAGGCAGCATGTGGGGCACGATCAGGAAGTTGCCTTTGACTCAGGCACACACTTTGCCCATCGTCAGTCAGACCGTCGCCGGCCGCCCTTCCTGCTGTTCTTCAGAGGCTGGCCTCGCGACCCTGCACAACAGCTTCCTGTGCGGCGAGACAGAACCTGCGCTGTCTTTATGGCAGAGAGGGACAGTGGGGTTCATTGTCTTTAACAGATTTGATTTCAAAACTGCCTTTGGCCCTGGACCGTCGTATGAACTACACAAGTAAGTAAAATGAATTTAAAAGCCAGACAGCAGGGCTGCTGTTTCCTGAGCCATCTTCAGCCAAAAACCTCTGTCCCAGGGAAGCCAGGCTGGGGTGCCACACCGAGGACCCCGCCCTTGCCGCCGTCCTGGGTTGACCCACGTGGTACGTGAACGGCACCTTAGGTAGGGCTGATCCACGCACGGCCAGCGTCGGGGCGTCGGACAAGGGTGGGCGGGCTGGCCTGGAGTCAGGAGCCAATGCTACTCCGAGCAGGTATGCGGCCCCACCCCGGGCACCAACCAGCACGGTCTGCACACCGCGTCTGTGGGTCTGGGGCAGAGGTGGTCTGAGGAGCCCAAGGAAGAGGCAGCTTGAAGCCAACCCGAGAGCCCTTCATGTCTCTTCTGGAGAGACGCAAACAGACCAAGACAGTACTCAACTGGAATTTTCTTAAAGGTTTCCTAAGCACAAGGAACACTGAGTGGTGTGTCCAATTGAACAGGAGTAGCTTGGGCTCCTGCCTTAAGTTGAACTTTTAAAAAAGAGAGGTTATTTAACATTGTATGACAACTTATTTACAGTTTAAATAGAAATTTTCAATAATCAAAATACATCTTTAGCAAAAATTTAGAATGTAAAATTTTATAAAATACCCATAGAAAAGCAGAACATAGTATCAGTACCATTTCAGATTTAGCATAAGATGAAGGTCTTCCTTCAACACTGGGACCCGCCATGGATGAGCAGGGTTCCTACAGGTAAGAAGATTCCCTCCTTCTAACAAGCAATTTACCTTCCTGATTTGGACTGTTGTTATAAAATGCTGACCCAAAAAGATTCCCCAAGATGGACACTAGGACAGTGACAGCAAAGCCTCAGGATGAAGTGGCCTGACCACTTGGCCACCGTGAAGCCAGGTCACTGCAGCTGAGGCTCATGCCTTGCCCCCCTCTGCCAGCCCTTGGATACCGATGCCGATGCCACCTGCCACGGAGCAGATCACCGTGCCTCCCGGGCCCTTGGCGCCCGCCCTGAGGCCACCCAGACCCCGATGGGGTCGGTCACTTTTTGGCCTTGTGACTGTGCCCATCTTGAGGAAAACTCTTTTATTCGTGTGGCTTGTTAAAAAGTAAGAAAGGAGTAGCGGTCAACTTTGGCCAAAACAAAAAGCTTTCGTGCGCGTGTCCAGCCCCGTCTGGCTCCCCTCGCAGGGCTGCTCCCAGCAGGGTCCCCCGTGGAGGTATCCACGTGTGCGTGCGGCCGTGCTGCCGTCTAGATCACGAACGAGGACTTGTGTCTGAAGTCGCCCTGCAAGGCCAACATCGGCTTAGAGGGCAGCCCGCGGTCACGCACGGCCCAGCGTGCAGTGGGAAGGGAGCCTGACACCGCTTCCCCACAGCGTGCTCTGAGGAGAGGCCGCGAGGCCTGTGGACTGAGTGCCCCGCGAGCACACAGCCAGGGGAAGGGCTGAGGGCTCGCGCTTCGGATGTGACTCAGAAATCTCTTTTAAGGACCTGCTTGGTTCTCAGGGGAATGTCATCTTCCCTGCTCGGGACACTGCAGCCTCTAGGCTGCCTTACCTCATCGTCTGTCCTGATGTAGTTAACTCCATCCGGCTTCCCTGGGTTCTTGTAGCTGTAACAGAGGGGAGCCGAGTGACCACCAGTGGACCACAGAAATGCCCACTGGAGCTTTGTGCAGGTAGGACAGGCTCACCTTTCCCCGTTCTGCTTATTGTTGATGAAGTAGCCACGTCTGTAGGCACAGCAGATGCCCACTGTGATCAGGGCCAGTACAGTCAGGACAACCAGGACTCCCCCAATAATCCCGCCGATGTTGAGGTCATCTGGAGAAGAGAAGGGGTCAGAAGACACGGCCTGCCGCCCCTGCCCCTCCCGGCCCAGAACACCTCCGCCCACAGGCCATGACACCCACCCGCTGCGCCAAAGCCGTGTGGCACTGCCTGCGGGGCATAACAATCCTCTGGGGACATTATTACTGGACAACATGGTTATACTACAAAGACAGCTAGGAGCCAGAGTCCTAAGGAAGAAAAAATTCTCCCTTGTCTAGTACAGCATTCTTGAATGTGAGTGCACTGTTATTTAAAAATAAGTCTTTGAAATTTTGATTTCATAACGTCAGTTCCCAAGCTCTATCCATAGAGAGTCCAGAGGTCTGGGGCAAAGCCCAGGAATCTTCCTCCTGCCGAGAGCAGCTTCCCAAATCTGACAGCAGCCAGAAGAGTCGCCTGGAGGCTGACTTCACAGGTGAGGGGGGCCCTGAAGTCTAACCCCGTCCTGCCCTCAACCCCCCCTTAGAGCCAACGCCCCCAGAGAAAGAAGCACCTGAACAGGGCAGAATTACTGGGGCTAAACCCTGGGTTTCAGCTTACTGCTACTGCAAAACGGTTAAACTTGATACATTTTTGGAGAACCTTGTATCTCGATAATTCTATCAGTTACCAAAGAAATGGAGTTCATGGAACGTCGCTAAGAGTTACAAGATGAGGAGGACCAGCGTGTCAGTCCTCCAGCTGCTCCTTGGTGCGTCCTCGCCTCCTCCCACCGGACCCGGGCAGAGCCCGTGTGCCCGCACGGGGGGGGAGGGGGTCACAGCTGAGGGGCACCCGCCGGTCTGCAGGGCAAGGCTCGGCAGAGACACTCACACACTTCCATGTCCTGCTCCTCGCAGCGGGCTGAGCCCGCATCGTTGGAGGCGATGCAGTAGTACTGGCCCGAGTCCTCCTTGTGGATGGCGCTGAACACCTGTTTGGGGACTGGGAGTGAATGGGGACCCGACAACAGGGCTTGGTGCACAGTGAGCCCCCTCCATGCCAGGGGCACCAGAGCCGGCAGCAGCCGGGCTTCACGCGCCCGCGACTCCAACCCACTGCCTCCTCACTCCCCACCACGGGGTCGTCCACGACCATCTGTGTGTCTCTAGAAGGACTTTTTAAAAGTCGTGCCCACGACACCACGACCATGCTGAACGCAGCCAGCAGTTCCTCAACATCAGACGTGTGGCCAGGGAGCAAGTCCCAGCTGCCTCCCGACTCTGTCCCGAGGACAGCACCGGCCAGGCCACCTACGCCCTCCTCAGTCACTGTCCCCCCCTTGGCTCTGCCCCCTTTCCCTGGCCCCCTTACAACTTTTCTGTCTATAAAGGGAGGGCAGGGTCCCCGATGTGCGGGGCTCAAAGCTGCTGTCTCGTAAAGTTTACTGTCTCTTAATAACTGCTCTTCCCACGACACAGATGTGCGCACCCGCCCCCCTTCTGAGAGACCTTACCAGGGTGCCCGTGTCAGGGTTGAAGAGGAAAGAGGAGTTTCGGAACCGGGGGTTGGCCCTGGAATCTGTGGGCAGTGGCACGTCGTTGCGGTACCAGCTGTAATGCGGCCGGGGGTAGCCCTCGCCCTCCTGGCAGGTCAGCGTGGCCGCCTTGCCCACAGGCACAGCCCTTGGCACCCTGCACACTGGGGGCACCGGCTTCACTGCAGGAGAAGCACAGCAGGGGTTACGGTCAGCAACAGGGCCCTGTTCTTACCACAGCCCACAATGAACCTGCTCCAAAAACGAGTCAGCTAGCCGGGTTCCAGACGCTGTGTTGCGGGCAGGCCCGCTCCCCTGCGGCCCGCGCTGCCTGTGGTTGCCCCCGTAGGTGACCCCCCAGCGTTCCCAGTGCCTCCACCCCCTCTAGCAGGTGGACAGAAGAGGCATAAGCTCCCCTTCTCTCCTCACCTCCAACCCAACGCAGGCAGCCTGAGCTTCCCCTGCCCCACCAAGCGCCACACCCTTGGGGACGTGACCGTAGAAGCAAAGGAAGGAAGGAAGCTGGTCTTCTCCCCACAGGCAGGCGCTTGAGCCGAGGGCAGGGGCCACCACCCCACGTGCACCCGCACCTTGCACAGTTAACTCGATGACAATCTCATCAATCTCCTTGCGGTCGTGCCGAGCAACCACCTCACAGCGGTAAAGGGCTGAGTCCGTCCGGGTCACGTTCCAGATCTTCAGAGAAGTTTTCCCCAGCAGTTCTGCACGGCCGGCCAGGTCTCCTGTACAGAAGACAGGGCACTGAGGGGCTCTTTACAGACAGCTCTGCTGCTTGAGGAGGAGGTTCTGGGGCCATCTCTGGTGCCTCGGCAGGAAAACTGCAACTGGCTCGTCTCCGTTCCTGTGAGAATGCCGAGCACCAAGGGAGTGCCTGGGCTGTAAGAGGACTTGGCCATGTGTCTCTGTTGTTAAGGCAAGGGCCTCCTTTCCTTTTCATCATTCCCAGAAAGGGTTCCCAATTAAAAGAGAAAACAAGTCAAACAACATTAAAAGACAAACAGCATTCCACAAATGGTACTGGGACACCTGGGTACCCACATGCAAGAGAATGACGTGGACCCCTACCTCACACCACACACAACACAAACCTTGCTGCACAAGCTGAAACTGAAACCCTTAGGAAAAAACAGAGACGTGAATAACCATGACCTTGGATTAGACAGTGATCTCTTAGGTCACCAAAAGCACAAGCCCACACACACAAAGTTATATCAGCCTTCACGAGCCTTTCATAATAAATTAAGAACTTTTGTGCTTCAAAGGACAGAAGCAAGTAAGAAGACAATCTGCTGACTGGGAGAAAATCATATATCTGACAAAGGACTAGGACACAGAACGTATGAAAATTCGCAATTCAACAAATAAACAACCTAATTAAAAATGGACAAAGGATTTGAATAGACATTTCTCCAAAAAGATAGACAAATAGCCAATAAGCACGTGAAAAGATTCTCAACATCATTAGCTGTCAGGGAAATGCAAGTCAGAACCACAACGAGATACCACTTCACACCCCCTAGGATGACTGGACTCAAAACAATGGATAATCTCAAGCGTTACTGAAGATGCGGGGAAACACACAGCCAAGGGAACGTAAAATCGTCCAGCCACTGTGGAAAAGAGCTTGGCGGTTTCTCAGAAAACTGAACATGTGATACCACATGACCCCACAATTGTGCTCCTACTAATTATCCCCAAGAAGTGAAAAATTACGTTTGCACCAAAACCTCTACAATGTTTATGAACATTATTGATAATAGCCCAAAATGGAAACAACCCAAATGTACAGCAGTTGATGAAATGCGGCATATCTATAATGGAATATTATTCATCGATATAAAGAAGAACAGGGACTTTCCTGGTGGTCCAGTGGTTAAGAATCCGCCTTCCAGTGCAGGGGACATGGGTTCAATCTCTGGTCAGGGAACTAAGATCCCACATGCCGTGGAGCAACTAAGCCTGTGCTCTCTAAAGCCCGTGCACCACAACTAAAGATCCCACATGCCGCAATGAATATCCCACGTGCTGCAACTAAGACCCGACAAGGCCAAATAAATATATATATATATTTTTTAAAAGAACAAAATACAGACACTTGCTACAACATGGATGAACCTTGAAAACGATGCACTAAGTGAAAGAAGCCAGGACCGAATATTGTATGATTCCATTTATAGGAAGCATCCAGGACAGGCAAACCCACAAGGTGAATTAGTGGCTGCCAGGCTGGGGAAGAAGGGACACGGTTTCTTTTGGGGGCGGGGATGTGCTGGAATCTGCCAGTGACGGCCACACGTCTTTGCTGAATGTACTAACCACCAACTACATGCTTCAAAACAGTGAGTTTCATGCTATGTGAATTACTGTGTCTCAATTAAAACATTTTTAAAGCATAAAGGACACAGTAACTCTTTCAAAGAAGCACAAAGAACCCGGGCACTGACAAATAGGGAAAGAGTTAGAAAAGAAAATGACACAAAAATTAGAAACGAATTTACTAAACCTGCTAATTGGTGACAAGTCTAGGAAGGATTTACCACATGTGATGGAAACGGCAAAATGCTTTTGCTAAGAGAACGAACGTTTCTGACGGCGTTTTCTAGCGGGAAGGTTCGTCATCCAGGCACCAGCAGGGGTCAGAGCGTCCACCGTGTGGGAAACAAGTAAACGCAAACCCACCAGGCGCTGGTGGCACAGCCCTGCCCTAGGCAAGGCCTCCCTCCAGGCCTCTATTTTGTGTGGCAGTTTCTGGGGGGGGGGGGGGGGGAAGAAACAGAAAGTTGCTTAAGAACATTCCTGCTCGGTCAGGGCTTATCAAGAACAGCCTGATGAAGCTGCCAGAGAAAACCGATTTGCTTCCTGAGAATAGCATTGCCATCTCTTCGTAAACCAGAGGTGGGAGGATACTGGTGGGCAAACAGAACTGTTTTTAAGAGCCGATGACCCCCGATGATGTGGAGGACCTGAGGCAGAAAGGCCGTAATTTCAGGTTGATGCGCAAAGCCTCCACCCCTTCCCTGAAACCCCCACTGTCACATTCTCCGAGGGATCGGGGCTGCCCGCCTCTGCAGCTGCACTGACTCTTCCATCTGCCTGCTGTCCCCCGGGGTGGCCCCCTCCCGCCATCACAACCCCCCCACCCCATCCACACTACCCTGACCCCCTCCTGGCCTCTGCAGAAGAATCCTGAACTGGGCCCTGCTCTCAGCTGTGCCCACCACCAGCCCCGTCTGCAAAGCAACCACCCCCGTCTCTAAAGCATCAGTGGGACCACATCACGCCCCTCCTGAGGCCTTCCAAGCGCCATCCACCTTGTGTCCGCCCTCCCCTGCTGGGCCGAGAGCCAGCGGTCCCTCCGAGAAGCTCCCTGCGCTTCCACGTCTTTCTGCCCCACGTGCTCATGGCCCAGCGCCTCCCTGCAGCCCGTACCCTGCCCTCCCGCATGGTGCGCTCAGCACCCAGGTGTGTACAGTGGGTGCTGCTGTCCCCCTGCTGTTCCATACTGTCCTACTAATGAAGTCACTTATAAAGTCGTGGGTCACGATAGGGAGATGGCCTCGGAGAATGTTCACTCAGATACCTCAAAGCTACGGCTGCGTGTGGACTAAAATCCTAACTGATTACGTGGTATTTACTGAAGCAGGGTCACAGGTGCAGGGAGGTTCCATACACTATTCTCACTACTTTTGCATGTTGATTTTTCCATATATAAAACAAGACAGAACACCAATCCTGGCTACAGATGCAGGTCCAGTTAGAGCAAAGTCTTGGCCACAAGTGCATGCCTGGGCCTTCTGTACAAACGAGAGGACTACAGGATCATACCCTGAATTTTGTTGTCAAAAAACACATATGTGGTTTGTTCATCTTGGATTTTCTTCCACTCAATCCTGGGGTCATTTGTCTGTGAATCCGTAATGATACAAGATAGTTCCACACCTAATGAGCAAGGGAAGAAAGAGAACTGTCAGTGAATGTGGAACAATTTTAGGTTCACTTGTATACCCAGACCCTGCAAGCTACATGTATATTTAGGTCTGTCGTGTAGATTAAAAATCTAGCTAGCTCCAGGCTCCAAGACTTTAGTTTTAGCTAGAAAAACAATATAGATGATTAGCAAAGACTTTTATTAAAGAGAGCACACGTTCCCCCTAATACTCTTGCTTGTATATAAGAACGTTCTTGGTTCTGTAAACGCAAAGCCAGGCCAGGAATCAGGTTTCAGCCAACAGAAAGCCTGCAGAGTTGCCCGCGGGCTGCTGAAGCGGTGCTTCGCTCACACGTGCACGTCAGATGGCTGCTGGGGAGCCGGCCACCCCCAAGCCTCTTGGGCAGGACACATCCGTGTGTGTCTATCCTGCATCAGCTGCCAGATCACCAAGTGGTGCCCCTTTGCCTAAACCCTTCCTTGGACTTACTTTCAAATTCCTGTACCACTGGGTTTCGGTTGCTGGATTTGAGATTCACAGCCCCTATCAAGCAGCCTGAGGGAAAAAAGAAAAGTAAAATCAGAGACAACGCGACACTAAAAGAGCAGAGAACCCGCACTTGACATCAGACTTTCCCTTCATGGCGGCTTCAGTCACGAACCACAGAGGATGTCAAATGTCATGTTCCAAAACAAAGTCTCTTAGATACAGCAGGGTGACTGCTTTCTGAGTCTGACCTTCACTGGAAGGAACCCAGGAGAAAGAGAATTCTCAGAGTGCACTTTCCTTCTTAGTCCCAGAACAAAGCCCCTAGAACTTTCAAGACCTTCCTCTAAGAATGTACTTTTAAAAAAAGGATTGTAAGAGAGAGCTACAGAACAACAGACTGGACAACCCAGAAGAAATGGACAAATTCTTAGAATCATACAACTTTCTAAGACTGAATCATGAAGAAAGAAAATCTAAATAGATCACTAGTGAGGAGACTGAAACAGTAATCAAAAGCTCCCCCCAAACAAAAGTCCAGGACCAGTCAGCTTCACTGGTAAATCCTACCAAACATTCAAAGATTTGATACCTGTCCTTCTCAAACTATCCCCCAAAATTTAAGAGGACAGAACACTTCCTAACTCATTTTTCAAAGCCAACATTACCCTGATACCAAAACCAGACAAAGATAACACACAAAAAGAAAATTATCTCTGATGAACATAGATGCAAAAATTCTCAACAAAATATTAGCAAACTGAATACAACAATACATTAAAAAGATCATACACCATGAACAAGTGGGACTTATTCAACATCCACAAATCAATGAACATGATACACCACATTAACAAAATGAAGGATAAAAACCATATGAGCATCTCAGATGCAGAAAGAACATTTCACAAGGTTCAACACCTATTTATGACAAAACTCTCAAAAAAAATGGGTATAGAAGGAAGCTCAACATAATAAAGGCCACAAATGACAAACCCACAGCTAACATCACACTCTACAGCAAGGGTCCCCAACCTCCGGGCCGTGGACCAGTAGGCCTGTTAGGAACCAGGCCACATAGCATGAGGTAAACGGCGGGCAAGCGACCGAAGCTTCATCTTCCACTCCCTATCGCTCACGTTACCGCCTGACTGCCACTCACATTACTGCCTAAACCACCCCCCCACCCCCAGTCTGAGGAAAAACTGTCTTCCATGAAACCAGTCCCTGGTGCCAAAAAGGTTGGGGACCACTGCTCTACAGTGAAAAACTAAAAGCTTTCTTTTACAATTGGGAACAAGGTAAGGATGCCCACTCTCACCACTCCTATTCAACACAGGAAGTCCTAGCCAGAGCAATTAGCCATGAAAAGAAAATTAAAACATCCGGGGACTTCCCTGGTGGCCCAGTGGTTAAGAATCCGCCTGCCAATGCAGGGGAAACAGGTTTGATCCCTGGTCCGGGAAGATCCACATACCATGGAGCATCTAAGCCCATGCGCCACAACTACCAAGCCTGCGCTCTAGAGCCCACTAGTCACAACTACAGAGCCCACGCGCCGCAAGTGCTGGAGCCCACGTGCTCTAGGGCCTGTGCTCTGCAACAGGAGAAGCCACTGCGATGAGAAGCCCGAGCACCACAAAGAGTAGCCCCCACTCGCCGCAACTAGAGAAAGCCCGTGTGCAGCAACGAAGACCCAACACAGCCAAAAAATAAATTTAAAAAAAAAGAAAAAAAATTAGGGGCTTCCCTGGTGGCACAGTGGTTGAGAGTCCACCTGCCAATGCAGGGGACACGGGTTCGTGCCCCGGTCCGGGAAGATCCCACATGCCGCAGAGCGGCTGGGCCCGTGAGCCATGGCCGCTGAGCCTGGGGGTTCCGAGACCTGTCTCCCCAAACGGGAAAAAAAAAAAAAAAAAGGGGCCTGCGAACAAAAAAAAAAAAAAAAAAAAAAGAAAAAAAATTAATAAAATAAATAAAAACATCCAAATTGGAAAGGAAGAAGTGAAATTATCACTATTTGTATATGACATGATTTTATACACAGAAAATCCTAAAGACTCCACCAAAAAACTATTAGATATAATAAATGAATTCAGTAAAGTTGAAGGGTACAAAATCAACATACAGAAATCTGTTCTATTTCTAAAAATTAACAACAAGCTAGCAGAAAGAGAAATTAAGAAAACAATACCATTTACAACTGCAACAAAAAGAATAAAATAACCTAAGAATAAATTTGTCCAAAGAGGTGAAAGACCTGTACACAGAAAACTATAAGACATTGTTCAAAGAAACTGAAGAAGACACAAAGAAACGGAAAGACATTCTGTGCTCATGGATTGAAAGAATTAACACTGTTAAAATGTCCACATTACCTAAAGCAACCACAGATTCAATGCAATCCCTATCAACATCCCAAGGGCATTTTTATTTTTCACAGAAATAGAACAAAAAATTCTAAAATTCATATACAACCACAAAAGACCCTGAATAACCAAAGCAATCCTGAGAAAAAAAGAACAAAGCTGGAGATATCACACTCCCTGATTTCAAACTACATTATAAAGCTTTAGAACTCAAAACAGCATGATATTGGCAGAAAAACAGATATAGCTCAATGGAACAGAATTGAAAGTCCAGAAATAAACCCACACATATATGGACAATTAATTTATGACAAAGGAGCAAACAGCATACAATGGAGAAAGGATAGTCTTCAATAAATGGTGTTGGGAAAACTGCACAGCCACATGCAAAAAAAAAAAATTGAAACTAGATGACTATCATATGCCATATACAAAAATCAACCCCAAAGGGATTAAAGATTGAATGTAAGCCATGAAACCATAAAACTCTAAAAGAAAACACAGGCAGTACACCTTTGACATCAGTCTTTGCAATATCTTTCTAGATATGCCTCCTCAGCAAGGGAAACAAAAGCAAAAATAAACAAATGGGACCACATCAAACTAAAAACCTTTTGCACAGCAAAGAAAACAACAAAATGAAAACACAAGCTACCAAATAGGAGAAGATATTTGCAAATCATATATCCAATAAGGCATTAATGCTCAAAATATATAAAGAACAATAAAAAAAAACCCCAATAACCTGATTAAAAAATGGGCAGAGGAACTGAACATACATTCTTGCAAAGAAGACATACAGATGGCCAACAGATGTGAAAAGATGTTCAACATCACTAATTATCAGGGAAACGCAAATCAAAACCACAATGAGATATCACATTATATCTGTCAGAATGGCTGTTATCAAAAAGGCAAGAAATAACAAGTGTTGGCAAGGATGTGGAGAAAAGGAAACCACGGTGTACATGGATAATGTAAATTGGTGCAGCCACTGTGGAAAACAGTATGGAGATCCTCAAAAAACTAACACTAGGGAGCTTCCCTGGTGGCGCAGTGGTTGAGAGTCCGCCTGCCGATGCAGGGGACACGGGTTTGTGCCCCAGTCCGGGAAGATCCCACATGCCGCGCGGAGCGGCTGGGCCCGTGAACCATGGCCGCTGAGCCTGCGCGTCCGGAGCCTGTGCTCCCAGAGAGGCCACAACAGTGAGAGGCCCGTGTACCGCAAAAAACAAACAAAAAACTAACACTAGAACTACCATATGACTGAGCAATTCCACTCCTGGGTATTTATCAGAAGAAAACAAAAACACTAATTATAAAAGATATATGCACCCCTATGTTCATTGCAGCATTATTTATAGTAGCCAAGATATGGAAGCAACCTAAGTGGCCATCAATGGAAAAATGGACAAAGATGTGGCATGTGTGTGTATATATATGTGTGTGGGATGGAATATTACTCAGCCATAAAAAAGATGGAATCTTGCCATTTGCAAAAACATGGATGAACCTTGAGGATATTATGCTAAGTGAAATATCAGGTGAAGAAAGACAAATACCATATGATTTCACTCATACATGGAATATAAAAAAACAAACAAAATGACAAAATAAATGAACCAAACCTAACTATAACAAACATGTAGATACAGAGAACAGAGTAATGGTTACCAGAGGGGGTGGGGATGGGTAAAGGGGGTCAATATGGTGATGCGTGGAAAGTAAACTCTTGGTGGTAAGCTGCTGTAGTGGATACAGAAGTATAATGTTGTGCACAAGAAGCTTATATAATGTTATAAAATCAATGTTACCTCAATAAAAAAAATTTTTTTAAGAATTTTCTTTTCATCATCTCCCAGACCTACATGGGCCTTCTTGTCATTCCTCCCTCCTGCCTGGTACCTTCCCCTGCATGATGGCATGGACATTCTGGGTACAGTTACCAACCAGGTAAGAGACCACCTTGCTGGATTAGCTGTTTATCCAACCCGTGATTTCCATCCATTAAAAAGTTTGCACCAGTCTTTGGTAAAATAAGAAAAATAACAACATGGCGATTTTCATGAAGCTTAGCTGAATGAAGCTATCGATGGAATCAAAATATGCCATTTGCATGGTGATCTCTTTCGAAATTAGCACCTGACTATCCACGTGTTTAAACAACGCTGAAATCAGTTATTATGGTCTCAAAATGTCTTAGCTGATTTCTTGGAGACAAGATCAACTAGGTACATTGACCACCTACAAAATGTCATTCTTCAGCGACTTGGCCTCTAGGAGAATATGCCATCCCCAGAGAAGGCCTTCCTATGTTAACCCTCATTAAGGTCCCTGGACCTCAGCTTACCACACCAGGTAAGAAAATGTGAAGACCTGTACTCTGAGCTGCAGGTCACAACAATCCATTTTTTTAATTTTTAAATCTTATTTAATGGTTTGGCTACATGTATACATTCCAAGTATGTGTTTTGATGCTTTCTGTCTTATTTAGTAAGACTTCATTAATTACAGCAGAAGCCTTAAAGAATGTTAATAATAGGGATGAAAATCAGAAGTATAGGGGCTTCACTGGTGGCGCAGTGGTTGAGAATCTGCCTGCCAATGCAGGGGACACAGGTTCGAGCCCTGGCCTGGGAAGATCCCACATGCCGCGGAGCAACTAAGCCCGTGCGCCACAACTACTGAGCCTGCGCTCTAGAGCCCGTGCTGCACAACAAGAGAAGTCAAAGCAATGAGAAGCCTGCGCACCACAACGAAGAGTAGCCCCCGCTCGCCGCAGCTAGAGAAAGCCCGCGCACAGCAACGAAGAGCCTAAATAAATAAATAAACTTTAAAATTAAAAAAAAAAGAAGAAGTATAATATACTTGAACTGTCATTAGTTGCTAAAACAGTCACTTCTACTTTAGATTTCAGATCCAGGACAAGTGGCGCCTGCTCTGTTTTGTTTTGTAACCACGTGCTTTGTTTTGTAACCACGGGTTTCCCTTTTGGGGAAACCCACCCACACTAATGCAGCCCTTTCCACTGCTCCTTCCATCCAGAAGCCCCCAGGGACCCACTAACAGAGAGGAACACGGGACGCTCTGAGTATCTACCAAGGCCACACAGGTTCCCTCTAGGGAAAATGACCTCAGTCCTTTCAGTGCGATCACTGTAATTTAGGTGATGAGACACCAAAACTGTGGTCCCAAATGACTATGACCAGGGATCAGCTTCCGACCCAAAGGCCATCTAAGGGGTCTTAGAGGTAAGTCACCAGAGCTTTGCCTGACTGGATAATGACAGGACAACCCAATCTGAGGCTTTCTCTTGAGAAGTATGAAGCTGAGAGAAATAAGAGAATAAACTAGAGAGTTTACAGTCACGAGAGAAACAGCTGAAGTAGAGCCTGAGGACACAGAGCTGGCGACAGATGAGCCAGGGGACAAGAAGGGGACACTGAGGTTACTCTAGTGTCCACAAAGGTCAGATTGTCACGGGGGCCAACTCTTCACAATAAACCTCTTAGGGAAACCAAGACCACTTGTTTCTTATAACCTAAAAGAAGCTAAGGTAACACAGCCCCAGATGATGGAGATAATCACCTCTTTTCTCCCCCTGCGTTGTGGCCAAGGTGAATGCACCCCAAGGCCTGACTCTCTCCTGCCCAACCACATGCGTAAGGGCAGAGCTAGACGAAGTGATGGCTCACAGCAGCCGGGCCCTGGCTCTGCCGCGGCCCCGTGCTGAGTCTCTCCTCAGCATTTCCTTCTGCTCCCAAGCTGTTCTTAAATGTAAAGACGGTTACGTTCCTTACTTTGCCCACCTCCAACAGCCCAGGGTCCCACTTTAAAATACAGAAGTAACTTGTGTATCAGAACGGTGTTTGTGAGGACTGGAAGCCCCAGACCAAACGCTTGACGACATCGCAGGTAACTCCTCCGGATATGAGCCAGTGCCTGGGCATGAGGTTCTGACATAAGCCAACCTCCTGGTGCTGTCGGAATACACTGAGGCTACATTATGTAAGACTCAGCAAAGGGATTTTGGACGGAAGGAGAAAAAGGGGGGAAATCCATTACAGCATACATCACATGTAGCTGTTCCTCTTTAATTTCATACCAACCTTGGCTTGCGCCTGCCAGACTCTAAGCTCTTTGGGACAATCCAGTCATTCAGCAATTTTTTATTTATTGCCTTTTATAAGCCAGATACTGGCCTAAACATGAGGGATGATACATGAATAAAAGATAAAAATCTATGCCCTCATGGAGCTTACATTCTATCAACAGTACAAAGAAACAAGTATCATATGCACTCATCTTTCTATCTTCAAATCTAGTGTGGAATGGTATTTAGCAGGGACTCCAAAAGTGTTTACCGAATAAATCAATGTGCATTTTTTATGTTCTAGATTGGATCTCCTTGAGTTTTCCAGAAAATCATTTAGTTGAATTCAGTTTGCTCACAGAGCTGTAATGTGGCTACTCTATTTTTCATCTTGCCCAGGAATCCATTATTAAATCCTGGACTTAGAAGGAATCTAAGACATGTGTAGTTGTCTGTTTCTATTCAAATCCTCCGAAAGAAATTTAAGACTGTCCTCTGGAGGCAGGTGTGGTAAGTTCCAAGTATATTGTGTTCATTTAATGTGACCTTGACCCAGCCTCCCCCAATGGTTATATAATTACAGCACAGTATCAAAACCAGAAAACTGACGCGTGTACAGTGTATGTGGATGGTTGTACATCATTTATCACATGTGAAGATTCCTGTAACCACCACTGCAGTCAAGACACAGACCTCTTCCATCACCAAAGACCTCCCTCCTGCAGGCCCTCACCATCCCTCAGCACTGGCAAATGTTAATCTGTCCCCTATGGCCATAATTCTGTCATTTGGAGAATGCTATATAACAGGAAATACACAGTCGGTGGCCTTTTGAGGCTGACTTTTTCGTTCAGAATAAAGCCCTTTAGGTCCATCCACCTTGTGTGTAATGACAGTTTGTTTCTTTCTACAGCCAAGCAGCGCTCCGCACCGGGGATGCACCACACTGTGTTTAACCACTCACCCACGGAAAGGCGTCTGGGTTGTTTCCAGTTTGGGGCTATGATGAATAAAACTGCTGTGACATTTGTGCACAGACTTTCGTATGAACATAAGTTTCCTTTTCTCTGGGACAGATGCCCAAGAGCACAAACCCTCGTCGTATGTTGTGGCATGGTTAGTTTTTTAAAGAAACTAATAACTGTTTTCCAGAGTTGGGCTGGACCAAAAATTCATTGTAGGAAAGTTTTCTTTCTAAATTTTGGTTTTTAAACTTAGCAGGGTACACCGGACCACTCTGTACTACCTTTGCAACTTCCTGTGAATCTATAATTATTTCAACATTAAATCGTAGAACACTTCTCTATTTCTAAAATGATGATAGTGAAATCAGTATGGCATTTGGAATCGGTTGGGTATGCAAAAAACTGAAGTAACAGTTTTAAAGCATTGATATTCACAATACACCAGAAATCATATATATACTTAACAACTATTTAAACTTAGATAAAAATTTTTATGTAAGGCCTCCTGAATTCTTTCAGTGAATACATCAGTTAAAAAATCAACTGGCATGGGGCTTCCCTGGTGGTCCAGTAGTTAAGAATCCGCCTTCCAATGCAGGGGATGAGGGTTTGATCCCTGGTCAGGGAGCTAAGATCCCGAATGCCGCAGGGCAACTAAGCCTGCACACCACGACTACTGAGGTCGCGCACCTCACGCGCCACAACTAGAGAGAAGCCCACGCGCCGCAACAAAGAGCCTGTGTGCCGCAACTAAGACCTGACGCAGCCAAATAAATAAATGGTTTTTAAAAATTAAAAAAAATCAACTGGTGTAACCGTATTCATGACCAAAGTATATAAAAGGAATACTCGTGTGGTCATGAATAATCTGCAGTGCGTTTCACTGAACAGTAATGTCTGAGGTTTTGCTTTTGGACTCTAAAAAGCAGCAGCAGCAGGTAGAAAGTTGCTGTTCCTACCCAGCTGAAGGTTGGTGAACAGAGAAAACAGGAGTCAGGGTGACATCAAGATTCCCCCTTTATCAAATGTGGTATTTTTATCTCAGGAGATTCTTACAACTGAATGTGAGACGTGGGGCTCCGCCCTTTGTACTCTCACTGCGTTTTCCACTTTTCCCACTGTCTCACCATCATCATTATTTAACAATGTTTTTTATTCTGGTACAACATACACAACATAAAATTTACCACTTTAATCACTTTTACGTGTAAAACCTCAGCGGCATTAGGTACATGCACAATGTGTGCAGCCAACACCACCATCTGTCTCCACAACTTGCTCATCGTACCAAACAGAAACCCCATCCCCATTAAACAGCAGCTCCCCACTTCTTCGGAACCCTGGCCGCTGGCAACCTCCAGGCCATTGTCTCTGGACTTGCCTACTTGACAGACCTCACCAGTGGAATCACACAATATTTGTCCTTTTATGTCTGACTTACTTCATGCAGGATGATGTTTCCAAGGTACATCCATGTAACATGTAGCAGCAGCCCATTCCTTTTAAGGCTGAATGATATTCCACTGTACGTATACAGTCATCCCTCGGTATCTGCAGTGGACTGGTTCCAGGACACCCCTCGGCTAGCAAAATCCATGAATGCTCAAGTCCTTCATATGGCCTAGCGTTTGCATATAACCTACACAACCTCTCAGGTACTTTAAATCATCTCTAGGTTACTTAGAATGCCTAATACAATGCCAATGCTATATAAAAAGTTGCCAGGGCGAGGCAAGTTCAAGTGTGGCTTTTTGTAACTTTCTGGAATCTTTTTTCAAATATTTTGGATCTGCATTTGTTAAATCCAGGGATATGGAACCCATAGATACAGAGTGCTGACTGTATACCGTGTCTTGTTTATCCATTCATCTGTTGATGGACATTAGGTTGTTTCTACCTTTTGGCCATTGTGAACAATGCTGCTGTGAACAGTGGTGTACAAATATCTATCTGAGTCCCTGCTTTCAACTATTTGCGGTATGCACCTAGAAGCTTAATTACTGGATCATATTGCAATCCTATGTGTAACTGTTTGAAGAACTCCCAAGCTTTTCCACAGTGGCTGCACCATTTTATGATCCCATCAGCAATGCAGACAGATTCGAATTTCTCCACATCCTCACCAATGTTCGTAATTTTCCTTTTTTTCAATAATATCCATCCTAATGGGTGTGAAGTGGTGTCTCATTGTGGTTTTTATTTGCATTTCCATAAAGGCTAATAATGCACATCCTTTCATGTGTTTATTGACCATTTTCATATCTTCTTTGGAGAAATGTTTATTCAAATCCTTTGCCATTTTTTAAATTGCATTGTTTGGGGTTTTTGTTGTTGAGTTGTAGGAGTTCTTTATATATTCTGGATATTAATCCCTTGTTATGTATGTGCTTTGCAAATACCTCCTCCCACTCTAAGTTGTATTTTTACTCTCTTGATAGTATTCTTTGATGTACAAAAGTTTTTAATTTCAATGAAGTCCAATTTACCTATTTTTTTCTTTTGTTGCCTGCCTGTGCTTTTGATGTCACATCCAAGAAATCATTGCCAAATCCAATGTCATGAATATCTTGCACTGTTTTCTTCTAAGAATTTTATAGTTTTAAATCGTATGTTTAGGTCTTTGGTCCATTTTAATTTTTTATAAGGCAAGGATCCAACTTCATTATTTAGAATGTGTATATCCAGTTTTTCTAACATCATTTGGTGAAAAGACTGTGCTCCATTCAATGGTCTTGGCACTTGTCAGAAATTATTTGCTTATATACACAAGAGTTTATTTCAGGGCTCTCTGTTCTGTTCCATTGGTCCATACGTCTATCTTTATGCCAGTACCATACTGTTTTGATTACTGTAGCTTCATAGTAAGTTTTGTAATCAGAAAGTGTGAGTCCTCCAACTTTGTTCTTTTTTTTTTTTCAAGATGACTTTGGCTATTCGGGTTCCCTTGAGATTCCATATAAAACTTTAGGATGGGATTTTTTATTTCTGAAAAAAAAAATTGGGATTTTGATAGAGAACGTATTGAATCTGTAGATGGCTTTCCATAGTTTTAACAATATTAGATTTTCTAATCCATAAACATGGAGTATCTTCCATTTATTTGTATCTCCTTTAATTTCTTTCAGGAGTGTTTTTTAGATTTCAGTGTACTATGTCTTTTACCTCCTTGATTAAATTTATTCCTAAGTATTTTATTCATTTAGATACTACTGTAAATGGGATTGTTTTCTTAATTTCCTTTTCTGATTGTTCTTTGTTAGTGTATAGAAATGCAACTGATATTTGTAGGTTGGTTTTCTGTTTTCCTGTTATTAGCTCTAACAGGGTTTTTTGTTTCTTTGTTTTGTTTTTGGTGTAATCTTTAGGGTTTTCCACGTATAAGATTAAGTCATCCACGAGTAGGGATAATTTTATGTTTTCTTTTCCAATTTGGACAACTTTTAAATTTCTTTTTGTTGCCTAATTGCTCTGGCTAGAAATTTCAATGTTATGTAGAACAAAAGTGGTGAGCTCTGGTATCCTACTCTTCTTCCTGATCTTAGGGAAAAACCTTTCAGTCTTTCACCATTAATTATGACACTGGCTATAAGGTTTTTCATATATCTTTTATTATGTTGAAGGAGATCTCATCTACTCCTAGTTTACTGAGTGTTTTTATTATGAAAGGGTGTTGAATTTGTCAAATATTTTTTCTGCATCAACTGAGATAATCATGTGGTTCTTTTCCTATATTCTATTAATGCGATGTATTACCGTAATTTTCATATGTTAAACCATTCTTTCATTCTGGGAACAAATCCCATTCATTCACGGTGTATAATCCTTTTAGTGTGTTGTGGAATTCCATCCGCTAGTATGTTTTGGAAGAATTTTGCATCAATGTTAAGGAATATTGGTCTATGGCTTTCTTGTAGTGGCTTTGCCTGGTGTTAGTGTCAGGGTAATGCTGGCCTTACAGAATGAGTTAGGAAGTATTCTCTTCAATCTTTGGGAAGAGTTTGAGAAGGACTGGTATTAATTCTTTAAATGTTTGGTAGAATCCATCAATGAAACCACCAGGTCCAAGCTTTTCTGTTTTTAATTACTGTAGTTCTATTCAGATTTTCTACTTCTTAATGACTACATTTTGCTAGATTTTATGTTTTTAGGAATTTGTCCATTTCATCTAGGTTATCCAACTTGTTGATATATACTTGTTCATAGCAATGTCTTATAATCCTATTTATTTCCATAAAATCAGTAGTTATAGCCCCACTTTCTTTGCTGATTTTAGTAATTCAAGTCTTCTTTTTTCCTTACTGAATCTAGTTAAAGGTTTGTCAATTTCGCTGTTCTTTTCAAATCAGCAACTTTTGTTTTCATTGATTTTTCCCTACTGTTTTTCTTTTCTCTTTTTCATTAACCTCTGCTCTAATCTTTATTAATTCCTTCCTTCTGCTAGTTTTGGGTTTAGTTTGTTCTCCTTTGTCCAGTTCCTAAAGGTGTAAGATTGTCACTGATTTGAGATATATATATATTTTTTTTTTTTGAAATTTACATGTCTTAGTACTGCTTTTGCTGAATCCCACTAAGTTTTGGTATGTTGTGTTTTCATTTTCATTTTCTTCAGGTATTTTCTAACCTCCTTTTAACTTCTTTGACCCATTGGTTAAGAGTATGTTGATTTCCACGTATCTGTAAATATTCTAGTTTCCTTCAGTTATTTACTTCTAACTTCATTCCACTGTGATTAGAAAAGATACTTTATATGCTTAAAAATTTTTTTAAATTAAGACTTGTGTTTTGACCTAACATATGATCTATCCTAGAGAATGTTCCATCTGCACATGTGGAAAATGTGTATTCTGCTGTTTTGAGGTGTAGTGTTCTGTATATGTTAGGTCTGACTGGTCCATATTGTTCTTCAAGTCCTATATTTCCTTATTAATCTTCTATCTTGTCTATCTGTTATTGAAAGTAGGGCACTGAAATGTCCGATTATTATTGTAAAACAATCTGTTTCTCTCTTCAATCCTCTCAATGTTTGCTTCATATATTATGGGGCTTAGATATTTCATGCATATGTTTATAATTGTTATGTTTTCTTGGTGAATCAATATACATTGTCATTCTTTGTCTCTTGTAACTGTTTTCTGACTTAAAGTCTATTTTGTCTGATATGACTATAGCTACCTCAGCTCTCTTTTGGTTATTATTTGCATAGAATGTCTTTTTCCATCCTTTCACTTTACCAGCCTATTTGTGTTTAGGTCTAAAGTGAGTGTCTTGTAGACAGCATAAAGTTGGATCACACTATTTCATCCATTCTGCCAATCTCTGCCTTTTGACTGGACAGTTTGATCCATTTTCATTTAATTAACTGATAAAGGACTTACTTTTGCTATTCTGCTACTTGTCTTCTGTGTATATTATTCTTTTGTCCCTCATTTCATCCACTACTGCCGCCTTTTGTATTTTGTTGATTTTTTTTGTACTGACACATTTTGATTCCCTTCTCATATCCTTTAGTGTATACTCATGATAACCAAACTTTGTGGTTATCATGAGGATTATCATAACATCCTAAAATTACAAACTTGAATTGATACCAATTTAACTTTAATTGTACACAAAAACTCTGTCCTACCCTTTATGTTGAAGACACAAATTACGTCTTTATACATTGTGTGCCTTATCAATAATGGATTTATCTTTTAAATTCTACAGAAATAAAAAGTGCAGTTACAAACCAAAATTATAATAAGACTAGCATTTATATTTGTCCATTAATTACCTCTACTGGAGATCTTTAGATCTTCATACAGCTTTGAGTTACTGTCTAGTGTTGCTTTATTTCAACTTGAAGGATTTCCTTTAGCACTTTTTGTAGAGCAGGGCTAGTGGTCATTAACTCCCTCAGCTTTTGTTCTTCTGGGAATGTCTTAATTTTTCCCTCATTTTTGAAAGTCAGTGTTGCCAGATATAAAATCTTCTGTTTACAGTGTTGTTGTTGGGTTTTTTTTCTTTCAACACATTAAATCTTTCATCCCACTGTCTTCTGGCATCCAACATTTCTGATGAGAAATCAGCTTAAGATCTTGTTGAGTATCCCCTGTATGTAATGAGACACTTCTCACTTGCTGTTTTCAAGATTCTCTCTTTGTCTTTAGCTTTTGACTGTTTGATTATAATGTGTCTCAGAGTGGGTCCTCTTGGGTTTATCCTACTTAGAGTTCACCGAGCTTCTTGAATTTGTAGATAAATGCCATATGTCAAATTGGGGGAGTTTTCAGCCATTATTTCTTCAGATAACCTTTCTGCCTCTCTCTCTCCCTCTTCTCCTGGGACTCCCATAAAACATATCTTGCAATTATACCCCAATAAAGATGTTTTAAAAAAAACATATCTTGGTCAGCTTGACAGCACCCCACAATGCCCTTAGGCTCTGTTATGGGGTGAATTGTGTCCCCCTGCCACCCAAATTCATATATTGAAGCCTTCACCCCCAGCAACCCAGAATGTGACTATATGTGGAGCTAGGGTCCTTAAAGAGGTAATAAGTTAAAATGAGGCTGTTAGAGGCCCTAATCCAATCTGACTAGTGTTCTTATAAAAATAGGAGATTAGGACACATAGAATGATGTGTGTGCAGAGGAAAGACCATGTGAGGACACAGCAAGAAGGTGGCCATATGCAAGCCAAAGAGAAGCCTCAGAAGAAATCAACTCTGCCAATATCTTGATCTTGAACATCTACCCTCCAGAACTGTAAGAAAATAAATTTCTGTTGTTTAAGCCACTCAGTCTGTGATATTGTTATGGCAGCCTAGCAAACATACATGCTCTGTTCACATTTCTCCATTATTTTTCCTCTCTTCTCCCAGACATGATAATTTCAATTTTCTTATCTTCTAGTTCACTGATTCTTTTGCCTGCTCAAATAAGCTGTTTATCCCCTCCAGTAAATTTTTCATTTCAGTTACTACACTTTTCAGCTCCAAAATTTCTTTTTGATTCCTTTTTATAACTTTTCTCCTTATTGATACTTTGTTGCTCATATAATGTTTTCCCTTAGTCTAAGCATTAGTCTAAGCATATTTAAGACAATTTGTTTTTGTCTAGTAAACCCAATATCTGGGCCTCCTCAGAAACTGGGACAGTTTCTGTTCATTCATTTTGCTCT